ATATCTGACTCTTTACTGTCTCTTGGCCTCTCTCTCTCTCCCCCTTTTCCTGTCACTCGTCTGCTGTAACTATCGCTTAAAAAGGCAATAAAAGCCCCCCAAAAAATACAAAAAAATCAAATACTGAAAACAATATGATGATGTAATATCACGTACGGTTCTGGCAGTGGCTTGGCATCACCTCTGGTTGGGTTGCTATTTCAGTTATCGTGACAACCATGTCTTCTAGTCGTGCCAGGTGGAAGGCGTAAGCGTAAGATAGCAGAATGGATGCTTCTGGTGCCATCGGCCGCGTCGCAGCCGGAATACGACGTAGCCGCGCCCAGTGGAAACAGTCCATACCTTCAGAGTTCAAATATCAGCAGTAACTTCATTCTGCAGGTGCTGTAGAATTGTATTGCCTTATATCAAGAGGCATTAGGGGGTGGGCAACATATTAGAAATGTCTGACAGATGCCAGTGCTCTGGTCTGGTGACCAAACTTTTATTTCAAGTAAAAATTTAATGAAAATGATTTGCATGTAAATAGTTTTAAAATGCCAGCAGGCTTAGTTCAGGTAACTGAACAAAATACATGTGATTTTTTTACTATTTCACTCTTTGCTGCCTCTTTGGCTCGGTCTCTCTTTTAAAACAAATAATGTAGGCCTATCTCAAGGGGTTTCCTGCTTTAATCACGGATCCAAATGTAAGTAAAGCCCCACCAAAATGCTCAAACCAAAACCTGCTATTATTCCCAGGATTTATGGGACTCTTTACTTATTGTGAATACTGTATATCTGAAATGTATATGGTAGGCTACAACAATACAAAGATCTTGAATGTGAACTGGATTTCAAGAGAACTTTGTATGGAATCTGAAAAAGGAAAATAAAAGTTAAATCGCCCTGATTTTGCAAATGAATAATAGGATTGCTTTGCCATAGTTGAGCACATCATTATTTTCTTATTAAACTTCAAACTCGTAAGGGCCACATACAAGGGGGCAACTTTTGTCTTTTTACAGGAAGGGACAGGACCAGGCGAAGTCACTGTAACTCCTCAACAACTTCAGGAGCTGTCATAGCCATCCACCGGCGACAAGCTGCTGAGTATGGTAACCAACATTAATCATCGCCTGGAGGCGAGCAGCCAGACGGAAGCTTAAGTATATTCTAACCTCGAACGTGTTTTATTCAAGATGACCATTGGTGCATGAATGAACCCGACCAGCCAACCCCACTCACACAAACCCAACCGCGCGCGTACTGTACTGCCTACACACCTTGAGTGGCTCATTAAATGTAACAGCCTCTACTTGTGACTAACCGACGAGTCTGCAACATTAATGCACGAAATTGGATTATATACTTACATGAGCTGTGTCGGAAACTGCGATGCCAAAGACCCGTCCTGCCATAACAGGACCAGAAACACCCAGGCTCGTACCCTGCAGGTATCCATTGTAAAAAAAAAAGGGGGGGAAATTCCCCGACGCGCGTCAACACCAAATGAGCTCGGCTCCCCTTCGCAGCCGATAATGGGAGCGGTGTTCAGAAGCAGCGTGAGTGGCAGTCCGTCGCTCCCTCACAGATTAACGAACCCTGACGCCTCTAATCTGATCACCCGGCCGTCCAGCGCTCTAACAGGTACTGAAGCTGGATCTCTCTCTCTCTCTCTCTCTCTCTCTCTCTCTCTCTCTCTCTCTCACTCACCCTGTTGCCCCCTCCTTTTCAGTCTAGCGGGGGAAAAAAATCACTTATGCTCCTTTTATCTTGTAACATGATACTCTGTTGTGACTTGACCTGACGTAAATTGGACTAGTCCCTTTTTTTAAATGTATTATATGATCTAATTGTTGTAATATTACAAAATCAAAACATTAAAATTATATCAAAATATATTTGTTTGGGTCCATAAACAATCAAAAAAGCATTGTTTCCCCTTCCCTCAGGTTGTGCAGCATTCCCTATTGTGAGCAACAAATTGTTTTTTACCTCCATATAAAGAAACACCTGCTAAAAGGAGGGTCTGACTACAGGTACCCCCCCCCCCACACACACACACACACACACACACACACACACACAAGCGCATGCTGACTGAATACAGATGCAGGTATAGCTCTTTAAAATGCCCTACAACCTTTCAATTCCTACAACGCGAAGGGATGGGAGAATTTACTGGCTTTGATAGCACAGTCTTTGCCAGTTGCTATCAGTCATATTGGTAGCATTGAGTGGCAGCAAGCAGAGAAACTGTCCCGCATGGGATTCAGTGCTGGTCTGACAGATCTATTGATTTCACACATATAGCCTAGTGCAACATCTTATGAGAAAAGTAGGCTACAGTAAAAGCCCAATAAATCTCCCTGCTATCAATCATATCTTATATAAGATTGAATTTGTGGCTATGTGCTGCACATCTTAACGCAAATGTGTAAAAGATGGAATATATAGAATGTATAAACTACAAACTCCAGTACCACTGCAGTATCCAAAATCCCAGTTTGTCATCATTTTGAATTAAAAGAGCATCACTTTGAATTGATTTAATAATTTAATAACAGAGCGATAACATAAACCTACTGTGTATGTCTGTGTGTGTGTGTGTGTGTGTGTGTGTGTGTGTATGTGTGTATGTAATTCAGGCCTGGAGGGAGGGCAGGGCAGCACAAGCAGGATGCTTGGGGATTTGGTTATCAATCGTTGCTTGGCAACCACACACCATCTCTGGTGTCCTCTCACACCCCCCACCCCCTGCCCCTCCTTTCTCTCTTTGTCTCTCCCATCTCCAACTCTCCCCCTGCTCTCACTCTACTGCACTGTTGCTCTTCCCCACTCAGCTTCTCCACTATTCTCATCCCCTCACTCCCTGTCACATCACCCTCTCCGCATTCTCTCTCCCTACACCTTTCTCACACTCATTTCCCCCAGCAGACGAGCAGATGCACCTGCTGATGGGATAGAGAAAAGTATGTGAATGGTGAAAACTGGAGAGGTGTCGTGGGGTGGAGGAACATAATAGCATAATATCAAAGAGCAGTGTGGAGAGGATGGGGAGGTGGAGGCCTCCTCTGCACACATCCCCATTCAATACTTTTTTATTCATTGGGAACATCCGATCCCAAATAGGATGAGGTGTCAGACTAATGTCTGGGGTGCAACACCTGTCCTTTCATATAGTATAGGAAACTGATGTTAGACCAGAATAAAAACTAATGGTAATTGTAAGAAAGATCTGGACAGACAATTAATCTCTGTGTAAAGCCTTAAACACCCAATAAACCCAATATATTTTTATATGGCCACATGACTCAAATTATATTATTAACTATTATAAAATGTACTTCACAGGTATAAACCAAAAAATCATATTGCAACATTTTTGCTTTACAAATAAGACTAATAACCTGGTTTTAAGTAGTCTCTTATTATCCTATTATGGGTACAAAATGAACAAGCACCAAATACCCATTTTAAATATCATCTTAATAGACTTATCCTGACTTCAGAGGAGAGAACCACCTGTAGACATGGCATCTTTGGCAGTAATGTTAAAGTCATAATGTGCAAAAGAACTACTGGTTAAAAATCTGTTACAGTGACAGTTGAGTTTATTTGATAGAGGATACTGCCATCTGGAGGTAATTTATTAAAAACACAAGAATCAGTTGCTGTTAAAGAATTTGGAACTTAATCTTTTTACTTTTTTTTTTTTCAAGAAGTTTTCTGTATATATGCCCAAATCCTTATATCCATGCACAAGTATGTTGTATAGTCCTTTTGGAATATGAACCATAATACAGTATATATTTATAATAGGATAACAAGTAATGAAAACTAATACACCGAATACATCAGAATGTAAATGATCATAAACAGTTCCTGTAAGGCCATAAATTCTCCTTTCACCACCCACATGAGTCTTTAAAATGGCCCACTATTACTGTAAACTGTGTTTCTGTATATATAAATAAATATATATAATTTGAATAAATAACATTTTGTCAGGAAAAGAAAAGAACAGGAACTATAGTATCCTTTAAATATTTGATTTAGAGCCAGGGACTTATTTATTCTGTTGCATTTATTTGAACTTGACCTTTAGCAGACTAGCAGAATTTTCAGATTCAGGGTGTCCATAGTGATTGGTGTGATCATTATCAGAGATAATATACCAAGAGGAAACATATCCAAATTTTGTATTGAGCTGCCAGTAGCCTAAATATGAGCAGCATAACAGACCTCCTTAACAGTGGAAAGAAATCAAATTCAGGACAGTTGCAATAACGCAGAACCAATTTTCTGTACGTCTGTCCTGTAAGATGAATGATGTCTGGTATCAAAGGTGGCAGTCATGTAGAACGATACTGCAGGAAAGTAATTACCAGAATCCACACACCCAAAGAGAGGATGACACGCAAAAAATGGCCACAGGTTGGACTCAAACCTATGGCTACTGCAACAAGGTCTTGGTACATGGGGCGCCAGCTCCACTGATAATAAGCGCAGAGGCACCACCACCTTAGACACAGCACCAGAAACTAGCAGCTAAGCTATATGTGCCACTCTGTTGATATACCAAGTATATTATCAAATTCTACACGGCATTTCTATAGTCGCTGATACTTAATTGACAATTTGTGCATACCATATGTCAGTGGCTTTGCAGAGTAAGATGGCAGGGTCCATGGGGAGAAGAAGATCAAATATGAAATGGCCTCGACCAGACCTTGTTAATTATGATGATTGAACTACTCTGATAAATAAGGAATACAATGGGTTACTTTCTTACTGTAAATACACCCTGAATAATAGTGAAAGCCAAAATGTGCATCTTTGCCACCATCTGGTGGTAGTATCAAGAGTGTCACTGTGGCAGACCACGTTGTTGTTTTTCCTACTGTGACAGGTCAAAATGACTACTCACCTATTATCATTGAAAAAAGTAGTTTGGTGTAAGTCTGATGTAAGAAAAAAAATTTAAAAATTCAAAACAAAACAAAGCTTGTCTCCATGTGTAATATAGCTCTTCTTAATATTTATTCTTTAGACTCAGGGGAAACAGCTGATTTTTTACAGCACAATTTGCATAATATCTCAACACATCCTGTGTACAACCACAAAACCATAACAGTAGATTCTTTGTTTTTACACTGAGTGAAAAACAAGACAATTTTACAAGCATATTTCTTTACAATCAGCATACAGATAAATCTATACATACTCTCTTTTTAAACATAATCTGTAGGCAAAATATACAGACAAACCATCAACAAAACATGCAACATCCAAAACATAAAGTCTCTGACAACTATTGAAGTTGAATAGATTTTTTTCCCTTTGTGTTGTTTCAGCTGTTTACAGGACGTGGTTGCACAGATAGTCATTGGATGACAGCACACGTTTTGATTACACAGTCAAATCCCCTTATACAACTATAGACACGCATTGCTGTACAGTAAGTCTTTTGTGATTTTTTTTCGACACTCACATGCTCAAACTTCGGACAATATAAACATTCAATCTTTGTAGAAAATAAACACTTTATGTACACATGTCAAAGGACTTAAGTCACATTCACACTCCTCAGAACAACAACAAATGGATGGTTTCACAATTACAGGCAACAGCTGATCTTAACAAACAGTATTTAGCTTGAGGGAAGTCTAATGAAACACAAGGGGTTAAACAGTCATGACTGAGCATTGAGGGAATAGGTTTTATTTACTGTATTTTGTACACAGACTGTTAAGTAGACTATGAGCATAATGTAGTAGGGTGAAATCTTCCCAGATTGTGCATTGTGTTTAGGAACCCCAGCATGTCAGCATGTATTCTTTTGCCACATTGATACAAAATGCACACCACAATATTTTCTGCCACCACATACACCATGACTCAGTTCATTTCAGTGCAGGAACACAAAACACATAATCTTGCTTGTCATGAAAGTTGGAAAATGAGACAAGGAAATAAACAATGTAATAATAAAGTGCACAAGCTCCATGTAGATGTTAACAGCGGTTAACATCAATTTATATTAAAATCAGTAAAAAAAAAATCAATATAGTTAATATTTCTTTCAATGATGTACAAATTAAAGTTATTTTTCTATAAGACATATTTTTTGACCATATGTTCACAAATATAACATTTAGTTCCAAAAAAAACAAATGCATTCAAACACATCTATGTTGCATAGAATTAAGAACCAATGGGTCTAGAATAAAAAAAAATTAAGATTGGCACAGCAAAATCATTATCTGAAAACTCAACCACATTTCCTTCCTCATTATATCCTCTTTTTTGTGAACCTTTGCTATAAGATTAAGTGACATCTTGTTCTGAATGTGTTTCTTGTTTCCTCTGTTATATTTAATTCTTTAAAAAAAATTGCATCAGCCCTGTGATATGCCTAAATACACTGACAGCAGTTCTGAGGGTCACTTGATACTGTTTTTTTTTTCCTTCTGTAGATGTAGTGGCAAAACATTACAAGATGAATACATGGGTCACCTGCTCCACTTTAGTACTGAGACTTGGCCCATATGTTCTTCTGACTTAAATATGACTGTACCCCATTGGGCCTGAGTAAATGTTTGGTCACAGGCAGTGAAAGAGGCTGGTTCACTGTGTTGCAACGGGAGTCACTGACACATAACAGCATAATGAGTTTTACAGCACAGCCAGACACACAGAGGAACCTTGACATTTGACTGGTAAGAACATTTTTTTCTTCTTTTTGAAACTATTTTTAAGTAAAACTGAGACCAGGTTGGGTGTTTACTAATACAGATAGCATAGCTGTCATACTGAAGTAATGACAGTTGCAGATCTATGTATGGTTTTGACACAACTTGTGTGAATTACATGTCTATTCCAACTGTAATTGGGCTACTCAGAAAGAAATATTAGCATACGCTGAGCAACTACAACTGTCTTAAAGTAAAATGTTGTACACATGAGACCGATGTGACAAACTCTTGTCATCCTCTATGGTTGGCTTGTGTAACATTTAACACAGCATGTGTTTTGGACTTCCACTGTAATTACAACTTGACCTCCACAATCACATGCCAGTGAAATAGCAATATGCCACTGGATGTTGACCTTGACCAAATGTTAATTTATCACAGCCCTGTTGAATATCTAGTGGTGCGTCAGCGTGATCAGAGGACCGAAGGAGCTATTTTTCATGAACATCCTTGAGCTCACATAGGTCCACATTCACATAACAGCTATTAAGACTGCCTACACCATAGACTAAAGTAGCCTACTGGATTGTCAGTGCGCCACCCACAGCCACAGAGATCATATGTCTATATTTTAATATATATTTAGTGACAAGAGAACTGTTACTGTATATTATATTTAGATATATTCTGCATCTATATCTTTGTATATTATATAAACGTCACACTGTACAATGTGATTCTCTGATATGCTCTGTAGTCTGCATTTGTGATATCTACAATCTGAGGTGCTGTACATTTTATCTTCATCCCATAGCAAAAGTCAACTGTCTGACTCTGTTCAACATAAGCTTTGTTGTTGTTTTTTTCTTTTTACTTGAAACTGAAAGACTATGATACAAAAACGGTATGCATTCCTCCAAATATTTCAAGAACACTAATGACCACACACGTCAAAACCATTATGTGAGCAATACAATGGTGACTCCCATATGAATAAAACACAATGCTAATTCAGTTGATGATTATGTGATCAAATTCACATTTTTTTCATCTTTCCCTCTGATAGATATGTTAGCTAAGTTGCACAGCACCAAAATAACAAAGTGTCATGTGGATTGTGGAATTGGAACTATGGTAAGAAAGACATCACTGCTCTCAATGCCATATTGCTGCTAAGTCTGTTTCAGTGCCTGTTGTGGCGTTTGCATGTTTGCATCGTACAAGTAAAGTCCACAACCAACAGAGACCCGACATGGGAGGAGGTGGATGTGTGCTGGCAGTGTTGGACTGATACAGTTGTTATGGTATTAGCACATAATTCCCTACTTCTTATAACGTATGAACCGAGGAAGTAAAGGAAGAATGGAGGAATTAAATGGATCTTTTTTTTAATTTCCTCTTCTTTATTTATTTTTTCTCTTATTCATCTTTTTGTCAAACCGGACCTCTGAACTAGTACATTCTGGCTTCATCTTCATCTAGGCTTATCTTATATCCAACTTGTCGGTGTGGTGCTCAAGGGTTGGTCTGAGTGGAGCTGACAAACAACTTGTGCCAGCTTACCACTCTTTTCCTCATGTCCACCTTATCTAGCCAGATGTAGGCTTCCCCTATCAGGGTCTTCTTCATGAACTTGCCTCCATTGGACACCAAGAAAAGCTAGAAATGCATTGGAGAGAGAAAAAGATTTGTCATGACTTTTTCTGTTGTTATATTTTTGTGTTTAGCTCACACACCCAGTCCATCTTGAAAAGTGTACAGGTAAAGTCATGTTATCCAGCATGAATATTGCAAACAGAATTGGGCGAAGTGGTTATAATCTATCGATTATATAAATATAATATTTCTATTGTGAAAGAAATAAACACTTTTAACATTTTAATCAGAATGAAATATGGACATATTAGTATTATCCTTAATTACAAATAAGAAATGTACTTATATTGGTTTCACACTTTTTCATTTTTCCTTTAGCATTGTCTGAAAAGGAGTCAGTGAGCATAATTTGCCACTATGTATTAAACTCCAACAGTCTGTATCTAATTAACCTTTTATAGACGCAACAAGTTACTTATAAATGTTACTATCCTGCAGTCGCCAGGAGGTGGCTCCAAGCTGCTACGCGAGGCAGCAGACCAGTTTATAAAACTTCCAATAATGAGATTTAATGCTTGTTTTGTCAGACATTATAAGCCTCCAGTTTCAATCAGCTGTAATGAGCCATTTTAGAAACGTAAGGGAGTATACATAACTGTCTTATGTGGGTGTCTGTTGTACCTGTATAGAATGTCCAGTTGGGTTGAGAGGGAATCTGAAGGTCTCATTGAAAGAGGGTTCTCTGTCATGTCGACAAACTCTGGTCTTCTTTTTGATGATCCTCTTCTGAGTGGCTACATTTACCACATACAACTTCACGTACAGATCTGAAGATAAATTAAAGAAATGATGAATATTGTTTAGTAAAATATTAATAAAAACACACACCCATGTATGTCCACTCAGCCATGTGCACAAGTACACACTACTTTCAGACCTGGTAGGTGGTCTGGGCTCTTAAACTTGTAAGTGATGTTTCTGCATTGAAGGATCTCCAAAACCAGTTGGTCCCCTTCCGTCTTCACCTCCTTCTTGAGAGCAACCTTGATCTCCCCCATTACTTGTGTTTTACCACCTGAAGACAAGAATGAATGAGAAATGTAGATGATCAGTTTTTAGATTAGAAGTTGGAGATTTATATATTTACATTGAAAGAAGTGACTGAACCCTACATTAAGTACCTGCAGGCCGATTGCATGTTCTCCTAGTTTCACTGTAAGATTATTTAAATAATTTAACAATTATACATCACTACACTCACAGCAGAACGAAAGCAGGCAACATCTCAGCAGTTTTACATGGGTCTTATTAAATGCCATTTGTCTGTATTGATATTTACAGGTCCAGTGTGTAACATTTAGCAGGGTATGTTCACAGAAATTTTATATAATATGCATAACTATGTTTTCATTACTGTATAATCACCAGAAAATAACAGCCAGATGCCACTAAACCCTACACACTGGTCCTTTAAGCATAAGGGTTTTTACTAAGACAGGCTGAGTTAAATATGTTAAATGAGTCATCAGGCACCATGGAAATGACCTTGTGACCCCCATCTGTGTAACAGCTGCCAGGCTACAGCCTAAGATGACCTTGGGCTCTTTGTTACAAATTGAAACAAGAGATGGAAGGGAGGCATCATGACACCTGAGCTACATGAACCGTAGATATAGTTATGACAGTGGGTAGGATAGAGTGACATCCACTTCTCCTGCACCACCCCAAGCCATGCGTTAAGTTGTTAGGGTGGATGAATATTGTTAAGTGACAGTAAGCTTAATTAACTTGTTGAATCCAAAATTGAATAGAGTCATTATGAGAACACAGTTTAGCGATGGTTAAAGGAGCAGCTGGAGGGGCAAGAAATTGTGTTATTACACAAAATACCCAGCAGATGGAGACCTACAACCAAGTAAGAAAACATCTGTGTTTTTCTTCCACAGACTCAAGATTTTGTTATAACTGTAAACAGAGGACATTTCTGGAACTTGCCTTCATTTTCTGGGGTCCCTAGTTGGTCTTTGTCGGTGCCGTTAGGAATAGTCTTTCCGCTATGAGAACAAAACAGATGAACACTGCCTTATCCACACGAAGATATAACACAATTTTACATATCGAATGACAAAGCAATACTGGGCATTACTGGATTCACACTGTGCTAAAAATGATCCACAAATTGTCTTACATGCGTGGCACTTGAAAAATGGCACTGTCCACTCCAGTGCCCGCCCCCTCTTCACTATCCAGACCTCCATAGGCGTCTCCTACAAGACTCGGGGCAGACAGCACCACTGATCCTGAGACATCACCCAGTCGGTGTCCTGGTCCTGAGGATGGCAAGAGTAAGCGTGATGGTGAGGAAATCTATCTATCTATCTATCTATCTATCTATCTATCTATCTATCTATCTATCTATCTATCTATCTATCTATCTATCTACACAGCAACAAACAGAGCACATTCACTGACTCAGCTTTTACCACACATGCATGCATGTCCAACAGATATGGTGAAACACTTCACACCCCCAGCTATCACTCACTGACAGTCACGCTGTCTGTCACACATAACTTTGACTGAGCATTACATGACAGCATATCAGAGGAAGAACAAACTAATGTAGATAACACCCTGTCCTTGCATTTGGCAGTGCAGTAGGTAACCTCAGTTAACTCACTGAGGCCTGGACCATAAATAAAGGTCTCTAAGTTTAATCCACACATGAAAATATGTTTAGTGCTAAACAATATGGATGTTCTTCCATAGATTTAATCATTTGTTTTTCGCTCCTGGCTGCTGTGGAGTTATGCTCATACAGTATGAAAGCGAGTGATTAGTTCTGGGAATATATGAAGCGGTTCTGTCTAGACTAAGGGAGGATACATTCTTTGCCTTCATGGTCACAGTGTCCACTTTCCAGTAGTAAGAAGTAAGATTATGTTTGAAACACAATCTGTGAATCAAAGGCAATAGCTGGGAATTTTGTTTCTACATCCACAAAAAACATAATTACATCAATAACAAAAAACACATAAAAACAGACACACACTGACACTCACAGACTTATATACATGGAAATCATTAAATGATTATTAATTTGTTACTTCAATTATTTACACATTTGGTTAGACTTCATTTTCTTTATCTATTTTTTAAGTTTTTAGTTTTAGTGTATTTAGTAAAAGGGGGTAATAAGATAGGATTAATATTTATCAGTACATTTTTCCTATGTTGCCTCACCTTCCCTTGACACTTCTGTTCCCCTCATGGTTAGCTGACCGCTTTACTCTCATTGGCCGGTGAGTGCAGAGTGAGCCTCCTGTTGACTTTTGAACCTCTCGGTGTGTCTGTGTTTCCTGGTTTGACTGGTTCAGTCTCACATTTGTCTCCCTTTGTTTAGGTAGTGGGTTTGGGAAAGGATTGGGTTGGGAGGGGAGCCTGTGTGCCATAACTGTGTGTGTCTGTGTGTGCGTTTTGTGACTAAGGGTTCATTCATATGGCACACACATGCAGAAAGAGAGAGAGAGACTGCAGCATCACAGAGTCCTCTGTGGCCAGGGAACAGTAGCCAGGGAGCTGCAACTGCATGCTTAAATAGCTCTGACACTGGGCTAACTTATCTTAGAAAGGGATGACAAATCGTTTTTAAATTTGAGGGCATCACACTAAAGATTGCGCATAAACATGAATTCATATTGTTTAAATAATGTTAATATGGTACAAAACATGTGAGGGATTGCCATCCCAGCTTGGTTTCTATACTGGGGTTGGAGCTCTCCACACTGGGGTTCTGTAGAAACCATATGCTTGGGATTGGCACATGCACAACTCGTGTAGAAACAGAGGGTTCTGGGGATCTTATTTTGGAGTGAAAGAAATATATATTTTCCTTTTTTGTTATAAGTAGTTAAATTGTTCCACTACGTTAATAACTCACAGTAATGTATCAACTTTATATCCTACTTAATATACCCAAATAGGCAGCACAAATGATAAGCAGATGGAAAATGTCAAATACAGTATTTGGAATATTTAGCACACTAAATGTGCCAGATTTATAGATATTTAATTTCAGATTTAAAGACTGAATAAAATAAGATTTTATAGCAAGTTTAGGTTTTGATATATCACAGGTCTTTTCCAGCCTTGGATTTTTTTTTTTTTTTGTGACTATATTAGTTAGATTGGTCTAACTTGGAGAAGGCAGAAATTAAACTAAGATTATTGATCATACAAATCACTCTCAGAGAAAAAGTAAGATGAGGACAGCAGAAGGCAAAGGTAAAATGTTAAGGAGGTGAATGTATAGTGGTTCAGGTTTTCATCAAATGATCTCAACAAAGCTTGCATGCGCAGGAAAAAGGAAGCATGTCACAGGAAGAGTATCATGGGTAGGGGCGGGATTTACTTGGTTGCAGGCGGGATTGTTGCACGGCAGCCTCGGCGGCAGCAATGGCTATTCCGGCATCCTCAAGGTGGGCCTGAGTGACGCTGCTCTTGCTTTGGCTTCGGGAAGGGCCATGGGAGCGCAGTTGGCCATCAGAGGAAGACTTCGAACTGCCTGGGCTGCTGTGTGACTTTTCCAAAGGCATCATCTGCATGTCTGCGGAAGGATGAAATAGGTTATGACTGCTGATGGGACAACAGAAAGGAGATGTAAACTTGAAAAAAAAATCCACAGAGGACCTGATTGTGCCATGTAGCAGTTGACAAGCACACAGAGTGTAATTACAGCTGTCAAGAAATGATTAGCATTTCTGTTTCTATGGTAACAGCCCATTGCTATGACAACTGAGTGAACATGTTATGCATTAAACTTTTTATCTCAAACAGAAACCTGCTAAGGATAATAATATCAGTTATAATTCAGAATAATCAGTCCTATAGAATAAACTGATTGGAAATCGAGAATGAGTGGATTATTTTACCTTTGGCTGGATCAGGGAAGATTCCGTGGCTTCTGCTCTTGATTACAGAGTTTTTAGGTGAATCATGACTCCCATCTCCCTGTCCTGGTGCTTGACCCTGTCCCATTCCATGCCCCAGCCCCATCCCCGGCACTGACATATAGCCTTGGCTGTGTCCCTGACCATGACCCTGACCTGAGCCTGACCCGGGTGGGCCTTGAGCAGCATGGTGGGCTCTGCTGTGCTCAATGCTCTCACTCTGCTCCTTCAGAGGCAGCCAGCGAGGAGTGTTGTCTAGCTGGGCAGTGTTCGACAAGTCAATCAACACCTGAGAGACACACAGTGACATTGAGAGATACAAAAGGAGACTCTAAGAAAAAGACTCAATGGTAGAAGGGGAACAAGGAGAGGAATTTGTATGAAGGTAGATAAGAATCTGCTAAAGAATAAGAATAAAAATGTATATATTTGCCAAATAATTGTAATGCATTGAAAAAAAATAAAGCAGGAGAAACCTTTTGTGTAAATACTAAATGCATTTAACATTTTCAGACATGGGATTCCAAAAGCACTCACTTCTCCAAGAAAGTCATTGGAGGAGGATCTGTCATAGTCCCACACTGTTACCTCCAGCGTCTTTTTCTTTAACTGGATAGAAAGAGTGAAGGAGAGCAGAGCGGGGCACAGATTATAATGACAAATCTTGTGTGCATGTGAGAGGGAGAGAAATGTGGCTGTGTGAGTGTGTCTGTGTTTTTGTGCATGTGGGTGGGGGAAACATGAAAGAAAACAGCTCAGGCACACAGTATTCTGCAGTGCATGAATGAATGCAAAACTACAACAGGAGGGTCATTTATTGTAATCAGTGAGGAAGTGAGGAGTTAAATACAGATTTGGTTTGTTCCAATATATGTCCATACATGTGTGCATATATCTGTGAAAGTGTATGTGTGTATGAGAATGTGTGGGAGGAGATGGAAACATATCTCAGGGGGTTGTGGGCGAATGAGCAATGCAGCAGCATTTTTAAGGCTGCTCCAGCCAGCAATGAGACGTGATTAACAGAAGGCAGCCCCAGAGGAGCCAATGAATTCTCTACCTTCACAAAAGGCCTCTACTCTCTGACCACTAAAGCTATGCATCTGCACTCATCCCTCACAGTTGCAATTACTGTCTGGGTGGCGTCTCTGTCACATACAACACATTCGTGCAAACACAGACACCCAAGAACACGCGTACCAATATACACGGTAACACTTAGCACAGTGACAGACAAGCACACAGGCACATGATTAACACTTTTTGTTAAATTAACACGCAGTTAAGCTAACTGTGTTCAGACTGTGTGAGAGCAGAGATTATGCTTGTTAACTTGAGTCTTGGGAGTGCTGATAAGCGGTTGCACAGGGGTGTTGAGAACAGCCCAGGGGACAAGACATGACGAGGACAGAATCCTAATAAGACATCCACTTCACCCAAAGTGGCCCACAGCACATAGCTACAGTAACTGAACAAGCATGACAGAGTGAACATTTGTGTGTGTGTGTGTGTGTGTGTGTGTGTGTGTGTGTGTGTGTGTGTGTGTCATTCTGCACAGTACCTGCTCCAAATGAATATTCTTGTAGATGACAGTCTGGTTCCATTCTGGGTTCATGGTCTTCTGGGCATACCTGGTCCTTCTCTTGTTATCAGCACTGATAAGTCATGATATTCAGAATGATTGGTTGTCAGTAATAAATTAAAAGTTCTCTTCCCTGTCTGACCCCATGGCAAACATTCACCAAACTGCGATTCAATAAAGGTGGACTGAATAGATGTTTGTGAAATAGTCAATCTCCTGTTGTGGAGACTTCAGAAACAAATCCAAATGTAAAGTGTTTTTTAAATTGTCTTGTTTTGACTAACATGATTTTACAAAATCACAAACTGTTTTCGAGATAGAAGCTGAGGAGAGTTAAAAGTGAGAGGCGTGGAGAGAAAAAGCAATGAGAGGAGTGGTCTTAAACACCATGAAATACAGCAGATAATTGGACGAACAACAAAGGCCACAACAAAAGGATGGAAAAAACCACTTTGGAGACATAATTTACAGAAAAGAAAAACACCAACTAAAAGCAAAGATCAGCACCACACTACCTTGCATTCTGGACAACCATGACTTGGCTGAGGGAGTCCAGAAGAGGAAGAGGAGGGCAGATATCACAAACAAGAAAAGCAAAAACACAAAAAACAGTCAGAGAAGCCCAGAGAGCTCAAAGAAAAGGCAGTAAAGGATAGAGAGCTGAGGCAATCAATATTATATGCTGGGTGTATCACTGTTTATGTGCCCAAGCAATGTAAGTAACGCAAGACCAAAAACCTCCCAGCGGTTACAACTGGCTCATGGGTGAATGACTTATTCACAATTCTGAGCTGTTGTTGAGATACCGTAGATGTGCACGCTACTGCTAATGTCACACAAATACGTTTTAAAATACTCTTCAAATGAAACAGCAGGGGGACAAAAGTGCCTACTCCTCCTACAGAGCTTTGATTTCTAACCTACTATATATTGTGCCGGTAGAGAGGGTTTATAATCTCATAAACAAGTCAGATGGGTTCATTATCTGAGAGCAGATACTGTTACAGAGCAGATAAAAGCTGTATCGATCCTTTCTCTTACTATTCACTGGCTCTTGGGAAGACGATGGAGCTGACAGGATAAGAGAAGGAAGCCCAGCTAGGTCATAATATAGGGGACTACAGTAAAATGCTCACTTCAGTCAAAAGTGGGTAGAGTAAGAAAGAGCTTGTGAATTCAGCATACTGTAGAGCATGCTGTACACTACAATGTTGTAGTATGGCAAGTCTCTCCTATCATAGATTTGTATAAAGTCTACCGCACCCATCCATTGATTCATAGAGACTGAATCAAAGTACAATACAACTGACTGCCTCATGTCATCATGTCCAGTCTCATTCTCTCATACAAAGTTAGTAAGTTCCATACAGCACAGTCAATACAAAGTCAGAAAGAAATAGGGGAGAGAAAACAAGACAGACACAGAAGCAGAGAGGGAGACAAAGACCAGACATTTGTGAAGACTTAAACAAACTCAGAGCTCACCCTCTCCCAGGTAAGAGGTAAACTTTGACAAAAGGGTCAGAGTAGCCGTCGTTGTCCCTCTGGGCCAGGTTTCTAGCCTGCAGGACGTGAACGATCAGGTTTCCTAGGTTCTTGTCATAGTTGATCTGGAGCTGAGGGAAAAACAGTGGAGATGAGGCTCTGTGAGAAAGATCAAACTACAGATGAAAAAAATTATCTAGTAGCCTACTTTTTGTTTATTCATACCTGAATTTCTCCAGTGATGGGATGAGGTATTTTCATGACCTCTGTTGTCTACAAAAAAAGTGGAGAACAAGAGCACACAGTGGTTGTAAAATGATTGTCATTACCCTGGGATTAGGTTACAGTAAATGGTGCTCTGACTTCACTCTTGAAATATGTACTGTGAGCTTACAGATGAATGGGTTCTCCTTGTAGAGAAGATGCAGAGTAAAGATTTTGCATTGATGAGCCTCAGGAGAGATTTGACTATCTGAGCCGTGTAATTGACTGCAAAAGTCCTCCATTGTAGATGAAGAAGGTTAATCATTTATTTGAGGTGCTTAGATATTACTTGTCTATTTTAGTTTTGTTTCATTTCCAAAATACAAATGTATTATTATTATTATTATTATTATTTTAAATTATTTGTTTGATTCATCACCATTTATGTTACAAAAGACAAAAGAGAAGATCTTTTTTTATGTAAGTATGATGCCTTTTAGGAATCAAGCATTAAAACATTGGTTTATAATGAAGTACTTATACATATTGCCCATTTCATGTGTAAAGGAACCCACAGCCAAGGTCATGCACTGTACCACACAGTTTTTGTGTTCCATTATAATTGGCCTGTCACTCTCTGATGATCACAGTCACACCATTTGACCTTCATGTTCAACCTACCCTTTGTACTGTATGATGTAATACTAATGGAGGCGTATGACATGTTACGCAAGATTCCCCAGACTGCAGCTTAAAACAGATTCATACTATTATTCATTCAGAGTAGATTTACATTTTGCACAAAGTATCAATCTCTGAGCAATCTATGAACCAGTTGTTCACTATATGTTCACTTCTTGTCATCACATTGTAAACTGAACTCTTCACAACTGAAGAGAAGTAGTAGTCAAATCCACTACCTTGTGCCGTTGTTTCTTGTTTATGGCCGGGGATGCGGGCTGGCCGGGGCTTGGCACACCACTGGAGGCAGCTGACCCAGTACCTGAGTGGAGGAGGGCAGAGCGCTCCAGTGCAGAGGGTACCCCCAAACCCGCAGGCCCAACCCCTGCTCCTGCCACACCAGGACCCTGCTGCTGAGACACCTTCTGCAGTTCTGCAGCCAACTGCTTAGGGTCCACACCTGGGGAACGTTGCCCACCTACTAAGACAAATGTGTATAATAATGCACATTGTATTTACGTGATGCATGCAGACGTATCAACAAATCAAACAACAAATTGTACATACCAGCCTTAAGCTGGACATGGTGCTCCAGGGCTTGTGGGTGCTCAGGGTCAGACAGCATATTAAGGTCGCTGTTTGGATCCATACAGGAAATGTGTGATTGAATATCAACCAGTGTATCTTAGCAGTAATCAGTCACAGAGAGATATTTGTCAGATGAAGGGGTGTGGAATGAAGAGAAGGGAAAGGAGGGAGGAGAGAAGGTGTACATGGGTGCAGAGTTGCCATATTGCGACTAAACATGTTGGAGTTTCAGTGGGATAGAGGGGTAAATGATGACAGATGTAACTCACAGTCTCACGCAGAGCTCCGCCTCTGCACATGGCTGGCCCATGATGCACTGCACTTCTTCATAAGTCTTTGCCGTCAGAGGGACTCCATTCCACTCCAACACCTGCATTCCTGTGGTGTGATAAAGACCATAAAGCCGATTCAGAGACAAAATGGTGTTTTCAATTCCCAGACAATATGTTATAGCCTGGGGTATTTCATTTCACCTCATCTCAACATATGAAACAAGTTTCAGTCTGGTTTGCGCAGCCTACATGTTCACATAGCATAAGTAATACTTCAATTTGGATTACAGCCGGTGGAAAATTTCAATAATCTAATTTCCAATTTGCCTTTTGTTTTGACTTCCATCATCATAGCATTACACACACATAGCACAGCAACATGAAACTACAGTTTTTCACACACTCTTTTTACTCAAACAAAGAATGGCATGTCAGAAGTAAAAGAAGTGATTCAAAACAACACATTTCAAAACCTAGCATTAAAATATGTAAATTAATGCATGTATGTTATATATTATATTATAACAATAATCAGTGCACGGCAAACTCAAGCCACCAACCCAAGGCCAAAGCTGTATGAGGCCTCACTTACACAACCGAAAACTGGTCTTCAGATTTGACTTCTGCTTACGAAGCAACTCACCAGCTGCTGTGACAATAAAGGCTTGAATTAATATCTCCATATACTTCTGCATGAGCCAATGCCCATTTAGATTATCCCCTGTGCTCTCTCAATATAATTCACTGTAACTTCCCCCACTGTATTTCTCTTTGCACCTGAAGGCATGTTCTGCTGCCATTCTCTTTCAGCGAAAACATAAACATCACATTTGCATAACTACAGTGCATATGCTAGTAAATAAACTAATAATGCCACAAAAAGGGAATAGTCTAACATTTTGTGTTATATGTTTTCCAAAAAACTAAATATATCAGGCCAGATACAAAAGAAGAATTACATTAGATGATCTGTCCTTCACCCCCTCCCCTGTGCAATAGCAAAGTCATGGCAGTCTTTTCCCATTGGAGAGAGAAACTGGAACCAATTTTGTCCCAGAAATATCCTCAAACTGTGGGATTTAACATTCATATTTAGGCTCTGTCCCTTCAATAAACATTAGAAGATCAATCATTTGAAAATTATATTAATTAATGTACAATTTGAGTAGGGAGTTTTGAATGTTCATAACACTAAATAGTGTGTATGTGTGTTGGTTTATGCCTGCCTTTGTGTATTTGTGTGCCTATAATGATGCTATATATAGCCTAATGACTAACATAGCCTACTGCTGTGGAGGGGGAGTTGACAGGCTTTATCTGTGTTTGGATGTGATGTGTTGGGGAATAAGACATGACAGACCACAACACAGACGGATACAGCAGCCTCTCACATCTCCATCTGGAATTCAGTGATTCAGGCAGGGATTTTTATTGAAGGCTTAAACTACTCTAAAATGAATAATAGTTTAAATATTTAAATTTACACTGTTAATCTCTCAGGCCTCAGAAATGATATTTTTCGTATCATGCAGGCTACAGTATCTTTCCAAGCAAAGTCAAATGAATGTACCTTCTATATCTTCATTTGAACTACATGTTTTTTTTTATGGAAAACTACATACTTCCATGTGTTTTTTTTCTTACTACACTAGGGCATATAAACAATACTTTATACCACTTCCTTTTCTCATTCTCCTCTTACCTTCTACAACTTTTCCTGTTTGTTCTGCCACACCACCAGGGATAACCTTGGCAATATAGGCTCCAATCTCTCCTCGGCTCCCTGGAATCTCCTTCCCACCCACCACACGGATCCCAAGTCCGTTCGCTAAGGGAAAAGTAAACATCCAATCCTAATTAACAAAACTGTGATAGAACATGATTGTGTGCATAATCATTGTATATATTATATATATATATATATATATATATATATATATAACTGGGTGTTGTGTGTTTGCCTTACCTGACACACTGGTGTCCTTCAAGTCTCTCTTGAGCTTGATACAAGTGTGAGGGAAGGCATAAGGGACCAGTTTCATCTGAGAGAGATTTTTTTTAAATACATCATTTTAGTTTACATACTGAAATTTCAAGTAAACAGCATAGTGTGAAGTTGAATGTTGTCAGCTTCGATCTCACCTGTCTCCTGTCTGACATGTTTCCACTCTGTGGATGCCCTTCTCTTGGCTTATCAAACCAATCTGTGTCCTCTCTCCTCAAGTGGTAGGCTAGACAGGGAAAGGTCATGGTTAAAAGCCATGTACACACAAACACACACCTACTGCATACCTGATAGCTTGATAAATCTCTGCTTTGCGCAATGTAATAATAGTTTGGGCAGAGATCAACCTTGCAATCAAGCTTTGAAAAAAGTTTCTAGTATGCATCACAAAGTTTTTCACATATCCATCCCTGTTTGCTCAAATGCAGGGATATCTCTGATCTGTCCTGACAGGATAGGTGAAAGCAAAGAAGTACAAACTCTGTTCCATCCTATCCATACCGTCTGGGAGATCAAATGATCAATGCAAACACTGAATGAAGGATGAATACATTTTAAGAACATTTTAGGTTTGGCATGCTTTTGATACCATGCAATGCTCCCTGTGTGAGTATGAGGGCTCTTTTTTGTCCACATTTTCATAGTTGTTATATGAAACATTGTTGTTGAAAGAAGCTCTTGGAAGCTATGTATTATAATATTCATAACCATTTTAGTCAAAATACTGTGGGTTGGAGTTGTCCCATTGTGTGATTTTATACCTATAATCATTGCATTGTATTTTTTCTTGACATAATTATTTGAGGGGTTAGGGCTGAGAAATGTCTACATGGTATCCAAATCCTTAACTACCTTTGTAGCTTATGGTATAAGATCAAAACCATATAACTTTGAAGTGGTACTGTACTATATTAATATATTTCTGAAGAACTGTAAGTGCAGTGCACTGTGAAAGCCCCCAAAGCTCATCAGACATCAAATACCTTTTACAGTAAGCATGATATGTAACATCTGAAAGATATTGGATGTCTTGTGCCACATTTAGCATCATTATTGCAAAGATCAGACTACTGCTTACTGCTTAGGCCATGGTAACGAGACAGTTTGGTGGGAAATGCTCTACATTAAAAAAGTGAGTCATCACTTTGGTGTTCAGTGAAATAGATTGTCACTAAGAAAAGAAGGTGCACAGATCCGCCAAACGTTCCATTCTATTATCAGTGATCTAACTCCACCAAGGGGATGCACCAGTAATGATGAAGAGAAATGGCCTAATGACCATTTATGCTGAAGGTAAATGTTGCCTGTTATCTACATGTCTTAGATTAAAGAGCACTGCTTATCAGTTCTTATCAGTAGAGTTTTGTGATCTAGAATCAATAAACAGTGGCAACATCGACCTTCAGGATTATATTAATCATTGGAGAAAATGCATTTACATATTTGCACATAATAGCAATTCGAACATATTTTTGTGGTAACACTTATGCATGATTACACAATAAACACGTGATTTCTTTTGCAAAAGTGCATGAAAATGAATACTGGAAATGGGTCTGATATTCTAACAAAACTAGTGTGATGTGCATGATGTATAACTGAGGTCACTACAATATATGACACATAAAAGATATCTAGTGTCATTAAGATGGGGTTCATTCCAGAATGGATCTGACATGTCAACCACTAGAGATCTACTAAATGACATGTATTGTGTACTGTTGAAATGTGGGTCATTCCAGAATGAGTCTGGCATGTTTACAAAACCAACCATAGAAGTGGATCATTCAGAACCATGATGTGCAGCATGGAGGCATACAGTCTCTATTGTAACTACATGGAAATTGGGATGCTGTCTCACCTTCTATATTCCAGTTTGGGCCTCCAGCTGGGGTACAAAGTTATATGTTTTTTTCAGAAATGCGTTCAACATATGTTCATTAATCTCAAAAACTACAGGAACTGTGCTAACACTAGATTTGTATTGTGAAAATACTTCAGCACATGCACTGAAAGCTGTAAGATACATGCTTGAAATTACTGCAAGTCTGATACTACTAGCCTGTGAGTCTACAAATTTAAGCAGAAGCATTGTGAAAAACAAATAAAATACATTTTAGGGAAAAAAAGCCTTTTATCAATTAATGGAAGACGTTAAGTCATAAATAAGGGTTTTTAACTAGTACTGTAAGATACTCTACCGTGTCTGATACTTTCATGAAAGATTCTGGCATCGTCTCTGTTCAAAGCCAGCATGGACTCACTTAGTGCTGTAATCAAGGCAGATGTACACTTTTACATGGGGTCAGGACAAATATAAGCTTCTTATCAAAAATTTAACTATACTAATACTTTGAAAATGGTCCAGAAACAAAGCTAAAGTTGCTAAACATATTTTTTTACTGTTATGCATTGTGATGCTTATCTGATACTTAATGTGGATGACATGACACCCTCTTAAACTTAGTCCTAATTAGGCAAGTGTTTTACAAAAGGTCTTTCTTATTGCACTTTTAGCTGTGTCTAAGATTACTTGTTTCTTCTAAAAACCCCTAAGAATTATGAATTAACTTTTCATATGGCATATTGATATCTACAAAAAAGGATTTTCCTAACCTAATGGAACACTACCAATCCCACGCTTACAGAGATGGGGATAGTACATGACATTATTTGCTGTCAATCACTAGGGGGCATAGACATCTCACATAGCAATGAGACATCCACAGCAACAACCAACAAGCAGAAAACATTGACTTTATTAAGATGGAAATGGAAAACGTATTGCACAACATGCAAGGATGCAAAGTCAGATACAGATAGAAAATCAAAGATATATAAAAACAAAGATATACGGTTAACAGAACACAAATAAGACACAATAATATGATGCTAGATGTAAGTTTTAACAGTACACATAATTGCATGGTAGTCGTTGAGAGAAAGTCATTATATTGTAATAGTTAACATAGTTAACATTTACATAAACAAATTGTATGACTTTTAAACCGGCAGGTGTGTGTCACTGATTTGCCACTAGATAAATAACTACACAAAGTGAATGCTTTGACTGCATCTGCGTAGCACGTAAGTACATCCAGACACCATGATTCAGCAGTATTCCTTTAGACTTACTGCTGTTAGCTGGTCTCGAAAATAGCTTGAAAGGGTGCCTTAGAAAAGTAAATATACTTATTTTCGAGGTGATGGCCTACTTCTCACAAAGACACTATTTTGCTCTGCAGATTGGTGTGGGAGGGCTGAAAAAAAGAAAGAGAACATCCCTATACACCCTTGTCATACCTTCAGGTAAAAGTTTGCAGCTAAGACAGCTTTCAGATGGTCTAGATAGCATTTGACACTCTAAATGCCATTAACCAAACATTTTGTATATTCTGTATATGTATTTCATGTATAGGTTTACATGATTTATGTTTATGAGGCACTTCACATATGAGAAGATGATTATTCTTACACATTAATTTTACCATATATTTTTTACATCATTTTTGTTATTTAAGATTGACTTACACATTTTAGGACTTTTTTTTATAACACAAGGCTTTTGTATGTAAATTGTTATAAAAGTTTTTCTTCGAATCTCACTTTTAAATCAAATTATATTTAAAAAAATACTCTGACAGTCTGACATTGTAAGTCAATTTCTGAATAACCACTCGTGTACCATTACATGCCACAACCTCTCTTAATATAAATATTTGCAGGAGTGAATTCTCAGTAACTGTGTTATATCTACCATGCATTCAGTCAATGTGACCAGTGTAGATGCTTTCTTTAGGGTGACTGTAAAATTGTATTGCTCAGATTTTCAATGTTTCTTACTAACAATAAGGCAGCCATACTGTGGACAACAATGAATGAAGTTCAAGCCCATAGATTTTGTCCATAGATGTTTTAAGGGTAAAGATGATCATTTAACTGTGAAGGACTAAAGCAATTGTAAAATAAAAAGACAAAGCATGCTAATGAAATCACAGAACAAACATGGATAGAACTGATTAGTGACATACATAAACTCAGGCAAAGAGTATTATGTATCGGAGAATAAGATATTTAAAAGAAAGGAAATAGCATGCAAACATCTAACGTGACATTTACCGTGACAGAGGGAAATATAGTAACCAACAACCAACAACAATTATCTGGAGAACTGATGGTTGAGAAAGAACCAGTTAATGCACAAAGTCAGTAAGACCACTCAGCATTAGCATGCGTGACAAGCAGATCCAAACAGTCGAGTTTCTGCAACAGTCTCAGGCTCCATTTACCTTCGCTGTCAGACATGGCGCCTTGCAAGTCATCCATGATGAATGCGATGTCTCGATCATAGCCACGCGTCCGAGATTCCTCCCTCATATGTTGCTGTACCTCTGGCAGGGAATGGCTAGACCCAAATTGGTCCCTGGAGTCAGCAGAGATGGGAGGAAGCGGTCCAGCTGAGGCTCTAGCCATACCCATAGGCTGCCCTACTGGGCTCAGAGGGCTCTCCTCTTCAGAGTTCTGAGCCACAATGGGAATACGGCCCCGGCTTTGGCTGATAGGTAAACTAGTGGGCTTTGCTCTGGCCACCCCAGGGGCAAATGCTGCATCCAGAACATCTCCTTCTGTTTTAAGTCTAAGTGAGGAGCTGGATAAGTCCCGTTTGATAGATAGATCCAAGCCATAGACAGAAGAGGGGCGGGAGGAGGGGCGTGATGAGGGTCGGGAACGGGTGCCACTTGGGTAGGTGCCATCATCTTGGGCGGTGGACCTGATAGTGGATCCAAGTCCAAGGGATTGTCCAAGATTAAGAGACCCAGCTAGGTTGGCCCCCAGGGAGGAGCCCAAATATTTTTGTTGCTCCGACAAGTTCTTTCTTAGCCCAAATGTAATCTCATCCTGGAGTAACCTAGCCGTGGCAGCTAGATTGGTCACAGAGGAAGCTCCAGATCCTATGTAGCTGCCAAAGTCAGGCTCCAGGTCCCTACTCTCCTGAATTGGGGAAAATTTAGTAATGGCCTTAGGGTCTATTAGGGCCTTTTTGTTCTTCATCTGTTTCTGGTAAAGAACAGCTGCTGGGAGTTGCTTTGCAGCCTGTTTTTCAAGGGTGAGCCTGCCAATGCTATATTTTTCTCCTTTAGGGAAGTGGCGAAAACTGCTATCACTGGGGAGATACTGGGGCAGGCCCAGGCCTGTTAAGTGTTCTAGTCCCTCAGTTCCTCGCCTGAACTCTTGCTTAATCTGCTGCTTCAGTAGCTTCAGTTCATAAGGCTCCTCCATAGTGTCATCTTCTCCTTTAGTATAACTCTGAAGCCGAGATGAGCCTAAAAAATCTGCCACCTAAAAGGGAAAATAATATGATTGTTGTTTTCTCCACAGTAATGTAACTAAACTCACACAATGACAAATGTTTTTTGTTTTTATGTGTGGTACATATATTTTACGAATAAGTGATCAATAACATACAGTATATACAGAAGTGGCCAGACTGATCCATTGTGCCTACATTTGTTTGTAAATATATGCATAATGTGGAAAGGCTGAACCTCTAGGAACAGATGGATACTTTCTATGGACATAGACAACAGTTTCACCAATACACTGTAGCGTAAGACCAATAGCTAAAGCTCTATTTATTTGCTACATCCTAAACAGGCTAAAAAATTTATATTGGGAACAATAATGCAACAATACAGTATTTACCTCTGCTGTGCGCCTGACTTCTGCCGCCCTTAGCAGTCTGTCTGCCTTGGACAACTCCTTATCAGGCAGGTTGAATCCAGAACCCAAGCCGGTGTTGCTCAACCCTGTTGATGCCTTTGTTAGCTCCCCTATGTCCTCTATGAGCACGTAGTTCCTGGCGTTGTGGTGGTCAATATCAGCGTAAAAGGAATCAGCAGAAATGCTAGACATGGGACTGGAAGCCATGCTCCTCTCCTCTAGTCCCAGCCTCAAGTCCAAGTTGCCATACTTGCCCCCCAGGTGAGCCACCCCATAGCCACCTTCTGTGGAGGTTGGCACAATGAGCAGAGGCTGGTTGCGCATCACTTCATAGTTGGTGGTGATCTTAGGCTCTAAATCAGACAGGGTGGTTTGTCGCTGCTTTCCCTGTTGCAAAAGCAGAGCATGTTGGTAGCTGCTAGGTTGAGCCTGGGCATGGGAGAGGGATAGGGTTGGGTAAGGAGACACCTGTTGGTGGTAAATGGACTGCTGCTGATACAGGTTCTGCTGCGTGTAGTGGCTGGTAGTTTGGGTCTGAGGAACATACTGAGCATAATGAGAGTAGGGACTAGTTAGCGTGTTGTACTGGGAATCAGCTTCTGTCTGTGGGGGAATGAATTGGTCAAACTCCGACTGGGGAGCAGTGCGTGGTCTCTCCAGGCCATCAGCCCTGGCTTCCCTGATGTTGCTAACCTCACTGTCTGACATGTAGTCTCTTTCCTCTGCCACCCCCTGGAGATAGGCCCTTTCTCTCTTTTCTCTCTCCTTCAGCAAGGCTTCCTTACGCCGGTTGATACCCATCTCCAGGTATCTACAGTAATAATAAAAAAGGATACATATTGTTTTACAATTTTAGCGCTAAAAGTTCTATTAACGTTACAACCAAACAGGGATAATGTTCTGGGTTCTCACACATTAGTACCTTTTACTATGTGTGAGTGTGGAGAGGTCTCACTGAGTCATGTCAAGGCAGCCTTTTAGCCCATAAGCTATCAAGGTAAGAGGGGAATCATGCAGATGAATTAGGAATAATGATTGCATGAGAGGGATGAATGCAATGATACTGGTTTTATCATCCATCATTGGCAATTTACAACATATTAATTGGTTACTAACATTATTTATTTGAATTACTGTCTGAATTAGGGTCTGAACAAAAGCTTATATCGTGAATTGTGTTGATGTTAAATCTGTGGCATCTCACCGTAGCTTGGCGTCAATCTCCTTTTCCTCTTCATCTAGCTCAGCCTGTTTCTTGCGAAGTTTTGAAGATTCTCTCTCCACCAGATCCAGCTCCTTGTCAATGTCCTGCAGGATCTTTGCACGGGCCATTGTTGTACTGCGGGCAAGACGGCGACGAGCAGAGTTGGTGCTGTAGCCTGACCGTCCTGTCAGAGAGTCATCCTCAGGAGGGGGGTCTGGTAGTGTCCGTTTTACCTTCTTACCTGTGCCAGAGGGAGAGCCTCGGCCCTAGAACATGAAAAAAAAAGATACATTGTCAATAATTGAATGAGGATTAAAAACACATAATTATTGTTATCAGTAATGTCAAGACAGTCCATATTTTTTCCATTTATATTCTGAAATAACTTACAGAATAGCTGTCTGCATAGTATCCACCCATCCTGTCTTCTGTGGTAGGACTAAGGGATTTAGGATCAGATAGAGACTTCTGACCAGCCTTTAATATCCGAGGACCAGAGGAAAATCTGGTTGGGTCAGCCGTCAACATTCTTTGCCCTCCAAGTGACTTTTCCGGAGAAAGGGGAGAGACTGGGTTGTAGAAGACTTTAGACTTAGAGGGGACATCAGCTGTTAGGTGTGTGCTGTAGCCCACCTCAATGGATGGGTGCCTTCTGTCTGGGTCTGTCTGACAGCTCAGACTACCACCTCTCTGAGAGTTCTCTGGAGCTGAGATATGCTTGATGATTTCAACCTTGGTGTCCATTTGGACACTGGGTCGTTTGATAGTTCCAGAGTGGTCAGTCTGGACTGATATCTCTGCCACTGTCTGGATAGCAATGCTAGAGACCTTGAAGCCATGTTTTCCATCACTACTATGTTTTCGAGAGCGTCGTCGAGCTTTTGTGGGTGCATCCCATTCATCTTGGTCCTCATCATCAGTCTGAGCTGAGCTATCAACATTTCTCTTATTCTTCTTTCTCCTTCCTACATGCTGTTTCTCTGCTGAGTCTTCATCATCTGTCTGCACTCCACTATCAATTATTTTTTTTCCTGTGTCCTGATCAGCTTGAAGCTTCTTTACTAGATTAAGCTGGTCCTGACTTTCATCAAACTGTGTCCCAACAGATGGAATTGTAGACTCGTCTTTGACAGGCCAGTACTGACCACTGTCCCCTACCCCAGCATATTTAGCATCAAGGAGGTTCCCTGTGGTACCAGTGCTACCATAGTGCTCATCTAACTGCCGCTGCAGTTGCACTTGGAGTTGTTGGATTTGTTGCAACTGCTCTTTCTGCTGGGCATAGGTCTCCTGCTGGGCCACCATATGGGCATGGTGCTCTTCCTCTTGCTGTAGGAGAAGCTGCTGTTTCAGAGCCTGAAGCTCCTCAAGCTCCCTTTGGACCATAAGCTGCTCCTGTTCACGGTAACGCTGGATTTCAAGCCTCTCCCACTCCAGCTCCTCAGCGAGACATAACTGCTTAAGCTTCTCTAGCTCTAGAAACTCCCTTTCCATTTGATACTGGGCCATCTTGGTGTTGTCTAAGCCAGGGAATATTGGGGAGGATGCTAAGGCATCTAGAGAGGCAGCTATTGCTTCCAGGGTGGTGTCTGAGTACATGTCCGGATACCCTGTTATAATGTCAGCCAAAGCAGTGGGTAAAAGCTCTTTAGGTAGCCCAGTGTCAAAAGGAATTATCTGTCCTGGGTCTGTACTGGGAATGAAACCATACGGATGCGGCAATGTCTGGTTCTGGACTGTTGACGTAGGTGTTAAGGTAGTGCTAAAGACGGAGCCTGGTTGAGTTGTAATTGCATACGTGGATGGAACTGGGGCAGCAACAGAGGAGTAAACTATTCCATCTGAGGTTCTTAAAACACTATTTACACCAAACCCAGCTGCAGGGACCTGGGAATATGGAGCAGTAGTCATCCCAGGGTAGCCTCCAGGAGCTTTGCTAGTGTAGTCTAGAGCTTTACCTGCCATAATCAAAGATATAGATTTTAGTTTTACTTTATCAAATACAGTAAAATAATTCAGAAATAAACATACTGTACTGTATATGAGAAGGTCATGCAATTTGGATTTGAAAAGACTCCCACTGCACATGCATAACTGCAGTCATTTTGGTTAGCAAGATGCAAAACCAAAATATTGAGGGATCACACGCAGGCAAACACATGCATCTGTATGAAGACAAAAGAAAAAATAAATACATGTATGCATATTAAACAGCAAGGTAAATTAAACAATTAGAGAAAAGCATGAATTAATAAACTTAAAGGAAAAACAACCACATGTCTTCAGTAAGCAAATTATAGGACTTGGCATAGTAAAGGTACAATGATTCAAATCTATTTAAATCAATCAAATGCAAGCCCAAAAAGTAAGCATAGAGGATGGTAATAAAAAAAACTGCAAACTTAGCAGAAATACCCCCATACTTACCAGCAGAAAGTTTGGCAGCAGTAAGGTCTATGGCACCATCTGAAGATCCACTGAGATAGTCATAGTCATTCTTGGGATCATAGGAGAACAGTCCTGCCTCTGTCAGGTTGGTTTCCGACATTGAGGCTTGTATAGCATTCATGCCTTTGACACCATACAGTCCAGCATTGTCATATTGGTAGTGGTCATCTCTATAGCCAAAACGGTTGTCAGGTTGGGTTGTAACCGGAGGCTGTGTTCTGCAGCTTCCTGTGAATGGTAGCTTGTAAATGACATCACAGCACACACTCCTCCTACCAGCTGTAAGGTCAACTGGAGTCCCATCATCCTCTACAACAGTGGTCACTACTCCTGGGCTTGTGCCAGACAAAGCTACCATAGCTCTCACTGGTCTATAGTTTGAAAGATCCATGGCCCCTGTGGCCTCCAGAGAAAGGACAGGATATCCATTGCTGAGAGCTGCTGGGCCTGCAGTAATTGGCTGTTTGCCTCCTGTGGAGACTCCAAAAGAAAGATTAATGGGTATGTCTTGAACTGTGGATGCTATAGCACTAACTACAGCCTGGGAGTTCACAGGTCTGTATACAATCTGTGCTAGCGGTTCAAATGGTTTGTATGTAGTGAGAGGCAGAGGCAATGATGTAACAGGTCCCTGCAAATCAAGCGGCTTCTCTGCTGGAGTGTTGTTATATGAGGCAATGGTGGCTGTGCATGTGACTATTGTGATGCTGTCAGTGACAACAGACAGTGTGGTTGCTGGGGTGATCTCTGCACTAAGATTTACAATCTCAGGTTGCACTGCTGTGATTTGACGTCCACTAGTGTCACTTGAAAAAGACTGTCGACATGACTCAGGCGGTGTCAGATCCATGCCTTGTTCAGTCATCTTTACGCCAACCTTCATGGTACGTAAATCGATAACATCACCAGGGTAGATTATTTTCCCATTCTGTTTTGGTAGAGGTTGAACTTTAGCTACGTCTGGTTGTATAGTGATTGCCACACTGGGTTGGGGGATCTGAGGAAGTCTTTCATGGACAACAGAAACAGTGGTCCTCTGGACCTCAGTAGTGACCACCTGGGTGACCAGGCTAGGCAGGTTTTCAGGAGGCTGGCCTGAAGTAGAAATTGAGGAAGAATACATGTGACTCATACTGGAGACAACCTTTTCTGGTCCTCGAATCTCTTGGCTCTCAATAGATTCTTGCTGAATTTTAGTGATAGTGACTGGAGCCACACCCTGTGGAATGTCCTGTGCAGTGGGAATTGAAGTTCTCCTGGTGTATGCTTCACTGGTTATTATTTCCAGAGGATGATCATATTCTGATGAACAAGGCAATACTTGTGGTCTTTGTTCTGTTGAAGGAATAGATCCTCTCCTATAGGGAACCTGAACAGCATGACCATCAATACAAACATCTCTTTCAGCTGGCATGTTTACTACCTGTGCCAACTGTAATGGTTGCTGCATGGTTTTGGATTCTCTCCTGGTGGAAGCAAAGGCCTCAGTTGTAACCACCTGTGTGGGCATTTCATACTCTGCAGGATAAGTAAATATCTCACTTGTGGTGTATGGTTGCTGTACCATGGAAGATATAGATGTTCTCCTCCTACTGGTGGTTTCTTCAGTTGTAATAACTCCAACTGGCATCCCAGCTGCTGCCTGAGGCTGCATTGAAACTCTTCTTATATCAACATCCTTTGTCGTAATCTCTGTGGGTGTTTCACGTTCTGGCTGCAACGATATGACCTCGAGTGGTGGTGTTGAATGTGACATGACTGTTGATGTAGTTGCTCCATAGACCTGAGGTAGTTCTGGCTGTACTACCATTTGTTGAACTTCCACCCCAAGAGGTGATGGTGTTACTTCACCGGTTGTTGGAGTTGTCATCTTAGCAACTGTAGTTAGTTGCATTAACTTAGCTACTTCAGGTACTGAGATAACTTCAGGTAGAGGATGAGGTACTGGAAATACTGTTGCTATTCCTGGCATTCTAACAGAAGAGTCTGTTGTAATGACTTCTGTAGGTAATTCAAACTTTGTAGGACAGGTCACGACTTCAGCTACAAGAAGTGGTTGTTGCGTAGATAGCTGCCCTGTCACTTCTTGTGGTACTGATGGGAGCTCAGCAATGGTGTAAGTATTGTTAAAACCTGTTGGCAAATCTTGCTCTGTAGAGTGAGTCAACGCTTCAACTATTGTAAATTGCTGCTGAACAGGAAATTGCTGACTAACTCCTGGTATCGATGATCTTATTGTAACTGCCTCAGTGACAATGACATCAGTAGGTATATCCTGCTCTTTTTGAACCATTTCTATTTGTGTTGCAACGTGTGGATAAAGATCAGTTGAGGGGAATGCAGCTGGTCTATTTTGGGGAAATAGTACATCTAAAGGTACCTCAGGCTGCAGTGACAAAACAACATCTGTCAGAGGCTGTGGCTGCACAGGTACAGTTGTTATTGGGGCCTGATGAATTAGTACCTCAGTCGACATCTCTGGTAAAACTGTTATGATCTGTGTGGCTAGGTTTGGATGCTGAGAAACTGATGGTACGGACTGTGCTCTTGCTGTTGCTTGGACTGTTAATGGTTGAATAAGAACCCTTGACTCTGGGGGCACTGTGATGACCTCCGACATTGCTTTAGGTGGTGGCAGTGGCTGAGTAATTGACTGTTGCTGCTGCACATATGGTTTCTTAAGTGGAGGAGGTACACTATATACCTTTATAGATGTGTCCTGACCCGATGACAGTGTGATAGCATCAGCCACATATGGTGGTGGTTGCACTACAGAAGGCAGAGAGTCTCTCCTGGCTTGCACTTTAGCAACCACTTCCTCAGAAGCTGTAACTTGATCTACTGCCACATTTGGAGATACAGGTGTTGGAAGTGGATGCCTTACAGTGGGGACAGAGGCTCTCCTAACTGTAGCCAATGCTGAAAATGCCTCAGTGGGTGTTTTTTGCTCTGAAGGTGTGGTCCGTATCCCTGACACTTTTGCAGATGGAATGGAGCCTCGTCTTACAGGTGCCTGGACTGTTATTCCCTCTGTTGGTGAGCCAGGCTCAGATGGAAGGGTTATCACAACATAAGTTTGCAAACATTTTGCATATCTAGGCGACAAAGGTGACTTAGGAGATGTTGCACCCAACTTAGACTCCACAGGTCGTGTAAGGCTAAGTGACAGAGCATTTGGTGGTTCTTTGGTCCTAGGCAGTGTTGCAGCTTTGGGAACCACAGGAGGAGGAGGTGGCTTGACACTCTCTCCTGGCTTGTGGCTGAAAACCAGTCCTGCTGGAATTGATATAGGCTTAGGTGGTATAGGTGGAGGAGGTTTGCTAGTTTGACTAGGACCACTTGTAACAAAAACTTGTGGAACTGTTGGTGTAGCAATTGTCACTGCAGTTGAAACTGGTGGCTTTGGATAACCAGTTGGCTTGGGGACAGTGGTAGGAGGTGGTGGAGGTGTATCTGCTACAGGTATTTCTACTGTGTCCATAACTTTTGTCCCTGCCATAGGTTTAGGTGGAAGTGGTGGAGCTGAAGCCACCGGGACTGCTGACACCTCACTGGTTAGCAAAGCTGAATCTGTGCTGGGTATATTTGAAGCAGGGTGTTTGGCTATTTGACTAACTTGTGGCATATAAGGAGTGGAATTTGGCCCTGCACTAGTTATATCTTGTGGGGTTTGTCCAAGCAGAGATATGTTTTCCACACTGGGCACTATAATAACTACATGCCCTTGTCTGGTTGGGGTCACTACTTGAGGTACAGCCACACTATCTGGTTGTATGTCTTCCATTCTTGGCTGTATATCCACAACTACAGACTGCATTGGCTGACCAGAGACTGTGGTTCCTATAGCTACAGTGCTGGTCACAGTAGTGGTGACCTGCTGAATAGGCCTTGCAAGTGGCAGCTGTGTATTAGGCTCAGGTAATGATACTGAAGTAGACCGAGGGGGAGGAGGGGGTGGAACCTTCTTTTTGACTATAGTAGTTGATGCTGGAGCTGGTGCAGGAACGTGGGCTGTTTGAGTAGGAGCTGGAACTACCACCGGGCTCATAGATGGGACGGCTGGTTGCACAGGGACCGAGTGTAACACTTTGGCTTGGGCTTGAGCTGGGGTAGTGACAAGTGCTGATACTGGTAGTGGGGTTTGTGCAGACATTGGAGATGTAGTTGAAACCAGGTCAGGCATCTGGACAATGACTGGCCCAGGACATGAAGCCAGAGTCATAGAAGCAGAAACAACATGGGTTGGAGCTGGAGTGGAGACTGTTACAGATGTAGCTGATACTAGGGCTGTAGGTTGAGCTGAAACAACAACAGGTACTGGACTCGGTGCTGAGACCTGTATAACAGCTGGAGCCTCAATAGGCACCTGAGACGGAGATGAAACCAAGTCTGGCATTTGAACCACAATAGGTACAAGTGTAGATGTCTCCACTCGGGCTGGAGTTGGGGTTTCAGCTGTAGAAGCCTTAACTGGAACTATGGCAGTTGTCTGACCTTTGGCAGGATCAGACACCACATCTGGAATTGTAACTATAACTGTGGTTGGGGTGGGATGAGAGACTAATCCCCCACTCGACTGTACGGCTGCAGTTGTGGCAGGTGATGGTGGCAAGATCTCTGGGGGTGATTGGGTTACAAATGAAGTTGGAGGCGTTGGTGTAGACAGTGGCGTTGAATCTGATGAAAGAGGTGTTTGAGCCTGGAATGAGGATGAAGATGTAGCATTAGAAGCCAAACTGGAATCTGGAGTGGCTGGTGAAGTTGGAGGTGACAATGGTGATACGGGGGAGGGTGTAGTGGTCAGCTCTGGTGCAGATATTGGGGTTGGAATAGGTTTTGGCTCTGGAATTTCACAGACCACACAGATAGGTTCCATCTCAGGTGTTTCAGATAAAGGTGGGCTTATAGATTGATCTTCTTTAGTCTCAGAGTCATCACTGGGTGTAATGTCAGAGGAAATACCAACACCATACTCGTCTGCAAGACTGTCATCCTCTTCCTCCCCAGATGAACACTGGGTAATCTTGAGGTCTGGTATGGGGAACAATGCCTTTCTGAGTGCAGGATCTTGAGGAACCATAGGCCTAACAAAACCTATAGATCCACTAGGAGTACTTGGAGCAACAGTTACCTCTGAGCGCTTTGGAGGTTCAGTGGGGCGTGGTGGAGCTGGACGTTTCTTTTTCTTCACTGGCAATTCACTGGAAGTTTCTATCCCTGTAGGAGGCATATCAATTTGTTCAGAGAGGGAGGTCTCTTCTGTGGCTATGGTCACCACACAGGTCTCAGCAACCAAGGAAACCCCAGTGAATGAAGCCCCTGATGAGGAAGTTTCCATTGCAGTCTGGGCCTGTTGAAACTCTTGCTCTATCATCATCAATTCTCTCTTTTTCTGCATCATCTCCTCATAAACCTCCTCTGGAGACCTGAGTTTTTTGAGAGATTCAGAACTGGTATCCTGTTTGAGTTCTTCCTCTTGAGATTCACTCATCTTAATTTCATGCTCCTCAACTAAGGATTCATAAAGATAGTCCTCTATTGCCATTCCTCCATAGAGTGGCTCTATATCAGGAGGACTCTCCCCTGGAATAGCTTTTGTCTTCTGAATAATTTCCTCATATGCTTCTTCAGCACTCCTCAATAATTTTGTTACAGTATCCTTCTCTTTAAATGGATCAGAAGAAATGTATGGTATCACTGTTGGTGAAGGCTTACGTCCTCTCTGCAGAGCTTGCCTAGCCTCTCTTTCTGATTCTATACTTGCAGAGTACTGAGAGCCAGCTGTGCTACTGGTTTCATCCATTACAGTGACCTGTCTCAGATCCTCAGTGGAGGAAGCTACTTCAGCTGGAGACAGTGGTTGGTCATGGGCCCTAAGTTCATCTTTCTCTTTCTTAATCTTCTCTTCCTCTCTCATCTTTTCATCCTCAGAGGAGTCTTCAATGGTAGGGAGAGGCTGTGTTGGCTGCCTGTGCTTAGCTTTGCGATGCTGTTTGTCCCCACTGATTTTCCTGTGACTGGGGCTGCTATCACTGTCCTCCTCCAGAGATGAGGCTGATGTAGGTGAAGATCCTGGAGTAAAGCTAGATGCCTGAACACTAGATGATCCCTTTGACAGGGATTCTGTAATGCTCTCTACTTCCTCATCAGTGCTTTGTCTCTGTCTCATGGCTGGAGTAGCTTTCTTGAAAGTAGTACTGGGCAGTGTTTCAGGAACATCTTGATTAGTTGCAGTGTCAGTTTTTGGGAGGACCTTTTTCTTGGCTAGGCTGTCTTCATTATCTGTGCTACTTTTTCTTGACAGTGATTTAGCTGTCACTGAAGAATTATCAAGCTCAGCCCCCTTGATTGCTTTCTCATTTGCCAGATTCTTTTCTTTTTCATCTTCTGAAAGAGACATTTCTTCTTCATCCCCCATACCCAGTATCTGCCTGCGGATGAACTCTTCATCTTCCATATAAGAATCAACACTTTCAGTTTTGATGTCCTCACTGCTAGATGAAACATTGCTCACCTCTAGCTTTCTCTTCTGGACTTTAGGTGAGGGTGAGGGTGTGAGCTCACTTTCACTGCTCTCATCCATTGCTTGGAAACTTAGGCGCCTTCTCTCAGTGTTGACTACCTCCTTTAATGGCAAGGATGGATGGGTATCCATATCATTTTTATTTGTATCACTAACCACCTGCCCATCCTCCAGTTCTTGTGATATGGGTAAAATTTGGGGTTGATCTTCGTTATGCTCTTCTACTTTGGATTTCGGCTTAGTAGCTGCCGCAGGGATAACTATGTTCTCCAGTTTAACCTCCCCAGTAGGTAGGGAGACCTTTCCTTCTTTTTCGGTTTCATCTTGCTCCTAAAAATGTGAGAAAACAAGATAAAAGTAAATACACTAGATTTTACAGAAATGTTACCCTTTTACTTTTAACTGTACCATGTTATTAAGAGTAATTCTACAAATACCCCACTGCAGTGGGAAGATGCATCATTCACTCAAGTCTTGCCAATATAAAATAAGTAATGGTGGTTAAAATATTGAAGACACACAAGAGACTAGTTGTAAGATATGTCCAGTTAGAGTTATTATCCATCACTAGTTTTTGGTGTCATCACACTGTAAGCCATAATGCCATTATATGATAAAATGAGGGACTAACAAATGATGAGTGAGGAAATGATAAGTGTGCAAATGATAAAAAATCACATTAACATAAATCTGCAATAAAAATCAGTAAGATAGTAATGATTATAATACAACATATATATGGAAATTAATGTGTGGTGCACATATTTTGTCAGTTTTGCAACATTAATCTCAACACAGCAAGGAAATAGGCCGAGGCTACATGTTTTAAAGACAACTTAGTTATTTTATATATAGCCTGCCATTATTTATTAATTAATTTTTTTAAATGTTGTAACTTAGTTATTAATTTGTCTAATTTAATTCTAGTTAAATTGAACATTTGTCAAAACAATCATTATTTTTAATCAAAGCCATTCTTACTGTTATGATGATGTTCTCTGTAGATACTAGTTGTGTCACTGTAGTTGAAGTGGCATCCATAATCTTTTCAACCTGCTCATCAGCCACCTCCTTGCTGTCAGTTGCTACGACTGGCTCTACTTCCAATACCAGCGGTGGTTCTTGTGACTTTGGTTGCACCTCAACATGCTGTAAAGATTGTGTTGGCTCTGTAAGTTTGATATGATCATCAGACTGTACTTCCTTAATAATCTCCTCGTAAACAGGACATTCTGGCTGTGTTTCAGTCTCTGGGACAACCTTAGCCATAGCAACCTCAGCAGCAATAGGGGAGGTGAGTGAAACTGTAGACTTAGTCACTGGGAAGGTGGATGCTACGACACCTGCTTCAACTTTGACTGTTGAAAGGTCAGGTTTAGACGCTTCAGTTTTGGGGTTTTCTGACACACTGTGCTCAAATTCCACTGCCTCTTCTTTATCTCCCACTTTTAAAGTCTTGGGAATATCTGCCTTTGGCACTTCAACCTTTTGTGTTACTTCTGTATGTTCCACAGGGGCCATGGCAGGTATAACAGATGTAGCTGTGGATGCTTCCAAAGGCTGTTTTCCTGCTGTAACAGGTGAAACCTTTGCTGTTGTGGGTGTGAGTGTGGTCTCAAGCTCAATTTGTGCAGAAGCTGCTGTGGCTGTGGTTTCCATCTTGACAGATGTAGGCTCCATCTTTGCCTTTGCAGTTGGTACTGCCTTGATGGGGACAGGTGAGGGCTGTGATTCTGTGGCTATAGGGGTGGGCTCTGCCTTTGTAGGGGCAGTTTTGGGCTCTGCCTTTTGGGTTGCCTGTTTGGCTTGGGTCTCTGGCTTGGCAGATACAGGTGAAGGCTGGGGAATTTTTCCCGAGTCTCCCAACTGTCCCAATAAAGCCCTTTGAGTCTGGCAGTTCAGACACAGCCATTCCTTCTGTAAAAAAACAAACACAACATATAATTAGGAAACACGCTATAGCAACCAATGTTAACATAAAACAGCCTTACAGGCCCAATTAGTTATTTTTTTGACCTATGGTATATCACATATACAATTGAAGACTGTGAGTTATACATTTAATTGGTGCATAATCAGCATTTTGCCAATTTCTTATCAGATCACAATTCAAAGTATAATCCTAAAGTAGTTTTTCATATGAGGATAAGAAAAGCAGGGCTTATTGCCCTATTATACTTGACCTGAGTGAACCCAACATACCTAAATGATCCTGGATTTAGCTGTTCCACAAAGCCAACTCACAAGAGCTAATAATAAGGCTAATTAAATATCAAATCATTTGTATTTGTTCAGCAAGATAACTGAAGCATTGCATTAATCGAGGCAGAGTACTATGTTATGTTTGTATTAGCTGATTAGCATCAGCAGCTTCATCCATGCTTTGTCATCAGTAGCTACCAGATAACTAGTAACATACAATCATATTCATACAGGTGAACAGCACAGCTGTGGCATTTGTAACCTGTTACTTTTTACTATCACTGAACTGATAACAGTCATAACATAATTTGTAAGTACCTCAACATTTTACTCCAGTCCAAAGACAACAGACACAGACATGCAATAAAAAATATTTTAAACTCCTATCTAGTTGTCTGCTGTCTAGTCTAAATATCAAAATACCTGTTATAAAATTTGTAATAGGTAATAGATTTCAATTATGTGTTTTAGGGTCACTTTTGCTGTAGATCTTAGATTACAAATCATATGGGTGTGAAATATTAGTTTTAAAAAAGACACTAACTGCATAAATTTTACATGGTAAAAATCGGCACAGTCTCTTATGCTGAGTAATACCATAGCACTCAAAGTAATATAAATTATCTTCTTCACCCCACACTATCATTGCTGGACAGTTCAAACAACCAAAATATTTACACAGAAATATTAACCATAAATAAGACTTTCAATAGAAGCTTGTGGTCCCATTAACATGCTTGCTGCTATTACACTAGAACACTTGTAAGACCGCAATAAAAATGCTTACCTTGCAAAAGAACTAATCACATTTTATAAACAATGCTATTACTTTGTAAATGTAATCCTCTGAAGACACATTTCTCATCACATCTAAGCTCCATTAATGGACAGTTAAGGAGGAGAGGAAGGCATAAGCTGTCAATAGATGAAACAGTGTGTCTGTAGCAACCTAGCAGACCAAATCACAGCAATGCGCCTGCCTCTGCAGAGCCAGGGAGAGCGGTTCTGATATACAGGACAGAGGAGGAGACTACATCGCACACATATCCTGTTTGTGAAACCATTAAGTTTGAATTGTTTTATTCATAATATCAAGTATTAGAACCTATACACATCTTAATTTTTTTAATACATTTTAATTATGCAACCTTAGTGTCCACATGTGCACACTAATATCCATGCATGTTATAAACAGATGTGTCTATAAACACACACATATTGTCTTGGAGATTATTCCAGATTCAGGATGCAATGACGTAATAACTCAGTTTATAGGCTCATGTGCTGAGTTGAGCTTTGGTAAGTGATGTAATCTACCCTCTGTCGCACCATGGCTTAAGCCTTAAAGACTTTTCATCTTTGTTCCCATAAACAATCCTAAAATATTATACTGCTAAGACCTGTTGTAACCATACTCCTGAATGAAATACAAGGCTAGAGGGAACATTTAAAGAGAACTGGCAAAATATTGTCACTTGAAGTATTTTTTTCTTTTTTTTTCTTTTCTATTGTGTTATTATGATTGTTTAAATCTTCCAATTGTCTAATTTTTAAGCTTGAGGTATTTGGGAACAAAAACATGTTAGCATACCTTTACGGCAAAAGAGCATGGCTGAAAATATAAACTCACATTCTACACTGAGACTGTGGGCAGCAGCAAAACTGACACTGATATGTCTAGTTTGATTGATACTGATATGCTTTTGTTCAATCAGTTGTGGTTCACACAGGATAATCCTAACAGTGACAAACAAAGCCTCATCAGCACAGTGCATGAAGCTGATAATCATGTAAACCAATACATAATTTAAAACTCAATTTCATGTGATCTGATGCAAACTGTGCCTCACTGATGCTTCCCCTTGGGACAGGTTGGACATACAGTAACTTATGACACTTTGTAGTCCATCTAGAATACAGAATATCTCATAAATCAGTGCCTCTTGAGTAAATATAGATGATAAAAAAGAGTTAATTTTTAAATAGAGGCTAATCTATTTTTTGTTAAATTACAAACCTGTAAATCATGGTATTCTGTTTTAAACATTTGGAAACAATATAATTCCCCCACACCCCTCCACTTCTCCCTCTCCCCCTCTGTCATGCTTGCAGGATGTAACCACAGCTAACAATGTGCTTCAGTCAGATACATATGCTAATCAGCAAAATGATGTCACTACCGAGGCCATTCAAATGATAAATTAGTAATCACAAACTCTAGCTCTTCCTACTTTTCTGATAATCTTATGCACCCAGCATAATTCCCTTATCAGAGGAAGTTCCTATGCACTGATGTGTTTATAGCTATGAAAGTAACATGGATTTAAAAATCATATTCATTTCATAATTAATCAAGAGAGACCGTTATGGAAACAGTAGGTTTTTTACTTTCTTAATATGTCTAACATTGCCATTCCACCAATCAGCTGCATCATAGCAGAGTAACCTAAACTAATTTTCATCCACTAAGGATAATTGCATTATGAATTATGAACATTATGAACACATATTAACAATAAACAGGTTGTTAAGAAGCCTGTAGCATTATCAAAAAATACATTTGCATAACTCATTAAAATCTGACATTGTGGCCTATTCCCCAGTCTACTTCTGTTTCCCTCTAACAGGACAAACTTGAAAGGAGTTATGAACTAAGACTGATAGAGATCAAACAGCAGCGCTCACAGATGGCTGAGCCAAGGCCTTGCATTCCTGAGTCTTTCTGCTGCGCTACTGTATTCTCCTTTTCTCCTGCAATCTAAATATGGCCCGGCCCCTCACACCTCTCCAGGTGCTGTCACACAGGTCTAGGTCTCAGCATGATAACTGACCTTTTTCACCCCAACAGCAGAACAGATGGACAGAGCAATGAGAACCATGCAAATCAAAGGTTGCACTTTTTCATTGGGTTTCGTTTGCCAAATTAATGACAAACAAATCAACAAAGATCAATATTTACACATCACCATTGCAGCAACCTTGCATCGGATAACTCATTTAAACTGCTTATACTAAATCACACTGAAAAAAAAGTCAGTCAACAAAAAGAGCTAATCACATCACATTCCCCTCCAGCACCAGTCACCGGCTCACAGCCACGCAGTTTTGGAGCCATGCATCAGAGCCACAAGGTTTGGAAAATCGCCATCATCCTTTTGTCTAATTAAATCTGTTCTATGAGTAAAGAGCAGAAGCCCCAAGCAGAGAGCTGTGGGAGAGGCTGCTCCCCACGATTAGCTTGTGAGCTGGATTACCAGACCTTCACAATGACAGCAGTCAGGAAATTATGCTCTTGACACTCAGGATTAAGCTGGATCTGCAGAGCTTTATAAAGAATTGCCCATTTCACTCACTATTCACAGCAAAATACTTTCTACATTTATGCAACACCTTTGGAAAAGAACCCATTCAGGTTGGGCACTAATTATATTCAAGCTTTGACTTTTTCAAATAACTAAATATTTTATGCTTTCATTCAAATCTTTTCACTATCAGCGTTGATTACGACAGATGTGTGATTCAATAAAGGCATTGCAAATCCAACGTAAAATGCAAAACATCTATTAAATTGCTCTTAACAGGAAAGGCCTGTTGCTCTTACATTTCCATACTAATGAATTAATTCAGTAATTTGAATAGTTGTATAATTTGTACATACTCACACATTTTTATAAGACACCAGTCACTTGGTATCCAAGTGGTCCTAAAATTTACATTTTATGATAACTAGACTGAACGAATGGCCTTTGGGCTGTGAACTCCACCTCTATTTTCCAGCCTCTCTTCAGTGCTTTCCTACTGTTGATACTGGAGCTGGTGAGTATCTTATTGATTTTCTGGCAGATGCCTTTGGCACAAGCTGTAGCTGGCTAATATACTTGGCTTTCAACAGCCCCCACAGAGCAGAACTCCTCATAAATCAAGCCCTCTGATAATAGAGAACGTTGACCTACTAATCAGTAATAAGCAGAGTGCTTCATTTTAAAGACAAGGAAATACACCTTCTGCTTTTTGCAATCTGGCAAATGGTGCATCAGCAAACTTCCGTTTGATGGCAAAGTGCAAAGGAGCGAAGAAGAGCTAGTAACAGGGTGTGGCATTAACAAAAAGCAAAGACAACATAAGGTACATTAACAAACTTCTCCATATAGGACCTCTTGGGTGAGGTAATATTCCTTCTTTTATGACAAAAAGCAACAGCATGAATAGCACCATGGATCCTCTTCTGACATTCAGGTAAATAATTGCAGCTTGATGGATAAGCGTCGCAGCCCTCAAAATGTTGTAAAATGTCAAACAAACTCCATCCTTTCAAAAGCAAATAAAGTAATATGATAACCTGTACCGAAAAACAACTAAGAGCACTGAAAAATAAATACAACAATGGTTTTATTGTTTGTGTTGATTTTCCTTTTTCTTCATCTAATGCAGCATGAGTGCAAAGCATGAGTCTGCTCAGTTTTAGAACTGCTAGCCTCATTGTACCTTCTAAAAGACGCTGTGAAAAAAGAGTAAGGATCCAGGCTGTGCTTGGTCTCTCCTCAGAGTGACTATTTTTATCTCTGTCACTAGGTGCTCCTCCTTATCATGGGGCCAACAGTCTGTGGTTCTCTGGCATACAGCAAAAAACATCTTGCACATAGTGTGTGAAGACTATAAAAACTTCGGAATGACTGAAAAGACTTGAAAAGTGTTTAAGGGTACTGTCTGTTTAAGGGTACTCTTCTGGCTTGTGTGTCAGAGATAATGCCTTGTCTTGTCATGAATTAGTCTCTCATGGAAGCCTTGTTTGCCAGTAGCCTTCACTTTTGATAGGCACAATTCCTCCAATGGATTTATAATAAGCTAATATTGTAAGACAAATTATGAGGTGAAAACTGCTTTTTAGTGTAAAACCAAATAAAAAAATCTACTTTAAGCCAAAGATATAGCCACATGGTAACACTGAACTATAATAGTGAGGAACTATCATTCATAATGTCTCGTCTGTCACACACAAAGCTTTAGCTGGCAAAACACAACACACGTGTGTCCTACTTATCAGGCAACAGTCACTCCCAGGCTTTTGACGACATCAGCTGAGGCAGAACGGGAAAAGGATAAATGGACAGACTTGCTCCTAGCACTCACTTTGTCTAAAGTGGCTTCCTCTTCTTTCAAACCTCAGAAGTCCTTTTCATATATCTGCCCTTCTACTAAAAAAACCACAAACATTCATGATAGGGAACTGACAGTCAAAACCCTTTTGGATAAAGCAGGTCATAGGGCAGCAATAAGTATGGCAGCTCATCCCATTCAGTTGTGTTAAGGCCAAGCTATTTCTGTTTTCCTCTGCTATTAAGAGGAATGAATGTTAGTGTACATACAGCAGCAATAATCCATGCTTGTCCCTTCCCCCATCTAACCTCTACCCTTAGGCTCTCCCCCCTCTCTGGTGTCCATGAAAAACGTGAGAACTGTCAATTACATAATAGTCACATCTCTCGTGTTATTTCTCCATAATAATGTGCCATTTGGGCTGAGTGTGTGGTAATCTGTCTCTGGAAAACCAAACGGACACTCAATCACTACATATACTGCTTTTGCTGTTTACAGAGAGTCTAAAGAATGAAAGAACATTGTCCCCATTCTCATACACACAACTATCAGCCAGAAATACTTGGAATTCATAGAAAGTATGATTTTTATTGTGCCAAAAACAGTAATAGAGGCTCAAATTTAAACAAAGATATTATTACATGTCTTTTTAGATTTAATGTAACCAATGTTGTCATCTGTTTAATAGGACCTCACATTATGAAAAAAATTTGATTCAAAGATGAACTTATTTAGAATGACTAACATGACATGGCACATTATTGAACTGCACTCGCATTTTAAATGCCGCAGTGTTCTAGTCCTTCAACTGGCCATTGAAAAAGCTAAGAGGAATACAAAGCTCGCCAAAGGACTATAGATGAGTCTGACAAAACTCATCTATAAATTATTCAAGCCTTTAACTGTTAATACTGTTAGCCAGAAAAACAGACCAACCTCACAGGGAAATGTGAGCTGTTCAGAAAGGAAAGTATTACTGCACCTAACATAATAGGATATGAAAAGGCAAGGGTACGCAGGCTTGCATTCAACAATGACCTGCATGTGTGGGTATGACACAAAGCAGGTAGTACACACATGTACTACTGCCACCCACATAAAATGAAGTGGAACTTTTTGAATTACATGGAGCCACTGATCTGTGAGAGAGCAGATGGCCTGAAAGGAAATGTCTGCTGCTCTAATGTACTGCACCGTGTTGTGTTGGACTTAATCCGTTTCACCTCTGCTTATTGGCATATCACAGGGCTTTGCCATCTCAGATCTCGCACAGGGGATGGAGATTCCCTAGTCCCTGGTCTGCTATGGCAGCAGATCTCATCTCACTAATGCTGTTGCACAACCCTCAATCACTTTAATACATTTTCAGTGCACCAGTCCGCTGAAACACTCTTCTCATGAGTCATTATGTCATAACTCCAGCCACTCTAGTGGAGGGATAGCATCCACCATGTAGCCTATAGTTTAGTATGTTTTAAATTTAGTTTGAGAACCTTTCAGAGTAGGTCAAATATTTGCATAGGTTACATTAAGTAGCACACAGACCTCTGTTCAAAACAACAATCCAAGAACCGACTTAATCAAGCTCTCCATATATTTTCTTGTGCGGTGTTATTCCACCAGACTTGTAATTCATGCTCCTTGTCAATAAATCAAATCAACAAAAGCATATATTTTCATATATTTCAGCATATTTTGGGCATCATTTTCAAAATAAAAGCCTGTATGACAGCCAATTTCCCAGTTTGTCCACCCTTTACACTACAGAAGAATATCCCATAAAGTAAAAAAAAAGTACTTAAAATCAACTGGATTGCTTTTTGGATTGAACCCAAAATAAGGTGTGCTGTGCAAGAATTAACAATAAACTGCAAGGACTGCAAATATATTGATGATATAGGAACTAGTACTCTTCAATAAATAACAACTATACAACTGAAAGCCAACCATACCAGCAGCAATATTGTTATTTACTTTCTCCAAGTGGAAGTGACATTAGAACTAAACAAAAGCAGTGAGGAACATATTAGACATTAGATACTATGAAACCTTAAGACTTCTCCTCAGCTGCATTTTCATTGGTGTTTAATCTCTATTAATCATATCTCCAATATCTCTCAACTTTTTATATAAAAATGTGTGCTGTAGGCTTTCTGTCTTCTGTATTTTATTACAGTGTCAAGTGAATTTATTTGCAACTTATGACTGATATATAATACAGAAAAATGTTTGCTTTGCCTAAGCCCTAGATGACGTTAAAACATATTCTATGACTTACTAGTGTTTTGCTGCTCAGTATCAGATATGCACACTAAAAAATGATGCCGTATAATATGCATAGGTATGTTTTCATTATAATCACCTGAAAATAAGAATGGTTGTGTTTCATGGCCACAATAGTTTCTTCTACATGCTTGGAGGCTGAGCGGTTTTTGAGTTGGTTTTAATCTGCACGTTCACCACAAGATGCCACTAAATCCTACACACTGGTCCTTTCAAATTGATGCATAAATGATATGTAAAACTGAATTGTTTTGCACTTACCACTGCTGTATGAGGCATGGGGTTAAATCCACAAAGATTGCAGACAGTGTTCTTGCATTCAGTGCAGGTGTTGTAATTGGGAGGATCCTTGGAGCCCATGTTGAGTTCGACCTTACAGAGTGGACAGGTGGACAGACCTGCTTTAGGAGCAACCTGGGTCACTTCTGTAGATTTTGGAGGCTCTGATGGAATTTTCTCTAGTTTGGCCTTTGCTGATGAAGCAGGCTTAGCCTGTTGAGGTGGCTCAGATTTCTGGGCAGCAGGGGGTTTGGTCTCCTTTGCAGGAGACATCTTAGGGGACACTGGAGGTGTAGGTTTAGGAGAGACATGGGCTGTAGCCGACATCTTACGTGGAGTAGGTGGTGTAGTTTTAGGTTCATCTTGAACAGCTGAGGTAATAAATGTAGATGCAGAGCTGAAGATAGAGGAACCAAAACCAAACATCTTCCCAGTCACTGACTCAGCAGACTTTGCTGTAGCAGGTTGTGTTTTAGGACCACCAAAGCCATAGAAGCCTCCCGACTCCTGTTTGGAAGCCTGAGCTGGTGGTGGTGCAGATTTGGAAGGAGGGGTTGCAGATTTTGAGGGCTGTTGTGGTGGTTTTCCAGTTTCTTGTTTTGCAAGGCCTGCCTTAACTTCTGGCTTTGTTGTCTGAGAAGGCTGCACCTGTGGGGATTTTCCAACAGGCTGTTGCTGGCCAGCAACACCCTTGCCTTGTCCTTGTTCAGTACCTGAAGGGACCTGTGTCTTTTGCATAGAACCTTGATGTGCTGTATCCATCCTTTGGACAGCAGTTGGCAATGGAGACTCAACTTTGGGGGTCTCTTTTTTCTGTGGAGTTGGTGTGAACTCTTTTTTGACCGCAGTAGATTCTGTAGACTTCTCCCTGTGGACTAATGTAGGTATATCCTTTTGCTCAGCGCCAGGAGGTGTAAAAACCTTGCTTAGGGATGGCTGTGGTTTTGCTATAGGACGTCCAGTGGCCTCAGATGCTCCTAGTGCTCTCTGCATCTGGCAGTTCAGACAAAGCCATTCCTGTACCTGAAAGAAAGTACAATGGTATGTATAATAATTGTTGAAAATGAAGAAATAACACAGTGTTTTGATACATTATTCAAATTGTGAGAAAGAGGACATAGGACAAAATATGTTATTTCTTAATTTGTATTAAATCAAAACTCCTAGTTTTAGCAGTTGATTGAAATAATCAACATCAAAATGAATGATAGCAATTTAAACCATGGAACCTATCATTAAACAATGCATTAATATACCATGCCCATAAAAATGCTAATTTCAATCAATCAATAAAATAATACATTATATGTGTATATATACACACATAGATATGTATATAAGGTTTAAAACATTAATGTAAATGCAGACAACTATTTGCTGTTTAAAGATATAGAAGAGTGATGGCGTCCTGAGCAGAAATTGACGTCATGCTCCCTTTGCCTGTGTTGCCAGCTATCTGGGGCTGCCCACACATGCATGTTAGCACATGTAAGTCAGTCCCTGTGCAACCAAGGAGAGTGACTGAAACTGCTGTGATTCTCATCTATGTCGCTGAATTAGGGATTTATTTTGACTAAACCAGAGAGTGATTTTTGTGAGAGTAGAAAGAGTGACATCTCGTTCACATAGGCTGTCTGAGCAGCAACTGCATGTCCCACACGTGCAATGTTCACACTGAGAGCATGTCAGCTGCGTGGCGGCTGCAGAGCTGCTGCTGCCAGCCAAATATTTCCCTGTACACTTTTAACTGAATAATGTCCATGAATAATCAAAATTTTCATATCATTAAATTTACAATGTCATATAGTTTAAACATAATTGTGAATAGAGGTAACCACAAAGTATGTGGTTTGTTTACCCGAGAGAGAGAGCGAGAGAGAGAGAGAGAGAGAGAGAGAGAGAGAGAGAGAGAGAGAGAGAGAGAGAGAGAGAGAATGCAGTGGAAAGATACAGCCCTTCAACCATTTCGCTACCGGGAAATTGTTTCAAAAGTGAAGTTGTGTTAAATAAAATATTACTACAGTGCTTTTACTTTGTAAGTTTAAACTGTACTGAAATATGTGGATATGATTACCAACCAATCCTTTCACAGTGCTCTTTTGCTCATTTAACTCTATGAATTAAGGGTTTATTTTAACCAAACCAGTGTTGGTAATTGTTGTTAAACTGACTGGTTTTGTCAATGGAGTCTGGTCACATAGTGGCCATTGTTTTGTTCTGAGATGCTGGTGCTCTAGTGCAACATTCAGTGGCAAGCAAATTTCATACATATATATATTCTTAACTTTAAAAGACCTAAACTCAAATTAAAACAAAGGCATAACTTGTGGGGACAGTTATTTACCTCAGCCACATTTGGCATTGGATTAAATCCACATTGGTTGCAGACAGTAGTCTTGCATTCGGTGCAAGTGTTGTAGTTAGGAGGATCTGCGGTGCCTATGTTGAGATCAACTTTACAGAGTGGACAGATGGACAGATCTACTTTTGGAGCAACTTTGGTGTCTGTTGGTTCCTTGGGGGGCTCTGATGGAGCTTTGTCCACTTTGGCTTGTACTGTTGAAAGTGTCTTTTCCTGCTGTGGTTTCTCTGGTTTCTTCTCCTCAGTTTTCTGGACAACAGGTGGCTTGGTCTCCTTTGCAGGTAATGTTTTAGGAGAGGCAGGTGGTGTAGTTTTAGGAGAGACGTGAGCTGAAGTGGACATCTTACGTGGAGTTGTTGGTGTAGTTTTAGGCGAGACTTGAGCTGTAGTGGACATCTTACGTGGAGTTGGTGGTGTGGCTTTAGAGTCATCCTGGACAGCTGAGTTTATCAAAGTGGATGCAGAATTTAAGAAAGATGACCCAAAGCCAAACATCTTTCCAGTTACTGACTCAGCAGACTTTGCTGCAGGCTGTGTTTTAGGACCACCAAAACCAAAGAAGCCTCCTGACTCCTGTTTCGCTGGCTGTGCTGGTGGTGGTTTAGATTTAGCTGGAGAGGTACCAGCTTTTGAAGGTTGTTGTGGGGGTGGCTTTCCCACTTCTCGATCTTGTGGAGGAGTGGACTTAGCAATAGAAGTCTCAGATTTTGGAGGTTTTTGTATTGGTGGCTTTCTTGCTTCTTGATCTGGTAGAGGAGCAGACTTAGCAACAGAAGTCCCAGCTTTCGGAGGCTCTTGTGTAGGTAGCTTTCCTGCTTCTTGATCTGGTGGAGGAGCCGACTTGGCAATAGAAGTCCCAGCTTTTGGAGGATCTTGTGTGGGTGGCTTTCCTGCTTCTTGATCTGGTAGAGGAGCAGTCTTGGCAATAGAAGTCCCAACCTTTGGAGGCTCTTGTCGGTGTGGCTTTCCTGTCTCTGTATCTGGAGGAGGAACAGAATCAGTAGTAGATATCACAGCTTTTGGAGCCTGTTGCTGGGGTATACCAGGTTGTCCTTGGGGTGTCTCTCCAGAAAACTTTTGTGAAGCTTGTGACTCTTCAGTCTTTGTGACAATGGATGACACAGTTTTGTCAGGCAATGAAGCAAGTATAGGGCTAACTTCATTTGTTGGTGGACCAAGGGCTGGGAATTTAGATTCTTTGGTTGTGGCAACATTAGCAAGCTCCTTTTTGGGTGCATCTGCTTTATGGATGTCTTCCTGAGAAGTTGACTTTGGGGTCTCTTGCTTCTGTATAGTAACAGGGACCTCTTTGCTTTGTGAAGGTTTTATCATGGGAAGGCCTGGAGGTTCGGAAGCTCCAAGTGCTCTCTGCATCTGGCAGGTGAGACAAAGCCATTCCTTTCCCTGAAAAAGAAACACAATACATGAGTAACTTTCTTTGCATTTGTTAGTAATGCACACTTAAAATTGTATTTTCATGTATTAGTTCAAATACATGCTTTGTTTAACTGTAAGAGATTAGAGAGTATTTAGTCATTTAATTACCTCTGTTACATTTAGCATAGGACTAAATCCACATTTGTTGCAGACATTGGTTCTGCATCCAGTGCAGGTGTTGTAGTTGGGAAGATCTTTGGAACCTATGTTAAGTTCCGCTTTACAGAGTGGACAAGTAGACAGGCCGACTTTGGGAGCAGCTTGGGAGGCTTCTGGTTTTGCAGGCTCTGATGGACCCCTGTCAACTTTGGCCTGTCCTGATGAAGGAGCCTTGGCCTGCTGAGATTGGTCTTGTATTTTTTCCAGATGTGGTTTCTGAGCAGCAGGTGGTTTGGCCTCCTTTGCTGAAGTCATCTGTGGAGAAACTGGAGGGCGGGACTTCGGAGAAATCTGCGATGATGAAACCTGCGCTGGGGCAGACATTTTGCGTGAACTTGGTGGTGTTGTGCGGGACTCCTGAACTGCAGATGTTATCAAGGTGGATGCTGAACTGAAGAAGGAGGTTGTTTTTGAGGCAACACGCTGAGATTTAGGACTACCAAAGCTGGAGAAACCTTCTGATTCCTGTCTTGGTGGCTGTCCTGCTGGAGGAGCAGATATGGTTAGTGATGTTTTAACAGAGATTGATTCTTTTTCCAGCGATTTTTTGGGCTGAACTTCATCAGTGGACGTGACTGTTTGATCAGCTGATTCCTGAAGTATTCCATCTTTCTCCTCTTTGTTTTGAGATACTTCTTCAGTTGCAGGGGAACTTGGTGGAATGATATCCTTTTTCTTCTGGAGAGAAGTTTCAATATCTGTTTTGACAGGAGGAGCTTGAGTAGGCAGTGGTTTATTGAGGTCTGAAACTACAGCTGTCGTCTCTTTGGTGGGAGTTGCAGTAGAGGTTAGAACCTCTTTGGTTGGTGGTGAACCAGTTTTCTCCTCTTTTGTTGGGGCTGAAACAGTACCTTGTGCCATTTTTTCATTCAGTGAAGCAGTGGTTGATGCCTGGGTAATATCCATTTGAAGTGGGGGTTTAGTTTCTTCTTTCTTTTGTGGTGCAGCTGGTGTTGGACTGTCCTTATTTTTGTCTGGAACCTCTGCTTTTTCTGTGGAAATAATGTCTTTCTTTTGATCTGCATTTACATCTTTTTGGGCAGCAGCAGGTGTGGACACTTTGTTGGGTGATGCCTTGGGTTTCATCAGTGGAGCATCTGATGATTCAGATGCTGTGAGAGCTCTTTGCATCTGACATGTCAGACACAACCACTCCTTCATCTGTAGGGACAACCATGTCATTTTGAGTAAGTTTGTCTATAAAACATTAAAGCATGTGTATGATTATAGAATAGCATAACACATATTCATATATACAGCGTTAAATATATATATATATATATATATATATATATTGTTTAAAATAAAGCTTATTTAGAAACGTAAATATCAAATGGGATAACAATAATGCAATACACCATTAATACACACATTCTGAGTAAATCTCACTTACGTCTGACACATTTGGCATGGGGTTGAATCCACACAGGTTACAGACAGTGTTTTTGCACTGAGTGCAGGTATTGTAGTTAGGGGAATCCTTCGATCCCATGTTGAGTTCAACCTTGCAGAGTGGACAGATGGACTGGCCTGATTTGACAGTGGCTTGGGAGGCTGCTGCAGCCTTTGAAGGCTCTGGTGGAGCTTTGTCCACTTTGGCCTGTACCAATGGTGATGTCGTAGTCTGCTGGGTTTGCTCTGGCTTCTTCTGTTGTTCTTTCTTTTGGGCAACGGGAGATTTGATCTCTTTCGCTGGGGACATCTTGGGAGAAACTGGTGGAGTGGTCTTGGGCTGGTCCTGTACAGCTGAGGTAATCAAAGTTGACGCAGAACCGAAGATGGAAGAACCAAAGCCAAACATTTTCCCAGTTACTGACTCTTTTGGCTTTGCAGCATCGAGTTGAGTTTTACCACTGCCAAATCCAAAGAGGCCCCCTGACTCTTGCTTTGTCACTGCAGTGGCATTACTCTGCTTACGTTCAGTTGGCCTTGTATGGTCTGGTGTTTTGTTAGGACCTAATGTTTTCTGGGGCTCCTGTGGCCTTTGCTGATGAGAAACTGGGCTGGGCTGTTTCTGACCCCCTGGCTTGTTTGCAGCCTCAGTTGTAGTTGGCTGTGCTGTTACGGACAGTTTCCTCTGTGGTGAGTGCGGTGCTGATGACTCTTTCTTTTCAGGTTCACCTGGGCCAATGATGTCTTTCTTTTGGGGTTTTGCAAGTATCTGAGAGTTGACAGAAGTGACTTCTGAGGGCTTTGTCACTCCAAGAGCCCGCTGCATCTGGCAGGTTAGACACAACCACTCCTTCACCTAAAACAAAAGGTTCCATTATAAACGTTTGTAATCTGTGTATAATTACTCAGTGTTCTATATTTATGTAAAGCAGTGAGCATTTTTCTGATACATTTCAGCAGCTGTTATAAATATAGTAACAGAGACTAATTGGGGATTTCAATGTTTAATATCCCCAGAAAATAATTAACAAAGGCCTACATAATTTTCACACAATAAAGAGCTAGCAAGAGGCACATTAAAAAAAGTAAATGTGGTGTAACTCTTTACAGTCTGTAAGCTGTAAGATGTAAATTGAAATCGTTATTAAATATATAGTTGTAGTCTAGTCTTACCGCCGTTTCATTTGGCAAAGGGTTAAATCCACACTGAATACAGACAGTGTTTTTGCATTCAGTGCAGGTATTGTAGTTGGGTAGATCCTTGGAACCCACGTTGAGTTCGACTTTACAGAGTGGACAGGTAGACTGGCCTGGTTTGACAGCTACTTGGGAAGCTGCTGCAGCCTTTGGAGGCTCTGGTGGGGCTTTGTCCAATTTGACCTGTCCTGATGGAGCTGTTTTGGTCTGCTTGGATGTCTCTGTTTTCTTCTGTTGCTCCAGCTTCTGGGCACCAGGTGACTTTATCTCTTTTGCAGGAGACATCTTGGGAGAAACTGGTGGAGTAGTTTTGGGCTGATCCTGAACAGCTGAAGTTATCAAAGTAGATGCAGAACTGAAGATGGAAGAACCAAAGCCAAACATCTTCTCAGTCACTGCAGGCTTTGCAGTATCAGGTTGAGATTTAGGACCACCAAAACCAAAAAGGCCAGGTTGGCCTGCCTGGTCTGGTATCTTATCTGGACCTGTCTTCTGTCTTTCCTGTGGTGTTTTATGATCAGGTGCTGGGCTGGCCTGTTTCAATGATGCAGTAGCAGCTTCAAGTTTGCCTGACTGCACTGATGACGTAGACTGTTTTCTCTGTGGTAAGACTGGTTCTGAGCTCTCCTTCTTTTGTACAGCAGGGGCTGGACTGACTATCTTTTGAGGTGTGGTTGGTTTGGAAGAATCCTTCAACAGGACTGCAGCAGGTGAAGGAACTTTACTAGGTGATGTTTGGGACTTCATTGTGGGATGTCCTGGGACCTCAGATGCGCCAACTGCTCTTTTCATCTGACAGTTAAGACATAGCCACTCTTTGACCTAAAATAAAGTAGACACCATGTTATGTGTAATTCACAACCTGGGTATTGAGAGCAACATACTCATAAGTGCACTAGATGTTAAAGAGGTTATTGTAAAAATTCATAGATTCAAGATAAATAAACAAGTTTTGAATGTGCTGACTGCCAATATATAATTCAGGGGTCTTAAACTCAAATTGGCTTGGGGCCACTGCTGATATTGTCATGTCATAGGCAGACCACTTCAATGTTCAAGTACTACAAGAAAGCGCAATATTCTGAAAATATTTCCATTACTAACACCATACTTAATTTAAAAAATCAAACAGCAGTTTCTATGAATTTCTCCTGAAGTCCTGAAGTCCTCATTTTATATCATATTTGTTGTTTACAGCCAAACAACAAAGAAAGCCCCAAAGATAGCTCTCTTCTTATCACCTCACATATTTACAGGCACCTTTGACCTTTGTAATTATTACATATACAAACAAAATCTTTTTTTTTTTTATTAAAAATTGTATTTTTGTTTTATTTGTGTGGGAAGGGATAGTTTTAATGTGTATAAATATTATAAGATTGACATCATGTCATGGACCAGAAGGAGGCGGGTGGAGGGCTGGAAGTTTGAAAACCCTTCTGTAAATGCATATAGTAGATGAAGACATAGTTTATTTTGTCACAGAGGATGTTTATGTACTCTTTAACTCACCTCTCCTATAGGCATTGGGTTAAATCCGCATTGGGTACAGACAGTGGTCTTGCACTCAGTGCAGGAGTTGTAGTTCGGAGGTTCCTTGGAGCCTATGTTAAGATCAACCTTACACAGTGGACAGCTGGCCTGGCCTGCATTATGGGTGACTGTTGCTGTCTCTGGTGGCTGTGATGAAGCTTTATCCTCTTTGCTCTCATTGGATTCCTCTGGTTTCTTCTGTTGCTCTGGCTTCTGAGAAAGAGTTTTGGGCTCTCTTGCTGGCGACATTTTGGGAGAAACTGTCGGTGTACTTTTTGGAGAAATCTTAGACACAGCAGACATCTTGGGTGAGACTTGTGCTGGTGCAGACATCTTACGAGAGCCTGGTGGTGTAGTACGTGATTCTTCCTGAACAGCGGATGATATTAAGGTTGATGCTGAGCTGAAAATGGAGGAGCCAAAGCCAAACATTTTCCCAGTCATTGACTCTGTTGTTTTTGAAACATCAGGCCTTGTTTTAGGACCACTCAAGCCAAATAGGTTTCCTGACTCTTGCTGTGTACCTGGAGTGACATTAATCTGTTTTAGTCCAGGTTGATTTGCCTGGCCACCTGGTTTCTGAGAACCTGATGGCCCCATTATATCCAGAGGAGCTTTCTGACCAGGAGTTGGGCTGGTCTGTGTGTCACTTTGTGGTCCTTTAGCCACCTTAGTTGCCTGTGTCGCTGCTGTCGGCTGTGTTTTCTGAGGAGAACCTGGTGTAGAACTCCCCTTCTTTTGAAGTGTGTCCACTGGAGTCTCCATCTTTACAGGTGCATCAGATTTCAATATTTCCTTCTTTAGATTTCCCACTTCATTAGGAGCTGTTGTTTTCTGATGTACAGCAGATGGAGAACTTTTGTTAGTTCCACTGTGAGGTTTCATAGGAGGTGCTGTGACTTCAGATGTGTTCAGAGCTCTCTGCATCTGACAGTTCAGACATAACCATTCCTTTACCTGGGAAAAGAACATATGTCAAATTAAAATATGACACATTTATATGACCTGCATGCACTCACAGTTCATGGTGTATTTCTGTTCAATTATTATCATATATTGCTTTTACCCTTAATAATTCTATATTTTATTGTAATTTAGACGTTTTGTAATCTTTGCCTTTATTACCTCTGAAACATTTGGCATCGGATTGAATCCACATTGTTTGCAGACAGTGTTTTTGCATTCAGTGCAGTTGTTGTAGTTGGGAGGTTCCTTGGAGCCAAAATTGAGTTCCACCTTACAGAGTGGACAGGTAGATTGGCCTGCTTTGGGAACAGCTGGGGAAGCAGCTGCATCCTTTAGAGGCTCTGATGGCGCTTTTTCTACTTTGGCTTGTAGCATTGGAGAGGTCTTGGGTAGCAGGACTTGCTCTAGTTTCTTCTCCTGTTCTTGTTTCTGAGCAAGAGGTGATTTGGTTGCCTTTGCGGCAGGCATCTTGGGAGAAACTGGTGGTGTAGTTTTGGAATCATCTTGTACAGCTGAGTTTATTAAAGTGGATGCAGAACTGAAGATAGAGGAACCAAAGCCAAACATTTTTCCACCCAGTGATTCAGCAGGTTTTTCAGAATCGGGTTGAGGTTTAGGACTGCCAAATCCAAAGAAGCCTCCGGATTCCTCTTGTGTAGTTGAGGTAGTATTGCTCTGCTTACGTCCAGTTTGACTTTTCTGGTCTGGTGGTTTCTGAGGACCTGTCTTCCGGCCTTCCTGTGGAGTTTTCTGACCAGGAGCTGGGCTGCCCTGTTTCTGGTTTTCTGGTCCTTTTACGACGTCAACCTTTGCTGACTGCTCTGCTGGTGTTGATGGTTTCCTCTGAGGGGAACCTGGTGCAGAGATGTCTTTCTTTTGAGGTTTATCTAGTGGGGGAGTTTCCTTATTAAGGGCATTGGCAGGAACAGTGACTTTATTTGGTGAGGCTTGGAGTTTCATCATGGGTGTTCCTGGAGGCTCAGATGCTCCTAGTGCTCTCTGCATCTGGCAATTCAGACATAACCACTCCTCCACCTATAATAGAGCAAACAGTTGATAAGTAAAATTAAGATCAGTGTTGTTGTACAATGAAATTTGTTTTACTTCTCAAAAATACATTAGTTATTTTTTAATAAAAAAGACGTAACAATCATTGTTGAAGTATATTATATATATATTCTAAAGTACTCTCATTGTCTTACCTCCTTAACATTTGGCATGGGATTAAATCCACACTGGTTACAGACAGTGTTTTTGCACACTGTACAAGTGTTGTAGTTGGGAGGATCTTTAGAGCCCACATTCAGTTCCAGTTTACAGAGAGGACAGGCAGATTGGCCTGCTTTGGAAATAACTGCTTTTTTTGGTGCCTCTGATGGAGGTTTGTCCACTCTTGGGTGTGCTGAAGGAGGACCCTTGGTCTGCTGGGATTGTTCTGGTTTCTTCTCCTGTTCTGGTTTCTTGGCAGTGGGGGATTTGAAGTCTTTTGCAGCAGGCATTTTGGGAGAAACTGGTGGTGTAGTCTTGGCCTCATCTTGACCAGATGAGGAAATCAAAGTGGATGCCGAACTGAAGATGGAAGAACCAAAACCAAACATCTTTCCAGTCACTGACTCTTCAGGCTTTACAGCATCGGTCTGACTTTTAGGACCACCAAAACCAAAGAACCCTCCTGATTCTTGCTGTGCAGCTGCAGTGGCATTTCCCTGCTTTTGTGTAGTTTGGCTTGTCTGGGTGGGTGGTTTCTGAGGACCTGTCGTCCGGCTCCCCTGAGGTGTTTTCTGACCAGGAACTGGGCTGGGCTGTTTATGACTGTCTGGTCCTTTAGCAGCTTCAACCTTAGGTGGTTGTGCTGCTGGTGTTGATACTTTTCTCTGAGGAGATCCTGGTGCAGAAGTCTTTTGTAGTGCAGGCTGTGCTAGAGTAGTTTTTGTAAATGATGAACTGTCTTTCCGATGTTCAGTTCCGCCAGCAGCTCGATTCACCTGGCAATTTAGACAAAGCCACTCCTTTCCCTTAAACACACAACAAATAGACAAATTACGTCATTAAGTACATATTTAGTTTTTGTTTTTTTAATAACAAATCCTCATGAAAGCTCTGAAGTCAAAAAGCCAGAATTGAGAAGATTTCAGGTTTTCTATTCTGAACAGAAAAACATACCCAAACACACACATTGCTCCAAATATTGGAAGCGATGAGACACATGAAATCTTAATAAGCTGTATGATATTAGAAACACACCATCACCATCCTTGTTTGTACTTTTGTTGACATCCACATTACCACAGCATTTATTACAATTGCATGATGGATCTTTGTATTTGATTAAATGTTTTTAAAGTTTAATTTAATAAACTAATTCTATCATCATAAAAGTGCAAAAGTATGCTCATAAAAATGTAAGCAAAGTGCCATTAGGCCTACAATGTTTCAGTGGTTTAAACTATACATGTTAAAACATTCACTTTCACAGAGTGCTTGCAAAATGCAGAGAGAGAGATTTCTCTCCATCCTGATCTTGGATCACTACTGTTTTAGCCATTAGTTGAAGCAGTTTCACAAGATCTAGTAGCCTTGGACTGTCCTTAGCAAGCTAGCCTACTAACGGCATTGAATTACAGAGTCAAGTGTCAAGTCCTTTGTGCTTCAGAACGCCTGGAAGATGCCATGCCCATTTACCTGTATATGGTATTCCCTACTAACAAACCATGGGAATGTGTGTGTGTGTGTGTGTGTGTGTGTGTGTGTGTGTAGGTGTACGTGTGTGTGTATGTGGCATGTATGTATCTTTTTGAATAGAGCTTTTAAAGTCTCTTTGACTTAACTCCAGTATTATAAGTAGTAGTACACATGTATAATGGTATAATAACAGTGTTTAGCGCTGTGTGAACAGTCAACAAAAAGCTAATAAATCGTTTTAGAAGAACCGTGGATTGATTCTCTTTAAATTCTATATGCAATAATGTTATTACCTCTCAAAAGAAAACATGTTATTTTTAGCACTCCTTTTTTACTTTACTTTAATGGGTAAGATAGTTGCACCTGAGGTGTATAGAGATGCTTTTGTATGCAAGGGTCTCATACATAGCCTTCTCATTGTTAAGAGACTAGAGGCACTGTGAGTAGAATATCAAACGAAAATGAAAACTTTGCAACTTCAGTCCAAGGATTGGACCTTGTAACCACAAGAAAAAATGCTCAAATACCATTCCAATTTGGATGCAGTTTATATCTGGTTGGTGTAATTTATCTGTTCATACAACTTCAAAAGAAGAAAATATTTCTAAAACATGCCTGTCATAAGATAAACTTTCAGCATGTAACTTGAAAATATGTGCTGCTTTGTCATCTACTCATGTAAATGAATTTGGGAATAATACTCCAAACAATTAAATGAAAACAACCACTCTGAGCATCAAAAGGGAACTTAACAGCCTCAAAGAGCTTAATTCACAAGTCTCATGAGTATACTACATCATTGTATCTATGTAATAGTAACAGTAACAGTTTGGACACATCGAGGCACTAATGTAAAAACCTGGACTGAAACAGGGGACAGGTTGAGTAAGACCAATCAGATCATTCAGGCCTTAGAAATTATAAAAAAAAATATATAGTGATGCTTGTAAACTTTTTGAGATCAAATTTTCAATTTTTTTCCCCTTTCCTTTCCTTTCCTTTCCTTTCTTTTCTTTTCTTTTCTCGTTTCTTCATTAATTCCTTCAATAGTTTATTTAATCAATATCACATGTCTTACCTCTTTAACATTTGGCATGGGGTTAAATCCACATTGGTTGCATACAGTGCTTTTGCATTCAGTGCAGGTGTTGTAGTTGGGAGGATCCTTTGAGCCCATGTTGAGCACCATCTTACAGAGTGGACAAGCGGATTGGCCTGCTTGAGGAACATTGTGGGAGGCTGCTGCTGCATTTGAAGTCTGAGATGGAGCTTTGTCCACTTTCGCTTGTCCTGCTGGATGACCTTTTGCCTGCTGGGGTTGGTCTTGTTTCTTGTCTTGCATTGACTTTTGGACAGCAGGTGGTTTGCTCTCCTTTGTACTCTGCATTTTGGGAGAAACTGGTGGTGTGGTTTTAGGCTCATCCTGAACAGCTGAGGCTATCAAAGTAGATGCAGAACTGAAAATGGAGGAACCAAAACCAAACATCTTTCCAGTCACTGACTCTTCAGGCTTTGCAGTTTCAGTTTTGGCACCACCAAAGCCAAATAGACCTCCTGACTCCTGCTGGGGAGCTGGGGTGGCACTTTGCTTGCGTGCAGTTTGACTAGTCTGGTCTGGTTTTTGAGACACTGATGTTCTCTTGGTCTCAGGTGTCAGTTTCTGAACAGACACTGGAGTGGCCTGTTTTTGACTCTCTGGTCCTTTAGCAGCTTCACCCTTGACTGGCACTTTTGCCGATGCTGCAGACTGCATTTTCTGAGGTGACCCTGGTGCTGACTTGTCTTTTTTGACAACTGCAGCAGAAGATGGTGCCTGGTTTTGAGTGGCAGAAACTTTGTTGGGTGTGGCCTTTTTGAGGGAAGGTCCCGGCGGTTCAGAAGTTCCTTGAGCTCTCTGTATCTGGCAGGTAAGACAAAGCCACTCAAGCCCCTATAAAAAAGAGAGATACATAAATAATTTTTAAATATTAAAGCACACAAATTACAAGAAATAAACACAACATAAACATACATTTTATTTAAAAAAAAAACACTTGACAAATATAGTTATGTGGCATCACAAAAAACGTTTATAACTGTTAACTAACTAAAGGCAGCATGAGAAAGGTGTTAAATAGTTTTTATAATAATTATAATTATTGTATATATACGATATACCCAATAGTAAAAATATAATCATATATGCAGTAAAGTTTCATGTTGAATCAACTTTCACCAATTAAGACCACACTACTACGATTGCACTTACAAGCACAATCATTTCCATTTGTCAATAAAAACAGAACCATATAAAATTCATGACAAAATGTATGTGCTGTAATATATATTTTAAAGACATAACATACATGTACATAAGAAAATATAAAAGAAATGAAACACAAGTGAAATACTAAGCCACTACTTACGTCTGAGTCTGGAGGGCTGAAGCCACACAAGCTGCACACCTCAGTTTTACACTGTGTACAGGTTTTATGGTTAGGTGGTTCCTTGGTGTGCATATTAAGCTCTGTTGTCTTACACACTGGGCAAAGGGACTTAGCCACTGCTTTTGACTGAGATCCAGCTTTGGTTGCTCCTGGTGATGAAGACCTTGCCTGCGACAGGCCAGGTGTACCAGGACCCTTAGGGCCTGGTTGCTGAGGCTGCTGCTGGGTTGTAGTCCTGAAGCCTTGCTGCTGTCCCACCTTAGGTGAGCCCTGTTGTTGCTGTACAAGTTTAGGTGAGCCCTGTTGTTGCTGTCCAATTCTTGGTGAGCCCTGCTGTTGCTGTCCTACTTTAGGTGGCCCTTGCTGTGATCCTGTTTTTTGTGACCCAACCTTTGTGGACTCTTGCACCCCTGTCTTAGCAGGTTCTTGCTGCTGTACACCAGTTTTAGGCCCTTGTTTTTGCATTCCTGTCTTAGGTGGAACCTGTTGTGATGATGCCTTTGGAGATTCTGGTTGTGCTCCACTTTTAGTCTGTTGTTGAACTCCAGGCTTAGGTGAACCATGAGGTTGATTTTTTTGCGGCTCTCCTTTAAGTTGGCCTTCAGGCTGTGTCCCTGTCTTTGGAGCAGCTTGTTGCCCACCAGGCTTGTTTGTGGGTCCAGCCTGTCCATTCCCATGCAGCTGTGGTGATTCTTTTTTAGGGAGAGGTTGGCTCTTTTGCATAAGGGGGCTCTGGCCAGATTTCTGGGGTGCCTGCTGCTGTTGAGGGCCTTTACCAGGTTCTGCTCCAGGCTGCCGCTCTCCAGGTGGCTTCGCCCCCTGCTGTGAGGGTGCTTTCTGATTTTTATTACCCTCCCCATCATCTCCAAATAAACCAAACTTATTTACAGCAGAGGACACGGCATTTAGGGGGTTGGCCCCACTAAGGAATTTGGAAGAGAACATAGTGGGGTCTTCCTCCTCCCCCTCCTCTTCCTCCTCCTCCTCCTCCTCCTCCTCCTCCTCCTCCTCCTCCTCGCAGGAGCTGGAAACTACAGTACTGTCGGAGTCAGAGCAGGAGCTGTCTCCTCTCTGTCCTGGCTCTCCTGCTGAAGCCTGAGGGGGGGCTGGGGCTGGAGCTGTAGAGAGGGCATCTACAGCCCCACTGCTGCTGCTGCTGCTACTGCTGCTCCCTGGGCTCTCCTCTGGCTCAGCATCTACATCAGACTTCCTAAATGCATGAGAAACAGACAGAAAGGAAGTGTGAGATGACAAGGAACAACACAAGAGGGAGGGATAATGAAAGGGAGCATGAGAATTTGCGAACCACATTTACAATATTGTCTGAGCCAATATCTTGTCTGGTAAACAAATCCTGCTGCAACAACGTACAACGTTGAGTCTAACTGATGCAGAGGAAGCCTAATATCGTTCATCCATTGATTCACTGTTCAAGGTGGGTTTTTTTATCCTTTTTTTTTTACATATTGAGACAGATTTGTAGTTAATCAAGTTATCTCTATTAGCCACAGACCATCAGTCTGTTACATAAAATCATGGTTAACTCTCCCACATAGAGCATTGCATCTTTGTCTAAATCTGTAAACTGAACATTTTACAATAGATGAATTTACATTTGAATACACTGTACATGCTAAGAAACTGAGTCTGTGGCACTCCACAGTGCTTGACAGATAAAATTGACTTTCATAGCCGCTGAAACGATTATCATTTGCATAGAAATCGTCGCCTCCACACAGAAAGCCATCAATGATTCAGCCTCACTTTGATTTACTCCGCGTGACTGTTGCTTTCAGGACCATGGACAGGGACAGAGCCGCTCTGTTGATCACAGCCTATATACAAACCTTAAGAGATCCCTTTCAGCCAATACAATACAGACCAGACCCTGCTACTACAAACCCCAATCCACTCATATATCCAGATGACAATTTTTTTTCCTAACCCACCGTCAAGGAATTACACTTTCTGTACTATTCACATCCTCAAGTTGTCATCATTCATCACCCAAACAGCACCGATTGTCGGGGAGTGAGAATCTCATGCAGGACATGTTTTACAGCAGCAAGACGAGTAAACACAGGACATCTAGCGCTCTCTCTGGAATAGCTGCAGGCACATCCGGGTAGGGGTAGGGGCCCATCAAATAGGCTCATGCATGGAAAGTGAATACTGATACTTTCCCTCGGAAAAGCATCATCGAGGGCAGTACAAGTCTGTGGTGAGCGTTTGACTGCATAACAGCTGGATTTAAGGTTTACGAAGCTCAGCCCACTGGCAGCAATGGCTCACCCAGAGGCGGTGGAGCTGATGTATCCACGGCGTTTTACACTAATGAAAGAGCGGCATGCATTACGCCCGACCACTCTAAACCCGATAAAATGTTATACCGCAGAGGCTAAGAAGTGATGGCAGCTCAGTGTGCACGGGTGAGCGGAGATTAAAAAGAGAAGGGAAAAAAAGACATTATCAGCTGTTTTTGTGCCCTTGACCAGGAGCCTGTATATATTTCGGAAAAGTCTAAATGTTGTACAATCATGAATTTTTAGAAAGCAGCCTAAATCAGCGAGGAAACCCAGCAAAAGCCCTGTCATATCCCGAAATACCATCTGTTATCCCCGCCGTGTCCCCCCGCTCATCTCCTCCCATCCTGCAGCCGAGCATCCTTCACCCTCCACGGTCACAATGTCAAACATTGAAGTGCGGTATTCCAGTGAAACCGAAGGAAACTGTACCTTCATCGACAGCAGATCTGTCTCCCTATCCTCGCCTAAGCAACCTCGGATATCCCCTGTCCGTGTCTGTCTGATCGCCGAGGGATGGAGGGCACAGGGCAGCAGATAGAGAGCGATCAGCATCCACTCCGCCTCCTGTTCCAGTGCGCAGGCGCCGCATCTAACAGGTGATCACTGTATATCACGCTCGGAAATTGAAATTAAAGGGGACAAGGCGATTTATTTCCCGGGAGTCACGTGTGATCAGCGGCGGAGACCTTAAGATTTACCCTCCTGCGTGATATGTTGCACATTTTCTCAGCGACCGTTGACATATTTGAAATGTCATTATGAGTGGTTTAGGGAGATTAGCTGAGCAATGAGATCAATGTGTGTTCCGTTTACTTTGAATGCCATTTTACATGATAATGTATGTTCTATACACACAACTAATCTTTTCCAAAACAGCATACATGCCATGTTGTTTTAAAAAATGAGCATGGCATGTCCCCTTTGTCTTTATGGAGATAATTGCATATTGGCCTACCTGATATGATGAAACAAGAGATATTGTCATCCATAAACCAACTGATCATCTATCTATATATTATATTACAGGATTATATATATCTTAAACATCATTCACTTTTCAATCCTGTTAATACATCTCAGAATTATCATTAAAATTGCCCTTTGTCAGTTTATCAAAAAATATTGCTCCATCCATAGAGACTTGCCTTCAGTCCTGCTACACCATGCACAATATGTTGGATATAATCCACACAGCTTTCCAGTTGGGCATCCCTCAGTACATTTGTAAAGCAAAATGGCAATACACTGCAGATAAACCAATACAGGACTAAACGTCCTATTTCAGTTTACAGCAATTCTTCAAGTGTGCACCGTCTAGACATTTCCTCTTTGGTCTGAATCAAAGGTTGTTGCTCTTGGTTGCATTTTAGTTTATAGGATACTTCATGAAGATGTATGTAACAGGAAGTAAACATCAAAAGACACAAAGCAACTCTTCTATGCAAGTCTATGTAACCTCTTTTTCCCTCTTTTGCTGGCCTTCTTAGCCTGACATTTCTCCAACAAGAGGTGATCTACAGAGCAGATGTGATGCGAAGAGACAATCTGGGCAATCTTATCCTGTGCCGCTGTCAGAGTGATAAAAAAAACTTGCCAGCTTTCTTTCTTTCACCTTCCAGCTCAAGCTAGATGAGACTTCTGTCCAACTGATCATGATCCTTTAAAAGGAAATCCTTAAAAATCTGTTAAAATATACAGTGTAAATTGCACAATATATGACCCTATGACATTAAAATAAAGCATTTCTACACTACTTCTTGTGAACTGATTTACAGAATAATAATCTAGAGGTTTAGAAAAGTTGAATTAAGAGCAAACAAACAAGCAACACAAAACGGGATAAAAAATATTCTCACCTCTATCGATCACAGATCTGCCATAAGAATGATAATTCACCAGCAATGAAGAATTTTTAAAGAAACACATGCCCCCACACTCACATGCAAATTTACACACAACATACAGTAGATCATTTCCTATTCAGTATGTGGTAAGCGTGAGTGAGATGTGTGGGAAGGATGGAGAGCAAGTGATGTGTGGGCGTGTGGAAGAGTTACGTCATGCGTGATGTGTGAGAGGCAGAATCGCTATGGTCTCTCTTTGGAAAGTGCCAGATTTGGCTTCATTGCAGACACACACACACACACACACACACACACACACACACACACACACACATACACAAACAGGAAACATTCATCAGCACAATCTCCATCTGGGGATATAGGCTGTAGCTTTGCTGTGGGCTCATACATGGGCCGGAAATCCTTTAAGTAATCTTAGACTGTTTATATCTACCTCATCTTCCTAATCTGGTACTTTAAAATTATTTTTGGGTGGTGATTGTGATGATGAAGAAGTGATGATTGTTTTTGTGGACTATCAGAATATAACTTATGTCAATGCAGGCCTTGACTACTTATTGTCTTGTGGGAGATGTAACTGTATGTTTGGCTAAGCCACAGACTACTGTATATCTTGAGGAGAATGCAGAACTGTGGTTCTTTGCCCTGTTATTTTAAACTAACAACTGTCTAAAAATCTGAGTCCATCATTATTGTTTTTGATGTTGTTAAACTGTTTTCAACCCACTAAACAAGTGAGTCGTGTTTTTCAGTCAACAATATTATGTAAGACTGTTAGACAGCAGGCAATCACCAGATGCGGTACCATCATGTTCTTTTCTTTTGATCTCTCCCCGCTTGTCAGTTTAAATGCAATAACTACAATCTCCACTGTCACCATCCTTTTATCTCCCACGCATTCTCTGATAACATCAGACCGGACTTAAATCCCGCACTCACACAGCTGAAGCATCATAGACTTTAACAGCATCACTCATTCGTAAAGACAGACCCCAAAATGAATTGGATGCTCCTGTGTGTATTGAGGAGTGAAAAGCTGCTCATGAGGAACAGTTGGAAAAGCTTGAATATTAAAACATGTTTCACCTCTGAGTTCCTTTGTCTGGCTTTACCACATGTGTAGTGAGTAAATTTACTCGAAAGACTGAGATAACATTCCTTTCAAAGGCCTTTCTAATATCTTTTTTTCCCCCAAACTCTGATTCAAGCAGATTCACTAAGAAAACAGAGAGAATTCCCAGCAGGAATTTAAATAGACATCAAAAACAGACACTCTGCTTTCTTTTCTGTGGTGTGATTCAGCAGTCCTAATGGAAACACAAGGCCTACATTAATTCAACAGAAGCTTGTAGTAATGTGTTCCTTTCCATATTCACCCCTTTAAGTCACATGATTTCTTCAGTTAGGGTAGACAGTCATACATCGATCATTTACATCCAAAAAAAGGTAGGGCTTCATATAATGACATATAATAATGATAATAATGATAGGCCTTATGGTTTCTCTAAAATCTTGTGTGACTCCAGTTTACATTTAAATGCAGCACTGATGAACTCCATTGCATGCTATACAACTGGAATTTAAAGCCGCAGCCCATGAGAAGAAATCTATCCTGTTCAAGGTTCAGGTGTCTGAAGCCTATAAGGAGAGATAGGTGGGGTAAATCATGCATAGGTCACCAGTCCATCACAGGGCACATACAGAAAAATAAATACACACCTGCAGGTCTTTTAGTAGTTGAGTTTGCAATGCACCTAACCTGTAAGTCTTTTTGATTGTGGGATGAAACCCACACATGTTTGAACCGGAGATCTGCTTGCTAAGATGCAACAGTGCATACCATAAAGCTGCCTTGCTGCCCTGGGACAAACTCAGAGTCCATTAATGCTAGCTATTAATGTACTTATCCCTATTTTCCATTTTCCAAACATTAATTTAGACATGAGGGCATGTCCTGTCTGGTAGTTGACCAAATGCCTCTGTGGTTCTCCTTTCTGTGAGCACGGCTTTTTTGCTCACTCAGGCATATACCATTAGAAAGACATCACACTTATCCAATATTTGTATTCTTCTCTGCACAGTTGAGCCCGATCCCTGCACCCACATACCCATCTTTCTCTCTCTTTCTCTCTCTCTCTCTCTCTCTCTCTCTCTCTCTCTTTCTCTCTCTCTCTCTATCTGGCTCCCTCATGCACAAACACACTCAAACAAACAGAGCTCAGAAGCAGTACTTATCTCGCTCTCATTTTAATTAAGCCGATACACTGGAGCATAATGCTGCCTAGCAGTTTCTAACTCCCTTAGCTGTAATTCTCATGAATGAGACTGCAACTTCCACAACAACAACAGCCAAACAGTCACTTACAAATGACTTTTTAAAAAAGTATTTTGGTACTAGTTTGCAAAAAACACACCTCTGACGTTGACCCTTGAGGAAGGCAAAGCAATTTTTTCCCGGCATTGTTTTCTCTGGAGCAGAGCCGGAGCAGTGTGGAGCGGTAACCTGCATGGAGATGTATTGCTGTCCTCTCTAGGTCTCTAGGTCTCTGTGCCTGTGTGTTTGGCAGGGTCACCATGTAATCTATACAGTAACCTGATCACACACACTTTGCCAGTGTCATTAAATTTACATATCTACCTTGAGGAGGGGAAAATATGGACTCATGACACTACTTTCTAGATGGAAGACCAGTGGAATGCACCAAAATGACAAATTGAAAATTAAAGTTGACATTGATAAATTGGTTTTTAAGTAAGACTAGGTATAATTTGTGTCACGTAATGTGCTGTAATCATATAATTAGCCAACATATAACATTAAATATTGGCTTCTATTGTCTGAGTAGCTGGCTTGTAAATAAAATCAAGTAAAGTGAGCAGGAAAATTTAAGTTGGTTCATCATGGGTCCCTTTTCCTCTCGAACACCTGGTTATTCATGGACGGATTCAAGCTAGTACTTTGTCACACGTTATAAACGTTCCAGCAATGTAATTGACTGACTGATAACTTGATTGTGTTAGAATGTGCACGATACGCAGGTAGAGTTACCAAGCCTTGGCAGTCTGCTTTGTGCCACTAGGGAGCATGGTTTGTGCTTTGGCGTCTCCCTTCCTCACTCAGCATCATGCTAGAACACTGCACAAGTCTCTAAAGCCACCCAGCCTTTTTTTTTTTTCCTGACGAGTGACCACTGGTATCTGGCATACTAAAAATACTCTTAAAGAAACAGCGTCCACAAGACACCAGCATACCCTTATCGCTACTTCCCCTATTCTTATCTGTTTTTCCCACCAGCCCCTCCCTCTGCTGCCATGTCATGGGAGAATTCTAAGGATAACACAGTTCACGCCCCCAAACCCTGCACATCAGTAAGCAGGAAATCACTGCTGATCAGAGTCAGACTGGCAAACGAGAAAAGGGTGGGAGAGAATGAAAATGTGAAACAGTGGGTAGGATAAAAATACATCTAGTCTGATAATAGAAATGAGGACACCAAATTGAAAAATACCATAAAGATGAGAGAATCATCAGCAGATGTGAGAACAGGAATTAAATGGAAAGGGAGTCTCAATTATGTGATAAATATAAAAGGAAGGTAGACAGAGCTGCAGCTGCTTTATTGCTAATGCAAGCCTTTGTTGGAACTTCCAAATGCATTGAGTTTGAAGTCCTCACAGTCTATCTTGCATCAGATACATCTAATACAAGTATCCTCTAATATTTAAAGGCAACAGAAAGTGTAAATATCTGCATTGTGTTCTTTTCTTCCCTTCCTCTTTCCAAATGTATTCACATTACACTGAATAGACAAAACTATAATGATGTCAGTATGCAGTGCGAGGTACATTTCTGTTTGGTGAACAGATTTGTTTGCTCTTTGGCAGGGAAATGGACATCAGAATGTTTGTAGAGGTGCTGTGATAAGGTCTAGACGGCAGGCTGTATATAATTGAAGAGGTGTAAAAGAAGATGGGGTTTTAGACTACCTGAGGTCTCCTGCCTCACCAGTGTACAGTGTCAGAGGCAAACCTTGTTCAGTCAACAGGCAGATACTGTACCCATAGTACATATTACTTCTACTTAATGTTTACAGGAGTACTGTGCACTATTCAGACTCTATTACAATACAAGGAATGCTTTATGAATCAATTAATTTAGGCATCCCACCGTAAGTGTTCATAGCCTATTAAGCATTATCGTTTACAAATCACATATTACCACTAACCCTTTCTAGTATAAATAATTAGTTTTAGATTTTTGCAAAAGCTGGAAACTTGCTGTTGAAAGATGTGTTACCCCTTCTATGCTAAACTATCCTAACACAGTGCACATTTATGTGGAAAGTCTGTACTGCAGTGCTACACAGAAAAGGAAAAAAAAACTAAACAGTGTTTGTAATTAGTGTAGAATGTTACAAATAGTAGCTAGTTGAATATGAATGAATGGACAAGTAAACTAATTGCTCAATTTCTAGACATCTTTGTCTATGACTCTCTCTTAGTATTCGTCTCTTGCCACTTGAAAGCTAGCTGTGAAAAAGAGAAGATGACCTTGCATGTGTGCGTGAGTCTGTGTCCCAATGATTTCTAAGATTGAGAGCATGGAGATGGAGAAGAGGCATCACTTTCTGGTGTGCTTTTCATCTTGAGTTATGCAGAATACTCTAATATCACCCTCATGGGCACCTGCTTGGCGCAAGACTTTAGAACCGCAGAGAAACTGTACCACCTGGTGTGTGTGTACATATGTGTATGCCTGCGTGTGTGTGTGTGTGTGCTCGTGTGTGCGATTGAGTATGCACTGTACTCAACCTGCCCAGGGAGAGGATCCATTCTCTCATCAAATATTCACCAGTAACCACAGGCTCCCAGCTGCCTGCTGCTATAATGCACACACATTGCCATGTTATTGGTGCCTGATGTACTCACTGAAAAATGTGGCCCATAAAATGTTTGAACAGTCCATTTTCAGGATCATTTTTCAAGTTTATGCAGCTCAGTTTCAAGTGTAACTGCCATAAAAGTACACCTGGACAGCAAATCTCTCACTTGAGTGCAAGCTGACTGGTAGCCAAATTGTGAGTAAAAGGTAATTCCCAGGTGCATGTAGCGCAACTCAAAAACACCTGCTCATGCACTTCAAGTGCATCTTGCAGCTGTTTGTATAATATCCTACCATAATGTGCATGCCATGTTTGTCTATTATCAACATTAACTAAAAAAGCCACGGTTGATCTAAGATGTATAAAGAGTTTGATTCATTGACAGATATCTAGGGGAGAAGAAATTAATGCACATTTATACATTTACTCCTTACTGCCCACCCTGTCTTATTTTTTTACAATACTGGTCTGTCATCAGCCCCGTAACATGATCCAATTTCATCTAATAGCATGCATTCATAAATGACGGTGTCTTTGAAAGGAGAAAAAATGTATGTGACTTAAAACTGATTAATGTGAATGTATGAATTATAAATGTCTAGAACACTATAACCAAAAATGGAAACTTGTGCTGATGTGCAGTGATGGAAAAGATATAGCCTAAAATGTTTAGGATATTACATTGAAAAGCTGAAATGTAAAAAACACATTGTAAAGCAATGATGTTACTTACATAACAGGCATGCATGCCTAAGAGTAACAAACATTACTGTAGATCACATTCTAAATTTAATTTTGTTCCAAAAATCATCATTTTAGATTGGTCAAAAATATTCCCTCAAAATGAATTAGTATAATATAATACTGTAATAACACAGAATAACATACCCCCTTTACATATACCAAGCCATAATTCATGATTTACCTCAAATGTGGAAAAACAGCAGCCCCTCTGAAAGTCTGTTTATTTATTGTCAAAGAATTGTGTAAGACCACATACGATACAGTATCTAGTACCTTTGTAATAGTAATATTCCACTGGGGAAATTAATTTCATAGTTGACTTGTTTCATGTTATCATGAAATGCTGTCAGCTCAGACTGGAGCTGCAAATACAACTCCTTTGGTTGGAGGATAGTGTGAGAAATCAATTCAAGCTAAATTCCAACACTCTTTCGCCCACACAGGTATATACAATTTGTAAAGATATTATTTGCAAATATTATTTGTGCATTGCTGAGGCACATTTGCTATTCACCATTTGCATTCGATGGTCTTTCTCCTGTAGTCATCTGTGCAGCAAGAACTGGGTGGCAAAATTAAAGCTGAGAGTTAATCAGCAATGTATTACATTTAAGTCAAATCTAGCTTAATCACTTACAAAGTATAAGTCTTCTACAAGACGCTTTAAGAGAATGTTTCTGAAAATGTCACCAAGGTTAAACAATCTGCTTAATACTTTTAATTAGATCAGTCATAGTGTATAAATCCTTACTTTTTCTGTGGAGGAAACTGTCTGCAATTGTAACATCTATTTAAGCAGCGTGTCTCAAAACAGCTTTGATGAATCAACATCGGGTAAAATGCTGTCTTGTGGTTTGTTTTCCTTATCTCTTATCTCCTCTCTACAGTGGGGGAAAAGGCTATATGTTTCATCTCAAAATATCGCAGTTGGTATCTGGTTATTTTGGATTTTCTATGACTAAGCTTTTTGTCATTTAAAAGAAGGATTCAGGAATTATATCAGAGAAAAGCAGATGAATGAGTTATTTTAATGCATTACTCCCTTCAAGCACTCATTCTTACTCTATAATCATTTCTGGATTTTTGGAGTTTGTTTCCCTAGTTTTATTTCCTTTTTTAGGACAGACAATAGTATATAAAGATGTCCAAACACCTTTGATATTCTATTTCACTTACTCACCTTTGGTTGACTGACTTTGAAAAAAATGTTCAATATAAAAACAATAGGTCGACACATAAACACAGAGAAAATATCAAGGTAGGCATACTGATTAGACAACACCCAACTCACTCCAGTGGAACAGAGACACACACTGCCCACAATATATGCTTATCAAATCCAAGACCTTTAAAATACATGAATTTCTTCAGCTATAAAAATCTTTTGGGATATCCAGCTGTAGAGGAATTCCTACAACACTCTAGTGCAGAGATCCAAGCATTTATATTTCATATTGTTGTATTTATAGTCAAGCATTCCACTGTAGCTTTTTGTGGTGTAGCTTTTTGTGTGCAATGCTATACATTCTGATTTCTGCCCTTTCTGTTTTCCAACAGCTTGTGTCAATGTGGTGCGTTGATTGACTGCACGTGCTGTTTGTTGTTTAACAGCCTTGGCCAGCTGTTGGGGCTGCCACGGTGCAAAGGTCAGAGTGATGTAACGAGAAAGATGCAGGGATAAAGAGATGGATTAGAGGAGAGAACAACCCCCACAGGGACACAAATGTAGTGATTACACCCAGATTAATGACACAGCACTAACTGAGTCACATGCACAAACATCCGTGGCATTGGCATTACTTTCACTGAACACATTGTACTTCACTGCATGCACACATGGAAATATCCACCCAAATACAGATTATTGTTTTATTTTATTCAGATTTTTATTCAGTCATTCTGCAGGATATGCATTCCAAAAATGAAAACACATGACAAGGAACTGTTGTTTTTGTTTTTAGCTGTGCTAAACAGCATTACTAATTTATACCTGTCTGACATGTTTGCTTTCGCTGTATTTTAGGGCATCTGTGTTTGTCACTTGCACCAGGAACCTGTCCCACTTCCCTTGGTAAATTTAGAGTTCAGGTTGCCAGATAAAGCAGCGATATAATTCAAAGACGTGTTGGTCCCATGAGAAGCAAATCCCCAAGGTGAGGAGAGCACAGAGCTTAACATCACACACCTCCCTGGGTACGAGATCCTCTGTTCTTTCCTTTTCCTCTCCATTTCATTTTCACTGCTTCACTCACTTCACACTTTCGCTCTCACTGACTCACTCTGTCTTCTCTGCTTTCCCCTTGCTATCAGCAGTAGAAAAAAGGCAGATGATCTACGCCTCCCATCTTCCTCACTCCCTCGGCTGTCCTCTCTGGCTCTTGTGTGTGGTGAGGTATGTGAACTGTGGGAAACATCACAGGATGATGGGTGGTTGGCATCTTTTATACATACAGACTCCTCCCAGGGATCATGGAGGGGACCACGAGCACACGTGCAGCACTGTGAATCATGCTGAATGAATGGGTTGAATATTTATTAGGTTCTATGGGTTTCGTATATGCTTTTGGAAGGCATATGTGGAACAAAAACACAGATCATGGACACAAACTGATAAAGAAAAAAGAATATGTGCACAAAATGACATGCAGGAGACGGTCAACCTCTCTTTGTGCTGGTTACTCATTGCTGAGGGGAAATACTGTACCTCACTTCTCACTGACAGCTGTGTCAGTAAGATAACACACAGTACATATTGACACACTGCTAGTGTGTTGATGTCTATATTATTTCAGATTCCCTTCATGTATTTTGTGTGCTTATCTTTGTGTGTGTGTGTGTGTGTGTGTCGTCTTCCTGTTTATTGGTGACAAATATACTTCAGAACTGGATCCTCTTTTGTCCTAACCTGATATGCAGAGCAAAATGCTGCCTGTGCCACTACTGATAGTAGCTCCCCTTTGCTATCGGATAACTTATCAGTGTGGAGTAGCATATTTGATGTTTAACCTTCACTTGTCGCACCTATGTGCCAAGAACACCTAGAGATAAACTAGAGATACGCTTACTCTGTCTGGACAAAAAAATAGTCATAGATTTGAGCAAATCCAACATAATGAATTGTATGGAAATATTAAAAGCACTGCAGTGCAACAGGGCTATGTAGTGAGGATCTATGAACACTGAGAAGCTCAAAACAATTTATTTCTCAGAGGATTAAAGCTGTAGCTTACAGGTCGACTGGGGAAAAAAATGACAGAGTTTATGAAGTGAATAGGAAGTGATTGGTATGAGACATTTGGCCATGGGGGTGTGCTTCAGATGTGTGTATGAGGTTAGCTTTGCATGTCAGTGATAACCTTAAATCAAAGGAAGACGAGAGAGAGAGACAGAGGGAGAGAGAGCTGTATCTGTTCACATCTGCCGGGCTTTCATCCTTGTTTACACAGACATACCCGCAAAGACTTGTATACAAATCGCAAAAACATGTACAGTATACTGTACACACTGACAACATGTGGAGTTTTTCTAGTTGTAGAGTTTTGTTTATTGTTTGCCCAATGTTAATTTTCCACTGCTTCATAACCTCTTTTATCTTCTCTGACATTTTCGCTTGTAATAAAGTGTTCTGGTGTATTGGTTCCTGATAGAAACAGTGCTGTGTGGGGACAACAAAGGCGGCAGGAAAAAGAGAGAGGGGTGCCAATAGCGGAAAAAGATAAACGCTCTGATCTTCTCACATGTACAGAAGTCTATTTTATGTAGTGGCCTTTGACCTTTTGATCCTTCTGTAGATCAATGAATGGATTTATAGCATTTCATTACATTAAACTGGCCTCTTTAACCTTGAAATGTATGAAAAAAGAAATATGTGCAGGTCCAGAATCAACATCACCATCTATTCCCAAAGATGCTCAGATGGCATCTATCAGTTGGGTCAGTAGCTCCATCCAGCAAATGCCAGCTTCAGTCCCAGAAGAAATGTCTTGAGATTAACTAAGATGACCAGTCTCATACATTAGAGTGTGATATATGAATGGCTACAGGGACCATTGGCCAGAGGGTCCAGGGGCCAGGGTAACAGTGTTGAAACTTGACAGAGAGAGGAGAGAGAGCTTTGATGAGGAGGGGAGCTGAACTGGTTCAGAGCCTGTTGCTATGGTAGCCATGTGGAATAAATCAGCAGCATGAATTCCATTCTCAAATGCCTTCAGCACCCCACAGACTCAGGTAGACTTAGACAGAATTTGAATGAGTATAGTGTCCCAGTGCACCAGAATCATAACCAGTCCTTACTGGATGTACGCGATTATGTGTTTTACCAGCATATAGCCCATTCAATTATGTTTTTAAATATGTTTTTAATATGGTGTTTATAATACAAGAGAACATTTCTAAGTTGATTTTAGTTTTATGTACATGGCTTTCTTTCCTTTTGCTTCATTGGCCCGCCTTGTGTGTGTGTGTGTGTGCAAAGGGACTGAGTATACTTTGTCATTATTGATGGCTAAAACCACAGAGGTGACACCAGGGAAGGAAGGTCCATCTTTTTTTTAATGGCTGGTATTTATAAGGGGTATAAGCACACACAGTATTTTAAATCTAAGTCTTAGTTTAAGAATATTCAAGGAGAATGATGAGTGACGATATAAAGCCTTGACAGAGACCAAGTGATTTTCTACCACATTATGAATACAGTAAAGACAACAAGGTCAAAACTATAAAGTGAGAGAATTAAGACATAAATGCACGACATGGAAAAATGAGAGATCCTCCAGGCTCTATTTTTAGCACAACCACTACAATGCATTTCATTGTAAAATCTGATTGTTTGATGTTACTGTCATCTCAGAATTAACTGAATATTCATGAAGCTGACTCATCAGTTTTGTTGACACGCTTGGATGGACACCCTAACATTTATTTGTCTTTCTTTTCTTCTGAGCAAATTGTGGTGTACTACATTTCTGTTTGTGGTGGTAATTATGAATCCCATCTGCAACATCATTACAGATAAACAAAAGGGGCGGTGGAGGGGGGGTCAAAAAGGGAGGAAGGGAGAGCAAGTAATGGAGGGAGAGAAAGGGAAAGAGGAAGGACTGACTTTTTGAATACAGTTACCAGATGTGCACGCAAAGGCCACCCTGATTTTTTTTTAGATAAATAAAATATGCAATACACACAATACTGTTGATACATTTGATCACAATTTTAGATGTGTAGGTAGACACTTAATAATAAATAATAATAATAATAATAATAATAATAATCATCATCATAATTATAATAATGATAATACCACTTTTAATCTATTGTAACAGTTTTTACAAGTGCTTAATTACTTCCATTGAGAGCATAATTATAATTAAAACATGCCTCAATTATCCATAAATAGTGGCATTGCAGTATCTTACTGTATGCATTGTGGCCATTGTAACCAAACACACCACAGCCATGACCACATTATATTCAAATTAGCAGTATTGTAAAGCTCCAAGCATTTTTCACTGTACAAAAACAACACCACTATATTTTCCAGTTTACGACATCTAAACAACTACAGAACTCAAAGTAGAGACCAAGAAAATAAGTTACTATAGTACCAAAAAAGATTAGAAGGCCATTACCTTTAACATAGTTGTTCTCTCATAGTAGATACAGTAAGAGTTTTTCATATTAAGCCATTGAATGAGAGGATTCTCTGTGTGGATTGACAGCTGGGTTGGGCTAGGTCAGTCCACAGCAGCTGATATATTATATTCTGTGTCTTCAGATCAGAGGCAATGTCGCTTAATCAGTCATCCATCTCCTCCCAGGGCCTCTGCTCTGTGCTGACACTGACATTCATAGTATTTACCCAAGGTCTGCACTGGATAATCAGTTTACACCACACAAAAAGGAAAGAAATTGCTTTTTAGAATAATTGGAAACATCACAGTCAAGCCACTGAGTGATAAATGTAGCTACAAAAGCTAAGCAACCTGCTACTTTTGTTTTTCAGTTACTGCTCTTGTTGAAAGCAAAGTGAAAACCTTTTACATGGTGCAAACACTGAGTGAGTGTGACCTTTAGACTGTGTGTGTGTGTGTGTGTGTGTGTGTGTGTGTGTGTGTGTGTGTGTGTCTGTGTGTGTGTGCGTGTGTGTATGGGTGTGTGCATGTACAGTCAGTCCCTGTTCTCCTCAGGTGTCCAAGGTGTGCCTGGGCGCTCGGTGGGAGTTCTCCTCTGCTCTCCCTTTCCCTCTCTTCTCGCCACCCGGAGGAACATACTTCCTTCTTGTCTTTTTTCGTTTTTTATCTGAGCACCACACTCTCTCACAGTACTCTTCTACTCTCTGGGCATCCCCGTAGCCAATCAGCTGGAGAAACTCCTTGTACCACAGCCTGGAGTTGGGGCCTGGGACTGAGGATGGCACCAGAGCCCTCGGGCTGATGCTGGGGCCCGGTTGGAGCCCTATGGAGGAGTGGCAAGAAGCCGTAGCTTTTTCTCCCTCCCCATCATTAGCCCTGTGGATCGCTGACTCCACCCTCTCCCCTCTAAGCACGTGTAGAGAGGTACGCGATAATGTGTGCACGTATCCATGTTCCACAGTCTGGCACACGTACAAACCAGTGTCGGAACTCCTCACTCGTAAAAACAGCAGCCCATGGGAGGTTATGATAACCCGCTCATCACCTCGAACCTAAAGGAGGAAAGAAAGTGATGTAGCCATTATTTAAGTGTAGCAATTCAGGCATTTGCTGCACTGCACTGCACTGCACTGCATGAGTTCTTCTCCCAAGAGAAATTTTAATTAAAAAATCAACAGGACTAAACTCAGCAAAGGATAAATTAAGGAAAGGTAGTTCTTTAATAGTGCAATCAATACAGTGACTCTGTATTTAAGGTTCTGTGCAGATTTCTGTTTGCTGCAGTATACGCTGCAAGTTTAAATATAAGGTTTAGATCTAAAGGCTTGCGATATAAACATTTAAAATGCATTTCACAAGGTTGTGAGATATATGGCACTGATTTAAGTCACCATCCCTGTATCAAAGAGAATGGAATTTTGTTTGGGGTGCTCTACACATAGAAAAATTTAATATAAATATCCAACAACACAATCCCTCTCCCAGTTACTCAGGATAGTCCACAAACCTCACTATGTAAATGGTAATAATTTACTGCTTTGAGCGTCATAAATGAAATTCCGTTCATCTCAATTACACTGAAGTAGCAGCAAAAATCTATCTGCATGGCTAGACAGATCTATTGGGGTAGTTAACTAACTATTAAAGTTTCAGTACTTCACCTCGGCTCTACTATTTTTTTTCCCCCAGAGTTTTGTAGCTTCTTGTATCTGTGTCTGTAGTGCAATATTTGTTCAGTTCACATTTGTATTTATTTCACGTACAGGTCTATCTAACTCACCTCGTGTTTCACTCCTCCTTTCTGCAAGAACCAGAGGACCTTTGCTTGAAGCGATCGAGGGACACACTCAAGTAAAGTGCTGTTGCTCTCCACTCCATACACCAGCCTCTCCTCAGCTTTGTGCCATTGTTCATCTGCACACAAACACACAAACACACAGATCATAAAATATAGTGAGACGAGAGAGATGGCTTCTGTGACCTTCGAGTGGATTGCTCTACCCCTATCTGCCACAGTAGGGGCACACTAACCTCTCTCAGATCTAACCGCAGTGATTCACATTTTTTCATATTTAGTCCGGTGCTTCTCAAGAACTGCATAATTTCCTTGCTTGTACACAGTATTTGTCTGACAAAATCTTGCAATACAAGTAAATACATACAAGCATGCCCATGCACAGACACACACAAAAACACACATCACACAGTCATTTTATACACTAACCATCAATTTGCAGCCCATTGCACAGCTGGACGGCGTTGCCATGGCGAACATCCTGCCGCCTGAATCGTCTGCTGAGATTGGAGCGAGCATAAGTAGAGAGAGAGTAATTTTGAACATGTGATGAAAGTGCAAGAGATGGGTGAAAGGAAAGAAAGAGGAAGGGAGGTGATCAAGTGCATACTGATAGGCATTACATAACACCTGGCTGTCATGTCTCTCAGAGCCTGTGATACTGACTAGATAAACCAGCCTCAGAGCATTGTGACATTCAGGGCAAGATGCAGAAGTGCGCTTGTAAAGGTGTGAACAGCTGATGATATCACACAAACACATTTTCAGGGAGAAAAGATTAGACCTGTCTCGGAGTGTGTGCCTGCTGTTACCTCTTGGTATAGATGCCAGCAGGGTAAAATCTGGAGCAGGTGAGACCATCCCAGGCACAGTAAGGGTCTCTGGCCAAACAACAATCAGCACATTCTGACCCATAGAGGTCACACTGATGTAGTCTGACCTGGGCCACACCCACTTCTGACCCCACATATAGCTGTTGCTGTGGAGCCAACATCAAGTATTAATATCAAGACAATTGACAATTTGACATATATACATGCAGTACAGTATATAGATGAGTGACTATTTAAACTTAATTGTCTCTAAACCCTCTCCATTCTCCCATAGGTGTTCAATGTTTAGTTGTTTGATTGATTCAAATAATTTTTATTCTCATCAAACCCTTCAATGCCCCCTCATGTCCTGTACTAAAGCATCTGTATTTCTTATGTATCTCCACTCGTTTAATTTGTCACCTGTCTGTGTTTACATATTGTGTGTATATATATGCTTTCTGTCTTTACCTGATGTACCTGGGTTACATAGCAAAAACCTGTCTACAGTACATATTAATTATGTCAATACAAAGTGTTGCAATGTTAACATCTTGTGGCTAAACAACAGAATTGCATGAAGGGAAAACAGTATAGGGATTCAAATGGTCATTTTACCCTTTTAGATGATATTATGATTTCTCTTATTGGTGCTGGCACCTGCAAATAGAAAACATGTTGCTATTATTCAAAATTAATGTGGTCAGTCGTTTCATGCTATAAGAATAAAGTAACAAGGGTTGCCATAAAGCACTTTGTCACTACAGGGCTTTCCCCATGCTTCTTACCATACCAAATCAAGACTTAATTAAAATTGCAGCAGCCGCTGCTTGTAGACGGGTTTCTATATCTAACTGATTTAAGTAGAACTGATATATTCAAATCATTCTCAAGATCTCTCAGCACGCTGGCTGCACAGTTATAAGTGTTCCCCTCTTATGGCAGAAAAGGTGCAAATTAGCAGGGGTTTCAGAACAATGTCTCTTATTGTAAAACTGCAGCAAGACTAATGTGTATGCAGTAAAATGCAGAATTTTCTTGGTTACAAAGTCTTCTTTGCTTTCACATTTGTTCTCTAAAAATAGAGTACCTTGAATACTTGCAGCTCTTCCAGCAGCACCTCCTCCATAGTGTCTGTGTCTTTGTTGTAGATGGTGATGACTTTCAATACCACAGAATCATCTAACGGAAGAAGACATTAATGTTACATACACAAAGGTTTAACAGGTTATTCAGAGTAACTCTTGTTTGTCTTTCATTGGGTACATAGTAAGTGTATTCTTCATGCATGGCTTATAATGCATGAAGAATAATAGTGTACCAGTGCCAATATAGAGAACATGGTAGTGTCCATCCTGTGCTTGGACTCTGTCCACAGCGATCTGGGTCAGCTTTCTCCTGCCTGGCTCAGTCTGCAGCAGGACGGGTCTACGGTGCTGAGGAAGTACTGGGCGATACATCACAGGATGAGAACGCACAAACCGCAAAACCTCGTCCGGAAACTCCTTAGAGCTGGAGAAGCCACCTCCATTCACTTTACTGGCACACTGTTCAAGAGATGATGTGACAGAAATAGAGAGAGTAAAGGAAGGGGCAGGGATGGAGACAGAAGAGGCCATTTGCTGCATTGGCACTTTACGCTGTGAGAAAAAAAAAAGCTGACATGTCTGGCTCAGACTGTCCCTGTGTGACCTACCAAGGTAGCTACAACAGTGCTAACATTCACCAGAGCTGTCTTACATGCTCTCAACACTGTCCCTCTTAAAGGACATCTGTCGTAGACACAGACTAATGGAGAGTGCTGTGAATGCATAATGTTGTGGTGCATTTAGACTCACAGATCCAGGTCGAGGGTAGGGGATTCTGTCCTCATAAGGTGTCCAATGATGCTCGGGTCTCTCTCGGTAGGCAAATGGACCATTAAAGGCTGCTCTGATATCATCCATGTGATAGACACACACTGCATAGCCTTTAAAAACCGTGCTGCAAAAGAAGGTTTTATTAGTGATTTGAAACAAACTGTATAATGAAATGCTGACGTCGTCCTTCACTCACCTTGTTGTGCTAAAGAGGCCAAAGATTTCTGGATTTTTCCCATCCTTATTCTTGAGCACAAACACATCCTCTGAGACACAAAATATAAAATTTAGCTGTTGTGTGTTAACAGGGTAACATTTTTCTCATTCTGCAGCAGTCGGAATCTGTTTTCTATCCAGATGGTTAGATGAGTCTTTGTGAATTTTGGAAATCACATTGTTCATATTGGTTACCACTACTAGGTCAGAATACAAAAAAATACTCAATAACAAAGTTACCTTCCAAATTTTGAGGGATGTAGATGCAGGTGTGTGTGTTGACTCAAAGTTTAACAGTAAATAAATAAGATTCAAACAGTCTCTGTGTAGTCCTACCGAGTTCATCGAAATGTGTATCAATGCCATTTGGTCCAGCAACAGAGCAGATAAGACGAGTTTTCAGGAAAGAGCTCCATCTATTCACCAACATTCTCTGTCCTCCTTGGTCATTCTGAGAGATGAAGGCAGATATAGAATGTGAGTGCAGTACTTTGGCTTTGGCTGATCATACCCAGAAACTTTTCTACAACATTAGCATTCTCACCGCACAGACTCGCCCAACGCGAGTATATACAGCCTTGTTCCCTCCCTCAGCATCCATCTCCCTCTCAGTGAAGAAGAAGTAAACCTTATCATCATCCTTGTCATCGTTGTCAGGAATAACTGCTGACCCCACAAATTTAGGTTCTGAAGGGAGAAGGATTTGTAACAAAATGAGTGGAACGAAAGATAAATTAAAAAGCCCTGGTAGTGAAGGTAGCAGTAGTGATTTGGTGCTGGAGCAATTTGTTATAAACTGTTAATTTTGAATTCTTCCTCATTTTAGATGTGTTATGGTAGGAATCTCCTATATGGAATGTAATACTTGTTATGACAGTCTGACAAAATATCTGTATGTGAAAATATAAATTATTTTAAACAAAAGCTCATGAATACTATGTAATAGAAAACATTTAGACTATGAATCATTAGATCAATAGCATTTCATTTTCTGAACTGTCATACAATTTTAATATATTTTTGAAAACATACTCAGTTTGTTATCACATATACTATATCCATTGGCACTGCTTTGCATTTAAAGGGAGATGATTTTTCCTGTAATGTACACTAACCGTTGAGTTGCTGCCGGTCGTCTCTTTCAGTGCGTGTGTAGGTCTGGTTGTTAAGTCGACACAAAGCACCATCGTTCTCCCAGTAGTCAGTGTACAGGCCAATATACAGCTCTCCTCCTAATGTATACACACGTACACACACATACACAAACACAAGAAAATGAATAATTAATGAATATGCATATATGCATATATTATTAAGAATACACACCTTTTTGCTGTAATTAAAGTACTGATATAAGAAAAGACCACAAGATGGCAGTATTGACTTGTTAAATTCTATTCAATAAGGAATTGCATGTATTTGTCGAGCTGAAATGAAAACTTCCATTGTTGTCTCACAACTGTGTTTTTAGTTCAGCTGATGGTGAGATGATGTATGATGGAGTGAGCAGTGTCTTACTGGAGAGCGTTGACGTGCAGGGACTGTTGGGGTCGTATGGACAGCGTCCTCTGCCACTCATTATACTGTCTCCTTCAAGAGCAAACTGCTTGTCCTAAGAGCAATGCACAAAACACACACAGAGATACAGGCGTAGTTATGCATACACAAATGTAACTGATGAATGATAACGTAAGCACACACTCAAAAGCTGTAGCCTTGCAAAGGCTTTAACAACATCCAGACAAACCTCAGAAGGTGATGCGTGGGGAGAGAGATTGAGGAGAATTAGAGAGAGGAGGAATCTGAAAGTGATGGATGAGAAGGAGGAAGAAAGATAGATGAGACAAGGAATGATGGATAACCAAATGAAGGACTGTTGTCCGAATGTCTCTAACCAACAAGTCACTGCTCTTATATCATAGTGAGTTCACTGCGTCTACTCTTCTGATCTTGTTGCCCTGCACAGCAGGTGACAGAAACACACACACACATACATACATACCCTGAATTCCCTCTAGAACCACAGCTCATATGTTGTAGGCCACCACAGTGTTTACGACTGTCACTGGCAGATCAGAGGGGGTGTCATATATTGATTTATGAGTAGCCAAGCAGCCCTACTGTGCTGTGACTACCGCCCTGCGTTTGACTGTAACAGAAGTCAGTTTCTGGGTTAAACTCATCCATCATGTAATGTGGTCTATCAAAACCAAATGGAAAATAGGTAAAATAGGCTGAATCAATATTAATCTACATGAAGTACTCTGAAATGTGGGCTGTTTTTTATGTCTGGGTCAGGGGTGCATTAATATTTGTTAGTCAGTGGTTGGCTTGATGAATTGCAATAGTATTTTCTATAGTTTATCGTTGTCTAAATATTATTCGGCTTAAAGGTAATTGTAGACTATATGTAATCTCATACACCAAGTATGAAAATTATGTGAGGCAATCTTGTAGAGACATTTGGTTGGTTATACTGATCCAGTTTTGCTCACTCTGTGAGCATTCCAATGGTATGAGAGATGGTTGAGCTTGGTTCCTGGCCTGGTCAACCTACTGGACCAGTGTTGGAATGCAGGGTGGAAACCTTCTCCCCTCCTCACTCTCTAAATACATCACAGACACACACACACACACACACACACACACTGAGGAGTGTTCCACGTTTGACGCCTGGGAGGTACCATATGTGTCATACTGCAGACAAACATACTCGCACAGATGTATGCAGGCAATTTTGCATGGACACCAGTATGCACGCAAAACATTCCAGTGTGCTCAAATCCCACTAAGGCACACATTTAAATTGACCCCTGAGTGAGACAGAACATTAGTCTTCCTCAAACATGCTCTTACAGAAAGCAGCACCTGGCCTATTCTCCCTTTTTACCTGGCAGATGTAGTATCAGCTTTATTTAATATAAATTATTAGTATAACAAATAATTTTTCTAACCTCTGGGAAAACAAAAGATCACTGAAACTCACTTCCATCTCCACATCACATCACTCTTGCTAATGATAATATAATGAAGAAATCTGCAACATTTTCTTTAGAATAACCATTTGTTTTCAGACAGTTATTTGAAGTGAAAATCTGATGCTCACTAAAGGCAACCACAGTTTTTGAAGCAAAGAAAGAAAGAAACAGTACAATTAGAAATATCCACTATGGATTAACTATCAAGTAATGTAAAAGTGCTGTTTGACTTTGAAAAAGATCTCTGATAGTATGTTATTTAAACCAAACTCTGATTCTCTCTTTGGGACTCACCTGCCCTGTGTGTCCCACTCTGACCAGGGCACAGATAGGATTGAAGGCTCCAGTTCCACAAACCAGCAAATGGGTCTGGTTGTACTGTTGCAGGACTTTGATGTAGTTTGCACACTCCGGCTGTTGGAAGAGATACAGAGATGAAGCAGTGGTTGGGTAAGGTGGGGTAGGGAGGAGGGTGGTTGGGTGAAGGGTCATCAGGGAAGCAGAGAGAATGGCGTGATTAAAAAATACAACGCTTTTACTGCATCATCAATAACATCAATACTTCAGGTTGAACAAAGGTTAATGAGCACAGTGAGAAATAAAAGTCAATCCATACAAGCTGACAGTATCTATCACTGTAATGGATCTATCTAGCTATAATAAATGTATCATACTATAATCCACGTTATCAACTGGGCATTTATGTTTTGCCCTCTATAATCAACCTAAGACATACTACCAAGGCCCAGTTGGGAACATACAGTAGGTTTGCATGCAGTCATGTTGAAGGTGTCCCTTACCTTTTCCCTCCCCTTCATCAAACACTCCTCTATCTGAGATTCTGTACTGGCCCACGGTATCTGAAATAAAACACAGTTGGACTCATATTTACAATAGTGCTGTTTCAAACTAAATAAAAACAAAAGTGTTTTACATGCATAGTTAAGTGTATAGTTTTTTACCAAATAACACTTATCTCCACTGCATTATTCTTCACTGTATAATCATCTTACAGGGTTATTATGCCACCTTTTCAGTTCCGCATCAAAAAAACCAAATACTGTTTTATACTGAACACAGTGCTACTGTGTAAGGACACACACATGCAGACTAGGTTTGGCTAACACACTGGTTTTCAAACTATGGTATGTGTACGACTGTGGTACGTGAGCTCCCTCTAGTGGTATGTGGAGGAAAAGTAAAAACATACAATACAATCAAAATACTACAAAATTTCAAATAAAAAACTAAGAAATAACTATGAGATCACTGAAATGTAATTTTAACTATTTTTTGCCATTGTTTAAGTATCAGCCTGCTACATAGTTATGGTCACGCACGTACTGCACATACACATCCATGATTAGTTACGAGCTGCAATGTGATGGCAAGAGGTAAAATGAAAGGTTAAAAAACAATTGTGGCTCCAAATGGGAAGAGAAGTGTGCACAAGGAGTACCTTTTTTTCAAACAATTTAGCACTGGTTCTCGAACCGATTCCGTTCCGAATTCAACAAGAGTCAACAATAAATAATCTTCTTATTAGGAATAATCCTGCCTCCTGTGCGCAGCTGAACTACTGTATTTTAAACTTGGTCATACTGGTGGTACTTAGAGAGCTTAATATTTCCTGTGGTTGGTACATGAAGTAAAAGGTTGGAGAAACACTGGGCTAACCTATTGATCTGTAGGTGTGTGAGTTTAATATTTCTCATTTCTTAAAAGGCAGGGAGAGGATGAAAGCAGGCCTACCTCTCTCTGGTGCGTGTTAACCCGGTCCAAGCTAAGGGAGAACAGAGTATTCTTGGCCCCAACATAAAGCCTCTCGTGGCCCTCATCCAGAAGCATAGTCTGGGGCTGAAGAGACGCTCCATCTCCCTGGAACACCCAGGTCCTGTTCAGCTTCCAAAGCTCTGCAGTCAACAACCCACACAGAAAAAAAGCAGAATAATTATAGCAACACAGTCTAGGTCTGCAATTTAGGGAGGGATATCTAGCTGGTTAGAGAGACAGAGTTTTCATTTCAAATGTGGATTCTGATCTTGCTTTAGCCTGTACAAACCAGCAAAATCAAATTTTAGCAAACCCCTTCCTCAAGGGATTTGTTACTGCTCCAGTAACCTGTGCCTGAGTCCCAACAGCTCCCATGGCCAAGGGCACATTGCAACATGTGGTTCTGATTCATAGCTTCCTCAAGAGATTGGAAGAGAGCAAGGAGGGTTATCTTTTCATCTCATCTCTCCCTCTCGTGTGGCACCAATGCTTCCTCTCTCTCAATTATAGCTAGGCCTCTATATGTCATTGGCCATTGGTCATAGAACTACAATGCATCTGGTTTTTCTGATCAGTAAATGTTCACTTGGCCTTGAAGGAGTACAGCTGACCTCCAAGGTACTGGTATGTGCCAATGAATTGCTTTAAGGACTACTGCTGTAAACCCTTGGCAAAACTCAACTGAAATGACATTCTAGAAACCATGAAGGCGTGATAAAAGAAGTGACATATAAGTCCTGGGACAGATTTTGTGATTAATTGGGGGGGGTTGATCTTTTACTAGAAGGAAGCAGTTTTATCAGACAGGAAACGGAATCAGTCATTAGTTTGAGATCAGCAGCCACTCCCTGTCAGTCTTGCTTTAGGTGATTTAAAATCCTTCTCTAAAAAGGAAGCAGCGGACCATGGCAGATATGTCATTAAATATAAACACACTGTCATCAGAATAACCACAGAGCAAGACACACAGATTCGTATTTGGCATACACATGCAACACACCCAGTTGTATCTGCATGATTGATTGATTGAACAAGCTGCTCCTCTATACCTGCTGTCTGCAAGCTTCTGGAGAGGTTGAGGGTGAAGGATTTAAACTAAGTGAAGCCCCAGAGGTGTGCATGCCCTCTGGGTCGCACTGTTCTGAAAAACCTTTCATTAACAAGAAAAGAAAAGAAAGAAAAAAGAAAAAGGGGGATCTGGTGTGAGTTAGCAGAGCTTTTAAAACCTCAGACAGATTCAAGCAGACAAGCCAGGGTTTGTAATCAAATGTATAGCACTAGCATTGCACAGATTGTATTCTCTCTATTTGTCCTACTTTCATGCACAAGTGAGGCCATCTATGCACTATTCTCCACAAAACTCCCTCTAAATGAAGAGAGGCAAAACCATTAGCTATGACTGTAATAGCATGCCAATCTTTCAACAACCTCAAATAATACTGCGATGTCTCTACATGCTGGGGTTGCAGAGGGTAATTGTATGATTTGTTTTCCTAGTATCTGTATATTTTTAGTGATACTTGATCTCCAAGATAGAACCATAGAGTGTTTATCCCAATTTTGTAGATTACTCATAGCAACAGCATACAATTCCATGGAAGGTTTTATTTGTTTAACATAGGATTAGGTATCCACAGAGGAGAGGGCTGTATATTTTGTTGCTATTAAAATTTCTATGTTGGAGACAAGTGACTGTTTGTTTTAGTAGCATTAGATCTCTGGTGGTTAGGTGGCAGAGAGTGAGGGGATGTGGCAGTGGTGTTCTGCCAGGGATCAGACATGCTTCCTGTAATTATCTAATCCACACATACTTGGAGCTCTTTCTCTCTCTCTCTCTCTCTCTCTCTCTCTCTCTCTCTCTCTCTCTCTCTCACACACACACACACACACACACACACACACACACACACACACACACACACACACACACACACTGTCTCTCCCCTCTATCTCCTTGCAGTTCCCTCTGAGTTAAGCTGAACTTGGATCAAGGACAGTCCTCTAACATTCCACTCTGAGTTTTCTCTAGTGTTGGGCTCTCGAACAATCAGCTCCTTCTTTATGTGAAGTAAAATCTGCTACCACTTATTCAGATGACAGACTTAGACAGCCATTTAAAGTGATGGAGTAAACAGTGCCTAAGCCAAACCCTTTTTTCCATCTACTTTTTACATGTCTTTGTTAATAATGATGTGTGACAGCGGATTTACATGGACATGTAAACACAGTGAGATGCAAAGACTTGTACAAGCTCTCTCACTCGCACACACACAAACAAACACAAATACAGATACATTGCATTCATCTATTTTGCTTACATATTTGTAAGAGTTGTAAATGTGATATTTTAGATGTGTAGGGTTCAAGTCTGAACTGGACTGTTCCCATCCCATGCTCATGTAATTAAATAAAAGGGGACTGACACACTGACATAAGCAGCTTGAAACTTGAAACTGAAAGAACGAAAGAAGAACATCCATTTCCCACCAGTATACAAATACAACTGAGAAGAAACTATAATCACATTTATAATAAAATAGGCTGTTGATTAATCCGCTTACAGTAATTACACATGATTACAGAGTTACTCTAAAACACAATTGGTGGATGTGATTATTACACTGACACACTGAAAGGTGCTTCAGAGCGCACAATGCTGTTTAAAAGGTTTCTCCACTGTCATTATGTGCACCAGTCACAGACAGTTGCAACCACTACTCAGACTGAAGAAGGGAAAAGGGGATTTCCGCATTTCCTCTCTCTCCTCTCTCCTTTCCAAGTTTTTTCGCCATCTGCAGCTAGTGAGGGCTCCTTAGCTGTCAGCTAAGGAGCTGAGAGGAGAAGGAGGAGGGTGTTTCTCCATCAGCAACTGAGCCAGGGAGACACACGGCCCTACTGTGATCCCACTTCAAATGGAAAACACAGAGAAAAAGGACTCCCCCAAGACAGACACTTTCATCGGCTGTCTGAGGAGTGCTGAGAGATGCCTGAGAAGATTTGGTGAAGTGAAATCAAAATAAACGTTGTGATCTCCTCTTTATTCTTGTATGAAAACACTGTTTTGCACCAGGGAGAACAATATGTGGTTGTGTTTGTGTGTGCAGTAGCAATCTACAGTCTCCTAACAGTGGGGTTTAGTCAGTAAAATCAAGATAAATGCACACAGGGGTTCATAAAAAGCATTGCTCAGGAAACTTAAAATCACAAATTAGATTTGATAACATAATTTGATCTATTGCCAATACTAAGCATTTCATGTCCGAAATTAAACTTGTGGGAGGTTGTCTCATATTTCCACAGAAATAAGCCTATGGAGGTTTACTTATTGAGTAATGGGACTAGGCCTGGAAGAGAAACAAAGAGAATTATTGGAGGCGGCTGGAGTTAAAGGGGACAAGAATAAGGAGAGAGTCTGTTCTCCTTGTGTCGACAAGGCCTGAGCGAGACTGTGGAGCCCCTGGGGGTGGGGTCAGGAGCTGGAACTGGGGTGTTATGCCATTATCAGTATACGGCCTTGTGTGTTCCTGTATCCTCTTGTGTGTGTTGGGGGGAGCATGATGTCACAGAGCAAAATGAAAGCCACATGGAGTGTCAGAGCAGGATGTGAGAGAGCGAAAGAGACCAGTGCATATTTCTCTGTAATAAAAAACTGAGTGTAAGTCTGTAACCTGATTGATGTTATAAATCAGGAGAATACCTTGACAACTGACAGTTCATGTTGTTATTGGCCCACACCAATATATACCTCCTAATTTAAACAATACTTGTATTCACAAGCAGTGTGTGCATGTGTGTCAACTTTTAATATGCTTTCCAAATAAAGGAGGGTACTGTATTAGTCTGATATTTAATCAAAGTCTGTCCCTTTCTGTTCCAAACTATTGCCTCAACCCTACATTTATATGACCTTGGAGTCCAAATGAATTGCTTTTTTATGTGGCTTGTGTGTGTCAATGCATTGCTATATGCATAAAGCTACGTCAACACAGAAACACTGAACAAAACTAAACTTGCATATAGACTTATGTGCTGCATTTTTATGAATTAGTTCGTTATTCATTTTAACCAGCAATGTGTGTAGTCATACTTTGGATGAACAGTTCTCCTCTCTTTTTCTCTACATGGAGAAATAAAGGAAAATGAGAACTGCCAACAAAAAAAAACATACACATGGCATTTCTGTGTGTTGAAGTGCTCGATCACTTGCCATTCTTCATCCTTTTTTCCCCCTCCTTTATAACATTGCAACTTACTCTCTGAAGACTCAAACAATTGTTGTGCCTTCTTTCCTACTCCCATTTGACAAACTTAACTCGTCTCGTTTCCCTGGTCCCTTCAGCGGGAAAAGGTCAGAAAGGATATTAGAGTTTCACCAGCTGCCTTCCCCTCTGGACATCTCATTAATGAACTGGAGAGCACACACATAACACAATGGGAGAGAAAAGGACGCTGAGACGTACACAGACAAAATGAGAAAGTGAGAGAGAGTGGTGAGTGCGGAGGTGGGAGGGGGTTGAAAAAACATAATTTTCCTCCGCTGACCCAAAAGGTGTGATTTATCTAATCATCACCATACCCTCCATTTTCCAGTGGTTTGATATAAGGTCTAAGACTGCCCTATGGCCACGATCCAATGTGGTAAATGTTAATTATAGGTCTCTGCACATGTAGGCGGAAGAAAGTTAATGGAACTCCTCACTTTGCACATTAGCTTTATATAGAAAAATGCCACCCTCTCTCATTTCACTTCAGGCAGACAAAACTTTAGGCCATACTGGTATTCCCCATCTCACTCTCAGAAGAAAGTCACCCACAGCCACGTTATTTCAAGGTTGTAAAATCATATTAAGAGAGCTTTTTATTGTCTGGAGAGGAAGGTTTAAAATTACAGCTCAAAGGGGGGTTTCATACATCAGTAATTGCTGCCTCAGTTCCTCCTGCTTAAATCTCACAATTTTACAGTAGGTGCTGATGAAAAGATTTGTCTAAAAAAGGTTAAGCATTTGTTGACCAATGTATCTGCATGCTTCATGTGCTCATCCAAATTTTTGTTCATTCAGTGTTAGAAGAGTATGTCTTGCACACATGTGTAGCATATGAGTAAATGCAACTGTTGAGTGCTTTAACCATCTTTTGTTTACATTTTCTATGAGGTAAATGTTGAAATAGGGAAAGCAAATACATTTATTTATATATATACATACATTATGATGTTAACCTTGTCAGAAAAGCTTAGTATTACAATCACAATCACAAAACTTAATTCACCATCACAGACCTGTTGAAGGGAAATATTTATATCTAAGTAAACAATTATGACTTTTAAGTAAACATGTCTTTGGCAGAGATGGTGAAGAAATGTCTTTTCAATCTAATTATTGTGAAATGGTCAGTTTGTATTCTGTCTTTTTCGCAAAGCTACCCTCATGAACACTTTTGCTAAACTCAGACATGTTTTTAGGAGGCACAAGCATGTCGGCAATAATAACCTGTTACATTTCAGGAATGTGGGAAACAATTTAGGGATTTTTTCAAGGTTTAACAGGAGCAAGAGCACACAGACTCAGATATGAAATGTGTGAAAGGTGAAAATGATGTTTAAGAGTTTTAGTGTTTTAGTGTTTCACCGCTAACACATTGGATTTATATGTAATTTTTTTATTCACATTTTATCAACAATGACAACATGTAGTGTTCATTCCAGATGGGTATCTTAGGAAAAACATAGTTAACCGTAAGTTACATTACAAAGTATTTATTAACCTTAATAAGGCATCATTCTCGCTATAGTCCTGCTAGCTGCAAAAGGATGGCTATCTCACCTGGTGGAGAACGTGCACCATGCACTAATGCTGAGTCCTTGCAGAGGCATTATATTCGATTCCGGCCCTGGCTCTTTGCTGCATGTCAACCTGTTACTGACACACTGTTTCTTTTCAGCTGTTACTGTCTAATAAAAGCCAAACATCAGAAAGTTAGAAAATTAGGATCTACCATCTTATTTTCAAGGGGGTCCTTAATGACAGAAATTACACATATTATTAAGCTTATTAACCTTAATAAACATTGTTTCCACTTTTGATCTAGTGCCCCTAAAAAGCATATTTAACTGTTTATAAAGGCATAATGAATCATATAGAAGTCTTAATAAAGCAACAACAAAAGCTGAGTAAAGGTTTAAAAATGACATTATATATAAAATGTGTTTGTGATGTTATTATAAACAATTATAAGAAACTCCTAAGACTTTTGGTAACACTCCTAAACTGTCTATAACCTGGTAACAATTTTCTTTATGATGCTATTATTTACACATATATAGTCTTGTTAAAACCTAATAATGTTAATAAGCATCTAGCAAGTGCCTTTTCTATTGATGCTTATTACAAGCACCCTAATATAAAGTGTTATGGATCAGGGTTTATGTAAGTACACACCTGTTCTGGACAGATTTCTATTATGTGGGTGGGGTGAAATTTTAAGCTTCTCTAAACCAAGAAGTCCCGATTTGTCCAAAAAACACACCTGAAATAATATTCACAATCATGACAGAATCAACAGGAATTTAATTTCTGGCATAACCTCTCCGTCAGAAGTGCAAAGTGCAAATTAGCCAGCATATTAAACTATGTAGAGGTGAAAACTTTTTGGAAGTGACTTTGATCTCTTTAGGTCATATGAAGACTGCTGTATCACGCTCTCTGCTGCTAAAGCCGAGCATGATGACAGTGTTATAGAGGCAGCAACATAAAGTCTGGCCATCTACGTGTAGCCTGCTGAGACTCAGACGCATGCTGCGCAACAGCTTCATTAGCAGCAGAATTGATGGTTGTCCTAAAAGAAGAGCTCATTTCACTCCACAGGCCACCACAGGCCTGGAGATCTAAGGCTGCTGCCAAGCAGAACCAAATCTCATGGATCTGTATCCACAAAACAAAAAATTGTACAAAACAAACAGTATATTTTAATTTCTGTTATACAGCGAGCACATCTGTCTGCAGGGCAAATATATAATAACCCGGGATTTAGGGAGTTTGATTGGACAAAAGTCAGAAAGCAATTCAGCTGTATTGCCATCTTTAGCCTGTGTTTAAGGTCTTTGGAAGCTGTGCAGTCAAAGATTAGGGCCAGTTCTTTCTAAAGACAGCAGACAGTCTGCGATCGTAACTCAATACTCCATGTGATTTAGGTAACAACCTTTTGGAACGAGAGTTAATTGGGTGTGTAAGCATAAGCTATCAGTGACTGGGATGAAAGTGAAAATGTCGAAATTTGGAAAAATCTTCACTCGTCCAGAAGTCTAGACAAGAAAATGGGGAATAGATGAAAGCGAGAGTGCATAATAATTCTACACCATGTGTGAGGTGTGGCTAACATCAAAGCATGCAGAGATTCATACTGCATGGTAGTAAGGTCGTCCTTGAAACACATGATAATGTGCCCACAGGAATTCATTCCCAGAAACCAGGAGAAAGTTGATCTGATATTTTATTGAGATTTTTATTGATCCAACACTTGGTAAAGTATCTGTCCATCTGACCAGAAGCAGGTTAAAAATATTTCAGTACTGATATTATTAACTTTTCTTTCTCATTATCAATCTTACTTTCAAATTGGAGAATCTAGTTTTTCCACCCTGTTTTGATACCAGATGTTATGATAATATTTTCTTAGTCCTCAGGGCAAACAGTTAAAACCACATCCCTCTCCATCTCCCTGAACTGCATCCAAGTCATTGGCATGTGAATAATTCACACTATTCTGCCTGTGGATGTGTGCCTGTCTGTGTGTGTGTGTGTGTGTGTGTGTGTGTGTGTGTGTGTGTGTGTGTGTGTGTGTGTGTGTGTGTGTGTGTGTGTGAATTTTTGTGCACTTAAGGGTGTGTGCAAAAATCAGAGGCAGAGCCCATGAGGCATATATTAAGACTTAGATGTTTTTCATTCCATAATGATAGGATCCAACTGCAGCCTTTTCAGAGTGCTCCATGCTAGCCAGAACATGTATCAGAGGGGGGAGAGAGAGAGGGGGGGGGAGGGAGAGAGAAAGGTGGGATGTCAATCACTTCAGCAGTTTTCCCCTCAGGCGGTTAATGAATTGGGAAAGTCACGATCACAAGAAATACTGATGTGTCATTTATGACTAAGCACATCAGCACTGATCTGCTCAGTTCTGTTGATATATGAGCTTTGCATTACTGAAACCAAATGTGCCAATCTTTTTTTAATCATCTCTTTTTCTCTGAGTTATTGTTTCAGATTCTTTTGGAAATTTCTATTTCCATTTCCAGTGCTTTTCATTGGAAACTGTGTCTTACTGTATTTAGTTATTATTGTCTTATGGCAGACAAATTCCACTATGCAACAAGGAGAGACATAAAGCATACAGTAAATATCATAAAACAGCAAACTGCCCGTAACTGATGAACCAGACTTGTCAACTCTCATAACAGACTCACAGCACCGTACTTATGAGTTATTGACCATCCAAATTCCACACCTATATTCAACCATGACTAACAGGCTTATGGGAGAATCATCACCTTCTGTTGCTATAGGGATCAAAGAAACTGTGAGAAAAAGGCAGTGTTTACTCAAGAGTTTTATCTTGATAAGATTAAAGATTAAAAAGATATAAAAACCCCCATTATTGTCCAAGAGATACACAACAATCGCCGCATTCCAGTGAATGCCCATCTGTATCACACACTCCCACATACACATAAACAGGCACACGCAAACACTTCTCCCTCTCTCAGACACACACATGCCCCAAAAAAACTCTCCTCCATCTCTCTGCCGCTATGGCATGAGAGAAAGCCACATTGTGGAATCTCAGCCACCATGACCAAGAGTTCAAAACAAACTACAAGGAGGCTCCTTGAACATCACAAAAAAGTATGTACTTCATAAAGTCAGAGCAGAAGTCAGTCCTCTTAAATCCAAGTGCAAGGTGACTTCTGCTCTCGGGCTAAACATAAATCTTCAATGACCATCTCATTATATGATAATGATTACCTGCGGTTCCTTTTACTCATTCACAGAAGATGGCGCTTCTCTGATCTCACTTTGACAGTTCATTTTCAGCATTGGTTGTATTTATTTTGGTTGTTGTATTTTTGCATTCATATACGCTTGCATTTATTTATTTATTTTTATTTATTATTTATTTACTTGAAGAGAAAGGTGTCATAACTTGTTAAACCAGTGTAGATAGGTCTAAATAACTATGCTTTTACTATGCCATTTATTTAAGTAATATTAGTGGTACCAACAAAAATGCTGCAAAGAATACTGCTATCAATGGAGAGTGGAGGTCTATTAAATTTTGAAAAATTGTCTTATTCTTAATCTGCACTGAAGGCACTGAACAGAGAATGTAATTTTTTTAGTTGGGGCTGCGTTGACAATTCTGGATAGTTCAACACACTAAAGACTGTCTTCGCCTCTCTATTATTACACAACATTTAAAATTGCGCAACATCAGCATTTGTTGCTGTGGATTAAAGGTAATTAAAGAACACACACAAGGTATTTCTTACCTTTGTGGGAGAGCCGTATCCGCGGGTAGATGCTGTGAGCTATGCCCAGCAGAACAAGATACAGCAGCATCAGTGTCGGATACACAGTCCTTATGCATTGTGCCATTCTAATTGAGACACACGCTCCACGTTCATCTACACAGAAATACTGGAAGAAATCCACTTAACATGGACAGCAAAGTCCATGAAAAGAAAGACAGTTTTCTGCCCTGCAAGTTGCTGCAAACGATAGAACAGATAGCAATGTAACAAAGTCTACTTGGAAGCAACAGTCCTTTTTCTGATGATCAACACAATGTGAATCAACTAGATGTATCCCTGCATCTTCTATACAGTCACTGCCCCTATAGCAGTCTGCTGAAAGCTGCATCCACCCACTACCTCGGTGGACAGGATAGTGCTCTGGCTATTATCCTTGTTTGGTCTTAGTAACCAGGGAGAAGAGAAGTCCAGTTGCTACATTCACGCCGCAGTGCCCACTGCTCTCTCTGTCCATATGTCAGTCCGTCTGTTTGTTTGTCTGTCTGTATGCTCAGCTCAGATCCAGTCTTTCTGATCTGATGACAGAAAAAAATGAATCCCACAAAGGTGAAAGAGCTGCTGATTTGTAAAACCTCAATGCATTTGTCTGTCCCAGCAGGCAGGGAAGCAGGCAGGCAGGCAGGCAGGCAGGCAGGGCAGAAGCTGCTGTACTGTATCCTCAGGCTGCGTTCCTCCTCTTGGGTCCACTGGAGCCAGTCATTCTCTGGACAGGAGCCCAGGAAAAGGCAGAGTGGGAGAGGGGAGGAGTGGGAGCCTCGTGCCTGGCGTGCCGTCTCTCTGCACTGGGGAAGAAAGTGAAGCTCCAGCTCCAAACTCTGCTCACGCTCCAACGGTCAGGGAGGATCCAAACCTCAGCTCAAACCTCAGTGAGTCAGTTAAGATGGCTCCTACCACAGCTACTGATCTGGGCAGAGGCCACCTGCCATGGTGTGGTGTGCCTGAGGAAAAGCCTGTGTGTGTGGTTGGTAACGTGGGGAAGTGTGAATCAACTTGAAGGGCTGAAAATTGCAGGCTCCTTCCCCTAGATTGTTGAGATCTCCCTCCCAGGCAGCTGGATTAAGTGTGCTGTGTCTCCCAGGCAGGCTCTGTAAGACTCTCCCTGACTCCTGGCTCCAAGAAATGCTGCCTCTTGTGTCACTCTACAGACCACCCCTTGCTTCTCCTCTCCCCTTCCCCTCCTCCTTCACCACCTTCTTTTTGCCTTCTTTCTCTGCTGCATTAACATGGACCTTAGCCAAGGTTTTCAGCCTCTCAACTCTGGCACTTCTTTCATTTTCAATTATTTCCGTCTTTGTGTTTGTTTCCATGTGGATAGTCATTATCACTGTTACCATGGATTTTCATGTACAAGGTTTCTTTCATGGCAATTTTCTTTTCCCTTCCCCTTTAATCTCTCCTTCTGTTTGTCTACCAATCTCCCACACTCCTCAGTTCTGTAAAATCTAGATATTATTGTCCTTGTGTCCAGTGCTTCCTTCCATAAAGGTCCTAAGTTTCATTCAGGAGGATCTATTTACACAAATGAAAAACATTATTCATAGGTATGTTTTCATTAGTGTATAATCACCAGAAAATTAAAAATAAATTTTATGAACAGAGGGACCTGATCCTTTTCCACAGAGGCCATCATGTTGAACTTCCATGTTTCTACAGTAAGGTGAGGCAAGGGGGTTGTAATCTGCAATTACGGCACTAAATCTTACACACTTTAATATATCATAACATGTCTGAAATCTTCTCCTTTTTTTATCTTTGACATCTTCTGTATTATGTCTAAATGAGCATCTGTCTCTGTTCCTGTTTGTGCCGTGTGTGAGTACAGGTATTCAGATATTGTCAGTATTGTGTAAAATATTAATGCTGAACTCATTGATATGCAGTCTTGTATTGTGTCCTTGTAGTCTTCTGTTTCTCTGAAGCTCCCCAGCTTTCTGAATCTGATTAGCAAACACACACACACACACACTCTCAAAACATAAAAAAGTTTCTGGAGTGATGATTGAATTTGAACATATCTCACAGGACAGTCCCACTAGTTTCCAGTCAGTGGAGAAGTGGAGAGTGTCGTCTGTCTCCTGTAAAGCTGTCTGTCATACATCTGTTTCTCTCTGTCTCTCTCTTTCTCACGGCTGGGTGACACCAACATTAAGTCATGCTGATCCCTAAAATGACAGTCTACAAAAAATTTAAAAAATAGAAGAGTTTACCTTTTGTTGTTCTGGGTTCTGTGGTCCACAATGTGGTATAGTTGTTTTTTAATTTGATTTGATTTGATTTGATTTGATGAGAACATTTCCCAATGGTATCAATTTCACAAACAGTAATGAAAAGAGATATATGCACAGTGTGAATGTAAGTGTGAATGTATACCCATCAACAAATGGCAGACCTATAAATGAAGACACATACAGTAATATGGAATTAGAAATGAATGCATTAGCTCTAGCAGCTGTGCCCCCACCCCCTTCCACCACCCTGGGATCTGATGTCTCCAACTCCCACGTTGCACCTGTTCCCTGCCAGAACAGAAGGACTTTGTGTGTGTGGAGGTCTCCTAACATACACTATCTCTGTTCTTCCATTGCCTGGTGCAATTATAGTCTCTCATCTGTTGTTGAGGGTGAGACAACTGTTCAATGTCAGCTTTCCGTGGAGCTGACACTATCTGACTGACTGTGACACACAATTTCATCACATTGAACCTCAGCACTAATGTAAGAGCATATTTTAGTCTAGCATCCTGATGGAAGATGCTCCGGAAGATTTTCATTTCCGATCTTTTAAGCTACTACATCAGATTAATAGCCATTTAAACAGGCTAATGCACACAGGCCAGTGAGCACAGCATCCACTTACTCACGTCGGCCCCTCAGTGACTGAATAGTTCTCTCCTTCCTTCACCCAGTCTAATAGCAGTGATCAGTCAGAAATCTGCCTCAGACCAGAAACAGCAACAGCTCAATCCTCAACATCTCCATTCCTTTATGACCACCTCTGTCCCCGCTCCCCTCCCTTTTTCTTGATTTGTGTTGTACTTTCAGCCCTTGATGTTTCCATTAGTATGACTGTGCTAGTAGCTTGTACCATGAGTCCCTCCCATGCAGCGCTCCTACAAAGCAGCCAAACACGGTCTGTCCACCTCCAATTGAGTGTCGTCTTATGCATCCCAGGGATTCTACCAATATCTAAAATATTTATTCAGCGTGTGCAGTGCAATGCAGAGATATTTGCTCGGCACAACCTAAGTTCTATGAATGTGTCAAATTGAAAAACATGCTAAGATTCATGGTCACAAAATGTTACTTTGTCACATCACCAAATGCCTCCTTCCTTTAGCTGCTGTTTTAGGAAGCCGGGGGTATGAAAAGACTGTTTGATTGAGTGGTGTCCAGCGTTTGTTTGAATAGGCCATGTCCAAACGTCTGGCGGCGTTCCATTCATGCTCTCTGAACACAGAAAATATTTTCATTCATGTTAATGCTGTGTCAATATCCGCCCCCCGTTCAACAGAAGCCTCCCTCACCTCCTGTTTGACCCACAGAGACAGACATGTACACTCCTCCTGACCCCCAACATACACACATGCAACAGTTAAGCACACTTACAGAGAGAGAGAGAGAGAGAGAGAGAGAGAGAGAGAGAGAGTAATAAAGAAAAGAAATGAAAGAGATTAAAAAGCAAGATAGACTTAACTGAGTATGTGTGCATGCATTTATGCATGAAAGTGTGTGTATGTTAGTGTATGTCTACCACTGACCGCCTGCAGGGCTCCCCTCTGCTTAAGAGAGGTCAGGCCCCTGGTCTCCCGCGGCAACAGAAGCAGTGCTCTGAGGATCCAGTGTTTCAGAGCCACTAGATACTGCAATCGTTTACACAGGTGGCTATCATATGGCCAGTAAAGTTTGTCCCTGTGGTACACACTGACTACAGAGACATCAGTCAGAATTTGAAGGGCAGGTAGCGGTACGTGTTTCCATGCCATACATCAGTGATCAGAGCGTGATATAACTTGAGTGGCTAGAAAACAAAACCTCGCCAAGACACAAAAATATTTACCCTATTTGTGCAGTTTTTTATTTTATTTTATCAGAGAGCTCATGTTGCACTGTGTGTGATACCACGCAGCGAGACGGTGTCACTGTTAGCCGCAGGTGATAAAACTCGGAGAGAGGCAGGCAGCAGAGGAGGAGGTGTAGGCCTACTCTGACAGGGAAGCCAGGTGTGTTATGGTTGGCTGAGCTGTATCTGCTGAGTTCAATCATTATGGTATAAAACCCGCTGCGCACACCTTCATGCGTATGAAATCATACTTGTAACCACTTTTAACATATGTTCATAGATGAGTGGAAAGAAGTCTGTATATGTTCTGTCACACATCATTATTTCCTAATATCTTCCCACTGAGTGTTGCAAGTAGGTGCACTTTTTGCATTTGTCCATGGCACCAAAGCGTGGTAAATACATTCTCTCTTTGCCAGATTTAATGCCAGAAACCACAATGTATCATCCATGCTCAGGTGGTTACAAAAACTGCCATTACAGAAGCTACTGTAGATGGCCACCATTTTGGCTTCCTTTGCTTCCTGTGATTCAGCTCTGAGGACATATTTCTTAGTTATAGGTTTAGTAATGTGAAACCCAGTCCAGGCCAGTGCTCTGCAGTTACATATGGTAAAGAGGAGGAATGGGTTATGCCTCTGGAGTGATATGGGGAAGTGACCATCTGGCCTCATCCATCATCATGGTAACCGTCACATATCTACAGGTGTGTATATCAGTGTGGGTGTTTGCATGCATGTGTATTGTGTGTGCCTGTGCTGTCAGGTGAATTGTGTCATGTTTTCGCACAGGGAGAAACTTACGGACATGTGGAAGTACCCATTTATCCTCCTGCACATTGTCATCCGTCATGCTTGGCACAGTGACATGAGTGTATTTATGTAGAAAAGTTTAAGATTGAAAAAACAGGCTAGTCTGTGTCTTGACAATTTGTCTTAAAAAACGCTCAGCTATGATCACGGTTAGCAGACAAAATAGAGATAGATGGATTTATGATGGTGACAACTATAGACTAAACATCTTCCTTAAACATGCACTTATGGCTGTGTTTTTCTAACTCACTGGTTGGTAATTTATTCCCACACAGAAATGCCGAACACATTTCATTCAGCACCAAAGCTAAATCACAAGGGAGGATATGTGGAAAAGCAGCCGAGTTTGAATCACTGTGTTATACACTGCATCTATTGGGGTTTTGCTGAAGAAAAATCAACTAAACTGGAAAAAAACTTTTCTCAGTGTGACTGCGGGTGTAAGTATATCCGGTGCCCGGTGTGTGTGCGTGTGCCTGTGTGTGTGTGAGTGCATGATGTCTGTGTATGTGAGACAGCGTGCATATGTTTACTCGTACGTCTCTATGTTATGAAATATGAATAGTGACATGTAAATTGAATAAGAGTGCTCCCATCCTGCTCCAGGGCAGGACCACCATGCACTGCTGCAACAAGGGAAATGTTGTGGCACTTTTTCTCTGCCTCCATTTTCTGACAGTGTGCTTTGAAGTGGCTCAGAAGAAGCAAGAGTTCCTCAAAATCCTATATGAAATGATTGTCTGTGACCAATGAAGTTCAGCTCTCGTGTTTAAACCCTGTCGTTAATAATCGTTCAACCAATCTGACATATAAATATTCAACCATATGAAAAGGACTTTGATTGAGTCCAAATGCTTGCAAAAGTAGTATATACAGTATCCACATCCGTGAATGAAGAGTGACTCATACTTTGGGTGTATCTGTAAACTGGTATGTCTCTTTGTAAATTATGGGCTAGAGTGTGTTGTTTCCTGCATTTTTTCCTCCTACAAATGCCAGACACGCTTCACATCATCACCTTGTCCTTGTCTGAACTTGGGCCTTGCTACTTATCAAGGGAGAGTAGTGAGATGACCATTTAATACTAAGTATTTTCACTATGCTTCACTTTCACCCATTGCTCCGATACTGACATGTAGTATGTGTTAAGCATGAGTAAGAATGTGAGTGGGAAGATTAGAATTGGGTGGAAGGTATCAGGGACAATGCTTGTTACAGATGTGTCGTTCCTTCTGGCAGAATATCAGTTAACT